TGAATGGAATTAATTGAAGGCGACAGTAGCTCAGTTGGTAGAGCATTGGCCTTTGGGCCTGAAGGTCGTGGGTTCGAGCCCACCGTAAGACCTACTTCACGACTCCCACTGATGACTGCTGTCGTTGTGTCCTTGGGCAAGACACTTAACCCTACTTTGCCCAAAGCCCCAACTGAAAGATCTCAGCTCCTGTGGACTCACCACCTGCAGGAGGATCAGTGAGGGGCTGGTGCTCTGTGTACTGGGTGCAACTCTGACTGCCACCCCCCCCCGACCCAGAAATGGATTAAGGGGAAGAAAATGGATGGATGGATGGAATTAATTGAAATTAACTTTAACAATGTCAGTTTTAAAGTAGTTAGGGCTGCGCAATTAAGAGATATCTGATGGCAATTTTATGATAAACTTATCTTGGATTTGCATATTTTTAGAATCCCATTGAGTAACTTTTATTATTCTTATACAATTAGATGCAAATTGTAGTTACATAGATATACTGTATACACATGGATTAAACTAGAAATTGTACTACTATCCTTGAAAGTAACAACAAAACAGTATAGCTCATCTATGACCTGCATACACTAGTGACGAGATAAGCTTGTGTGGGCTATTGCCTAAACATGTATTAGTCTATTAATCATTAAATGGAAATTCAACACATAGATCTCTGGTCGTGATTACATTAACAGAGGGCAAAGAATCACTGTTTCATTATAGAATCTCAAACAAATGGAACATTTTCTGCCTGAGGTCCACACATGTAGACACATGAGAACGAGAAGTGCAAAATACAAAACGAACATTACGTCTGAAAAACAAATGCAAAGTAAATAAAGGATTAGAAACACAATGCAACATTTTGATAAGGCTTAACTTCATCTGATCTGAAGAAAAGAGAAACAAGACATGGCATGTCTTTTAAAGTCACTGAATGTTCTAAAGTTACGAATCAGATCCCACATTTGAATCCAGAAATATGTTGTGGGGCTAGGATCAACATGATGTGATCATAGTGCCATAGTGAGTGTCCAGAACTGACACTCATTTCATTTGAAACATTTTGAAATGATGACACATGCTCCTACAACAGCAGAAAGAAACAAAACAAAAAGTCTGATTTGGTGAAGATAACTAAATAAACAGTTTGTCCAAAAGATTGTCCAAGTCTTTGAAGAGCTCTATATCCCAGTGTCCAAAAATAGTCAGAAAGAGCTTTAATGAATCTTAAATTAACACTTAAATTGGTAAACCTAATCAGGACACATTTTTTGAATTAAAATTTGTTCCCAGCCAACAACCCACCATCATCATAAACATGTGGCCAAATGTTAATGGAATGCTTCATATACAGTATTGAGAATGCTGCAGCTGCATCACTGTTGTTGTAGCTGTTTTTTTGTGTTCCTTTTAATTTGGGAGAGTTGGAAACATACCGAAATGTGTCAACCCGTTACTGGCTTCATAAACCTAAACTGTTTTGTGTCATCATCAGAAAGTAAAGAAACCCAATGCTCCCAGGGCAGTGGGTGAAGGCCAACATAAGGACTTAATCTGGGTTTATCGCCTCAGTGCAACACATAAATGAATCATGAACACCATGTCAGACAATACCACATCATTACCATGCACCTTGAGTGTTATAAATAAGTAATATCTGTTATAAAAAGAACAAATATATAAGTTACTAATAATAATAATTTTAGAAACACAGTTGCCGAAGCACTATAACAATACTTCAGTCAATAGATTGTCATGTGTTGAGTTTCTCATTGTTCAGGGAGTAGTCATAAAGTATATCAAAAGAAAAGCGATGGATGAAAGTAAACATGGGAAATGTGATAACACATATAGATTACATCAATAAATGCCAAAACATGAAATGTACAAACCTTTGTGTGGAACCAAACAGAGAAAGTGTCAGTGTGCTGGTTGGGGTTAGCAGCCCAGAGCTGGCCCTGTTAGCTCTCTGTCTGTGTGGCGAATAACAAGTGGAAGCTTTAATCCCCGACTGGATCCAACCACACCTCGTCCACAGGTCCCGCTCAAAACAAAACACAACCCCTCGGTGTTTATCCAAAGGGATCACGGTCACAAATGACAAGTGAGTCCAGGATGTAAAAGACTGCGCCTTCCACAGAAGCTGAACTGTGGCTCAAGACAAACCAGTTGAACAGGAGCGAGGCCGGAGGGTTCAGCCGCTCTGAGCACACTCTGCGCGGCTCACGGACAGCCCACTGACACTCTACTGTCACATTTATCCATACGACGCACTGGTATGACGCAGAGCAGGACCCAAAACACAACACGTAAACTAGTCGAATGCATCTATAATGGTATAAATCATAATAAATACAATTATAAACACTTTTAGCATCTGTCGAGTTTGTGTCGTGGTGAGATTTGGCATTGGATTGGCTGGTTTAGTGTCGCACAATGATGACGACACTATATCCTGACATTGCTTGTGCTGAGCATTTATGAAAGGTAAGTCAACAGCGCTTATTAAAGCGTTTCATTAACATCATATTAAAGCGTTTCCTATCATGTTTGATTCGTTTTTTGATTAGTCACTTTTTAATAAACTGGTCTGCATTTCTCTATCTGACCGTATCTTTGTATCTGGTGGAGTGTCTTTGATCATAGCCTGCTAATGCTAACGAACGACATTATTAGTATAAATTTAGGTATATGACACATTCTGTTTTTCGTGTTTGTTTAGATCATGGCGCTATTTCACGTATCAAGATCCCTTATGGGATTTTTGATTGAGACGTCGACAAAAATCCAACAAAGAACATTTAGGTAAGCTTTTTAAACTTCTCAAAACATGTTCATCCATGATTTGGTTGGCTTGCTCTTTATTCTCATGCACATATCTTTGAGGATCATTGAAAGTGCATGAGTCTTTATAGTATGTTTCAGGAGTTATTATTGGTTAATTATTGGCAATAATACGTTACTTTTTTATTAACAAAGTGTACTTTTATTTGATTTTCAGAGCATCATTGGCTGCAGCTGCTATTCAGAAAATGACAAGAGTACGTGTTGTGGACAACAGCTCTCTGGGAAATACTCCTTATCACAAAGCGCCAAGAGTGATCCATGTGTACACAAAGAATGGCATTGGAAAAGTTGGGGATAAAGTTTTGCTTGCCATCAAAGGACAGAAAAAGAAAGCTTTAATTGTCGGACACAAAATGCCAGGAGATCGCATGACGCCACGATTCGATTCAAACAATGTGGTGTTACTTGAAGAAAATGGAAATCCTACTGGAACTAGAATCAGAGTTCCCATTCCAACACAGCTGCGCAGCATGGATGGAGACTACGCTAAAGTATTGGCAATTGCAGGCTCATTTGTATAACTGTTTGCAGTGTCTATTAAACAAAACCTTTTGGGCCATTTTACTGAGGCTTCTGTGCTAACAATAAATAGTCTTTATATACAAACAAGTGTCTGTTTATGTTGGTCAAATCAACAGTGAACCTTCAAAATGGGGCAAATATTTATTTAAGGCACAACATACACTCAAAACACAAACACTTTAGCACAATTTAAAAGCAGTGGTTTAACAGATGCGGTTCTAAGGCATTGATAATATTCATGTGATCCCTGTTAGTTTCACCTGACCCTGATCAAGTGACATTTTACAGCCTTTGTAATTGATGCCACTCTGCTAAATCTTCATTATTAAAAAATACAATCTAAGTGCAAAATAAATGTGATACAAAACAACTTTGCAAAACCTATCTATGCTGCCATCTTGTGGTGAAATAACAAAACTTCAATGTAACATAAATAATAAAATCCTTCCACAGTGATTAATCAAGTTCTTGTTTTAACTACATCAATGATAGAATGAGCCTTTCAGTAACATTCACATTCTTTTTTTCCTTTTTAAAATCTTTCACATAAAATGGACCAACGCAACACTAACATTTCAAAGCATATTGTTGCCTTTTGCCATGCTCTTCTTCATGCTTTGACAGTGGGACAGTGCCTGCTTCATATAAGGTGATTGCATAGTTTCTAGGATTTTCAAGCTCAAATCTGTCAAAAGAGTAAGTGCTTTGGTGTAGTATTTATGTACTAGGCCTGTCACAATAATGTGTAAATCAACTCATTTAATAAATAGAATGCACAGAATCGTTATCTCCCCATGAATGAAATATTACTCATGTAGTATATAATCAACAGGTGAGCTAAACATTGTATAATGAATATGACTCAATGATAAGTGGGTCAATGAAAAATGGGCCCATGTTCATTGACCCACTTTTTAAAGATACAGCACTTTAAGCCATTTCTGTACCCTACTAGCAGTAAACTCAACCTTATTTATACATTTAATTGCCTGACCAACTAAGCCCTTCTCGAAAATATTTGGAATCAATGTATGTATATAATTGTTAAGCTGTGTGGTTTGGGTTGTTCAGGCAATACTGACGGGAATAAATAATACATCATGACTGTACCGCTCCTCACACTGACCTCAGATTTCTGCAGTTTCTCCTCTGAATGCTACAACAGATGGTTCATAGTTTCTGTACAAGATCTCACATTTTCTGTTGTCTCTCTATACATCCAAACTTGTTGTAAAAACATAACAATTTTGAATGTATCATGTTTATAAGGTGTAATTTAGCTTTTAATGGAGTCATCTTTTGCCTGCATGAAGTAAATTTGTTAAAAATTATAGTTTTCATGCAAACTTTTTTAATTGAGAGCACAAACTCTCAATTAGAAAATTTACATTATAGACCTTTTTAATCCACTTCAAACATGATTACTTGGATTACCTTCAGTCACTTACAGTATCATAACATATTACCATTCGAGCAACTTATTGTGACAGGTCTTGCATTTACAGTATTTTGCTACAACACTGAGGTGGGATGTGTGAAAGTTCATGTTTTCATAAGGCTGAGGCGTCAGGGCTTCGGGATTTTGCAGTCTGCATGGCACTGTACCTTCTTTAAAACCATAGACGTTTCCTTTAGCCACACATCGTCATGTACAGCCACTAAAGAGAAACATATGAAAATGGTTTGAATGAGTGAACCTTAATTATCGTAAATATCTTCAAAGAAAAGAAAACACACTTCAGTCAGAGACATCTCAGCAGATCCAGATCCATCTTTGTCAAACATCTGGAAAGACCCTGTGAAATGCATCGATAATTTGTTATATTGTAATTTTTTCTCATGTGAATTTTATCCAACAGCTGTTTACTCACTGAACATGGCCTCGAGTTTGACCAAGCAGCAGATGAAGTTGTCAAAATCAATCAATTCATTCTCGGCGTATCGAGCGACCAGGATCTGATTGAGTTTGTTGTTCAATTTAAAACCTAAATATTAAAAGTAAGCGTTAATATTACTTGTTTAATCATTTCAGTTGCACAAAGCCTAGTGAGTAGTACCTGCTCCTTCTACAGCCAGGCGCATCTCATATGAGCTCATAGCACCAGACTTGTCAATGTCATATTGTCTGAAAATGGTCTGAGAAAGGCAATTCAAATGATTACTTTTTTAATGATTTGATCTAGGATCAGAATAGATACAATATAACTTACCAGCCAATTGCGAATTTTATTCCACAGGATTTGAAACTCCACCATCCCCAAACGAGCACTGCCGTCTTTCTGATTGAATTGGCGTTAAGTATAAACAACACAATTAAAACTCCGAAAACCTTTCATTCGATACAAACTAGCGTATAGCAAATAGCAAAAGAGCTTTGGGCTGGGGGTGGTCCTCTCTTTTCCACAGGAGCCAAATATAAATCTATGTGAAAACTGGTGACAGGAACCAACGTTTTTTGAGAGCTATAGAAATAAGATTTTATTACAAAGTTACATTTTTGTTCTTTGAAAGGAATTAAAATGTTTTTTAACAATATTTCACAATTTAAGGATACATCCATGAGGTTAACCATGGTTCGACAGGACTCCACGCTGAACCCATCTGTTTTCAAGTCTTTGTCTGTAAAGACAAAGTTTATAGCATCATAATATTCTCTTTGTGGTTCACTTCTGTGTCATACTTGACCCTATCATAAAATGGCAGATGATTTACTGCTTTTCGTTGTTGTATTTGTTGCCATGTCCTATGTTATTGTTAAGAACTATAACATGGAAGTTAACTATGAGCGGAGGAATGTGATGGTGTGCCGCAAGATCTACAACTCTCATGTAAACTTTCCTGGAGACACAGTTTGATTCACTCACGTTTGGACATCACTCTGTTGAGAATGGTCCTCAGCTCACGAATTGAAATCTCCATATCCTAAACAAGGATAAGAAGGTGTTTAAAAGGTAATTATTTATTCATATATTTTTTAAAATCATTTTTTCAATAGATGCTTTGATCACATACTTCTCCAGCGAGCTGGGAAAACATTGCTTTGAAGGAATCATCAATGTCGTCTTCTGTGATTTGATCCTAATAGAAATATTATAGTCAAAGTTGAAATCTCTTATACACAGGATTCCTTTAATAATTATGTTAAACAAGAGCTCACCTCATCTTCCAAATCAAAACCAACTTCATCATCCAACTCTCTGTATTTGACAAAAAAACACAATTCCATAAGTAAAAATAAAAAACCCTTTCAAATGTATGTATGTTAAATAAATGCGTACTCTGTCTCTGATTGTTTCTCAGTAAAGACTCGCAGGACAAAATCTGCCTCTTTTCCGGCTTCAAACGTGGAGGGGACAACGAGGTACTCTCCGGGGGGTAAGCGCAGCCTCGTGCTGACCTCCCTCAGGTTTATGAAGGTCTCGGAGCGCGCACAAGACGAGTGCGACAGAAAGAAGTTCTTCTTCAAGTGCACATTCTGACAGCCCCTGTACTACAAGCACATATCAAAAACATACATGCGTGAATTATGTAAAACCTCAGGCTGAGTGAAATGGAACATGAAATTTAACTTGCAGTTTAAACAGTCAAAAGATTTTTAGGGTAATTGCATTTTTTTGAGTTATTACTTCTTTTGTTTTGTGAATGGGGAGCGATTGAGCCGTTTAATGTCTGTTATTGTCAGATTCTTGTCCTTCTTCTCCTTTTTGTCCAACACAAATTACTCCTTCAACTGGTCAATAAAGGCTAATCTAAATATAAAAAAATCAATACATACCTCTTCAGGAATCTGTTGGAACAAAATACATAGAAATGAGTTAGAAAATATTTGTTTAACTGCTATCATAACTAACAATAACAGTAACATTACCTCGTAGAGAGCGAATCCGATGGTATGCATGTCCTGGCCCTGGCGTCTGTATCGACGGCGGTCCTTCTGCATCAAAGCCACCAGGAAACTACAGGCCACCTCTTCATCCTCCGGGTCGTCATCCTCCTCCAGCAGCGTGATCTTGTACTGAGGGTTGATCCAGAACGTGTCTGAAGACCAAGAAGAGGGGAATAAATCTGTGTCTGTGGTTTGGTCATGATTGTATTGTAACTATTAGAGTCAAACGTTTTTAGATCATAGCATTTATCATTAATGTACGAATCCATCAAGACACCAGCAAATTAGAAACAACAAATATTTTAATATTACCACAACACGATATCAATTACATCTTAAGTGTATTGAGGCTCAATGTATGACGTACTGTACATCTCTCACAACAAACCAATATACATGTACAAATAAAAATGTAAAGAATTTCAGGAATCAGAATGATGTGAGAAAACAAAAAATTATGGAATCAAATAAGAAAAAATACTGTATACTGTTTAAGCTAAATCATTCCAATGTTATTAACAGCACTATGAAGGTACTATATAGAAATGTGCCCAATTACAAAATATCAAAGATCATTTCATCCAATAGCTGTTCACTTAGAGAGATGTCCCCCACATTAAACCTCTCTTAATGTGATAGGGGTGTGTGGTTCTCTGCAGGGCTGGGCTGGGGTACTCACTGGGATGGTTCCTGCAGCCCCCTGCCGTGCTCCCTTTCCTCCACGTCCCGTAAAACTTCATGGTGTTCCAGTGACTGAGGGTGTCCTCACTCAGAGCGTCTGCAGTCAAGTTACAAATCTCCAGACGAGAAAACTGTCGCAGAAACTCGCTGAAGGCCATCCTGTCAATGAGCAACACGTCAAAAAATCATTAGTATGTACAGTAGGGGTGTGACGATATATCGATTTTTTGATATATCGCGATACTTTCTCCCGCGATTCGATTATCGATATGCATTTACCAAGTATCAATATCGATAAAAAAAAAAAAAAATTGAATATATTTTATTATTGGTATCAATACTTAATATATGGCTACATTAAGCATCTCCATTCCATTTATCATGAAATAAAGTGTATTTTTTCTTTTATTTATGCCATAAATTGGCATATTGTATATTTCTGACAAATATCTCAATAATCGTCATATCGTGATAAAATCGTTATCGTGATATCGTCATCGTGATATCGTCATTGTGATATTATCGTTATCGTGAGCTTTGTATCGTGTATCGTATCGTATCGTATCGTGAGGTACCCTTAGGTTCCCACCCCTAATGTACAGTTGTGTTGGTAAGTTTATACACCCAGCCAGAGATTTCATTGTTATGGCCTTATTATAGAGATGATAACACAACTGATTTTTTGCAGTTCATGTATGATGGCCCAGGAATTTACAGGAATCCAAGTCGAAGGGCCAGCTTTACCATCAGAGTGGATAAATCGCTCATCCACAACTACCACAAAAAACTCCAATCTGTCACAGATGTTTAATGGGAAACACACAACAACGGAAACTTCTAATCAGGATAAATTCACACAACCTCTGACAAAAAGAGTTAAAAGTGTTTGCCCCTAAAAATGGCCAACATTTGTTATCATTGTGCCCTGAGTGTGTGAGCAAAACTGTTTGTGAATGATGTATTTATCAAAAATTAGTGGTGATTTTGGAGCTGTTCAGGAGGAGAAGAAACAATTAAGCTCCAACATGATGCAGCAACAACATATTGGGATAAAATGTCAACAAAAGAACAGACCTTTTATCTTCATTTTTTAATGCACTGTGGTTATTCATGTATATGTTTTTTAACTCCTTGTGTAATTTTAATGTTTTAATGGTTTTAATTTCTTGTGTGATTTTAATGTTTTAATTGTGATTGTGGTGTTTGTTTTACGTGACGATTTGTGCCTTGGGTGATGTGGGCTGTGAAGCGCTCTGTGTTGCCCTGCGTATGAAATGCGCTCTACAAATAAAGATGATTGATTGATTGGTTGCCACAAACATGGACCAAAGTGGACCAATGACCGGCTCTAGTCTGAGCTTCAAGTTGAGAATAGCATTTGTCATGGACGTTATAAATAGAAGACTGAAAGAAACACTGGAGTCACGAGTGGACAGCTGCTAATGACATACCAATACATAAACACCTTACCAAAACTCCCCATCCTCCATTTGACAGTTCAAGTCCTCACGTTCCGACGGGTCAATTTGATCCCATTCAGAAGAACTACACAGGCAGAATCACAAGATATAACAATACAATTGTAATAATGATGATTATAATAAATAAAATCACACTGACTTGTCGCTCCAGGCTCCGGTCCACTCCACTTGGCCCCAAGGGTTACGTATCCGGATGAGACGCTCCCTTCGGCCCCGATAATCGACCTATGATTATGTGCGTTTAGACATTTTGAAAAACATGATACCAAAAATGTTTTATATGTATAGAGAAAATTAAAGTGAGACCTCTTTGAGCCCAGTGACGGAGTAGGCATGGCCCTTCACCAGTTTCTTGAACGTAACTGCCTCCATATCAAAGGCACTGGTGATCTAAAGATAAATGGTAGACTCTTTTAAAGCATGTATCAAGTAAATGAAACAATATTTCATTCTCTCTTTTGTTCTGGAGCCAGGACATCATTTCTAAGTTGAGGAAGGACTTTTTCGAATACAGACTGAATATTGTGCAAATATTATACCAATTGGTTATTTATATTGTATAAAATAATATTCCTTTGATTAAAGCTGGGGTATGTAACTTTTTAAAATTTAAAAAGTTGAATTGAGTGAACACATCAGACCATAACATGCATCGTATGCATATTATCTGCTGCATACTTTTTAGAAAGAGTCCTGTGGGTTACTATATTGATGCTGAGAGCTGATTGGTTGTGTCTTAAAAAGCATGCATGTGAAGACTAGCGATTGAGACTGTTTTGAGACTGATTTTTTGTGCTTTGACCATTATATATCCCAGTTTGAGGCACTTTTGTTTCATCTTCATTTTGTCTTGTTTGACACATTTTCTTTTAAAAATTGTACATTGTTACACAGTTTGTAGAGTGTGGTGCTTTCCCATTTACATCAATAGAGCAGCCAAGCAGGGATCCTCTGTCCAAAGCCTTTCTGATGATCCTGAACAGATCTCGTGGAGCTTTGCTGAGTTCATACATCTCTGATACACCTCCAGTGAAATCTTCGAACCCTTCGGTCGTACTTCCTCCGGACAGAGCCTCATAGGATCCATTTAACCTTAAAACCACACAGACAAAAAGCTATCATTAGACCTTTGCCATCACAGTGCATTATAGGCTAGTAAGGAATGCATTTCCTGGTGTAAGCTTGAATAATTGATTGTAATGCGGGTCCTTTCATAACATACTTAGCGTAGGCCTTCTCCAGCAGTGCACTCCAGAATTCGTTGCCCTCAGCAGAGTGGACAAACATGAGCTCTCCATCTTTGACAGGAAGTCGGTCATCAATCACCACATCAACCCAATCACCAAACTGCCAGAACTGCAGACAAATGAATAGCAGCAAATATCAAAGAGGCAATATAAACAATTCCACTCAAGTACAGTGGCTACTAACAAAAAGAAAATATGTTCCTGACAAAGTGCATTTTTATGTGTTGCATGAAATCTCACTTTTCTGCTAAATTGCACAAAAACTTTAAAATCATCAGTTAGCCTTTAACAGGATTAGGCAAACACAATGTATCACAAGAACACTGGAGTGATGGTTAAATCACCTGTGTACTGCTACATTAACAATGTATTTCTGATTCATTCATTCACAAGTTGGTGATTACATCAAGTTGATTATTTTTTTCAAGACCAGAGTTGAATAATTCTTAAATAAAAGAATCAACTGGTAGTATATCAGCAAAACAAATAAACCTCAATGGACTATGGGAGATTACATCAGTTTGTATACGACAATCAACAACCTAATGTGAGCTTGTAGTCGGAAAACAACAAATATAAGTACAAAAGAATGAGTCAGGATAACTTTGTTAAAGCCTCTAAATATAAAATGGTGTTTTACCTGGAAATGAAAGATTCCTGCGTAGTCGTCCTGAAAATTCTGTCCGTGTGGAACAACGCGGTGCAGAAGCCTCTCATTCAGAGTCAGAGATCCAATAGCAGCTAAGAGCCAACAGTCACCTGCAAAACAGCATGACTTCAGACAAAAAATAGTGATAACAGTGAATATCATGTTTACATTCATACAAGGGTCATCAGCCGATTCATTTACTTTACTCTTTAATCTATTTACAGTAAGTGGCTGATCTCCTTTAAATGTTTAATGTGTTGTGTTCATGTTGGTGTGACTACTGCTTTTGAAAATAAAGCAACAAAGTTAATGGTAATAATGCATCAGTTATATTTAGTGTTTTTTCTAGACACTTAAGAGTGTATTCTTCATTCACTCCAGAGTCTGTGGTGTTAAAGTACATATACGAGAGTAGTACCAACCATTTAGGCACACCAAACTCATATTGATGTGGATGAATTGATACTTCACAGTCAGCCGTCTAGTGTTGTCAGAGGAACTAACCAGGCCTTTTCCTGCTTAGCTTCTGAGATCAAATGGGATCAGGCTTTCATGTGCGGGTGTCGCCACAACACATTTTTATTGAATAACTTTAACCTTTCTAAAAAAGCTTGGCCTATGTGATACAAATATATAAAATGCATATATGCCAGGCATTCTGTCAATATTTGTACTTTATGTGTCTCATAAATAGTCATTTTTTGAATAGAATCATCTGGTCATGTACTTTGTAACACACAGGATGATTATAAATGTGATTATTCTTAATTGAACTCACCCAGCGCTCCCTGGCAAATGTCTGTCCTTGTGGCTCCGCCCACAATGAACTGAGGATCTGATGCCAGCTCCTGAAAGGCACCAATACCAGAATGTATCACTCTATTTAAAGAGCAGGCTGCATTTTTACACAACCGATGACTTATATTAGAGGGACAATATTTAGAAATAGTTATATAGTAGTACTATATAATAGTAGCACTAATAGTTTTACATAAGTCAAGTTAGAAGAAAATATACCTGAATTAATGTTGAGTTATAAAATGGAATACCTCATTAAGTCATTAGTGCACAAGATAATAAATTATGAATTACATTTTAAACGTCCCTTCAAGATAAAGGTGTCTTACATTTACACTTAAAATGTTTTAGTGAAAAGGACTAGTCTGTAGAGGATTTTAACATCACAACAAACAATTGATCACAACAAATATAACTATGCAATAATAATAATAATTATAACGGTTTGGTTCTATCACCAGTTTTCACATGCATGTACTTTTGCCCTCTGTCACATATTTAGATTTTATTTTTTCAGACAGAAAAGGGAAAAAACAGAGAGCCACCCGCATTAAGCTAATCAGTTTTGAGCCTCAAGGAACAAACAGTGGCTCAAGGCTCTTTCTGTCACATTTGAAAGAGATGATATGTTTTGTACTAAGATGGAGACAGCATGTTGTGGTCTGATTTATTCACAACATTATACTTTTACAAGACTGTTATTTATTAACCCAAAAGGTTAGGTACCTCAGCTTTAATGAGGTTTCTATGAAAGTGTGTTTGATACAGTGGAGTTAATGAATGATCTGTGTGTGTGTGTCCGTGTGTGTGTGTGTGTGTCCGTGAGTGTGTGTTGGCATGTGCCATGAGGGAGTGGTTGGGGACAGCTGCAGAGTCCTGTCTCGACTTGAGTCTTTATGCCTGAACTCGCACGGACAGAATGAGTGAAAGTGATAGTTCTGTTTACACACGAGGTTAAATGTGCAACAACAAGTAAACAACAGCCTATAAAAGTATCACGTGAATTAACAAGGAATTATAATTGGAAATGTCAGCATCCCTTTTGGCTCCTTTCAATTATACCAGCTTGTTATAGGCACAATCTGCGACTTTCCTGGAGGAGAATTTGCTTTTGGCTTGGACCTATTCTTGTTGTTTTTTCTTGAATGTTATGGCCTTAAACTTTTCATCAACATAGGAAAGAAACAAGCAACTTCAAATGTTGGTCAAGTTAAAAATCATATTTGTCTACCCAAAAAAAGGGTAACAAATAACAGTTTTTTTATCAGTAAAAAGTCTCAAATTAGGTTGTCATACAGAGGAACATCCCGAACAAAACTAACTAAACACTAGCACAAGTGCAGCAGACACCATCAAAGTGCACATTGCCCCTTTAAAGCCATAATACACTGTAATTCATTAATAACTGAACCTTAAACCTAAGATAGCCAACCTTTTTTTGTAACATAAACGTTGTTTGTCATGTCTCAACAGAAAAAGAATCACATTGTTAAATAGATCACAAATATGCCAGTTTTCATCCAATTAGATTTGTAATATATATTTTGTAAACTTGTAAAAATTACTCCTGATAGCACGAGTGGTTGTATCTACTTCACTGTTCCATCTGATAAACACAAAGCATCAAAAAAAGCATCATTTATGTGACTGTTTTGAGAGACTGTACTTTGCATTAGAATAAATATCTGTATGTGCCACTTAATCCTAAATAAATTAAGACTTAAATAAGAGTACTTTTCTTCCATAACTACTTATTTTGGGGGGGCACATAGAGATGGAAGTGCCGTCTATGTGCTGTTTCTATATGTGCTTTCTCACTGAATAGGAACATGTTTCTGTTCCTGGTACTTTAATAGTTCTTGTTCCAATTAGGCCTGTCACAATAACTGACTTATGAACGCTTTATTGCCTGAGATAATGATTACGATAAACAAGAATATTGAAACTGCTTAAATGACGCGCTAAAGTACAGCCAAATTGAATCATATTTTGTCATATTAAAACCTATACAGCTAAAAAGTCATTAGGCCAAAACAATATTGTTCATTATGTATTGAACAAGATACTGATAGTTATTTTCACAAACCAAGTTCCAATTTAGGCAAATTTTGGTAGATTGTTGGACCTAGAGAATAATTTAGGTCATTTACAAAACTACTTATGCTGTTGATTATTAAAGTCTAGAAAAGTTACTTTATTTACTGCCCACACAACTTACACCATCAATACTTGTATGTTTTTATTTTTTATGTTTATAATATTACTTGTGATCTAAATGTTTGTTTTCAATCGAATTTCTTAATGTGAGGCGCTTTCTGTTGCCTTGTGTAGGAAAGGCGCTCTACAGTCATAGATTGATTACAGTATGTCATACCCCTGTTAAATCCATTTAGTCACTTCCAGACATGTGTGCAAGGGGAAAACTCAAACAATGGAAATGGGTGTGTCCTCTGAAGGTTAAATAGAAACTCATTCATAACAGGGCCTAATACTTGCTATACAGTCACAATGTCATGTCATGTTGCCTCCATCTTCCTCCACCGCCTCACCGTGGGCCTCTTCCACTCCACATCTCTTGTTTTGGCCGTATACGGGGCCAGCTCCTTGAACCCCAGAGACGGAGGTTCAGCCGGGAACAGCGGGTCTTCGAACAGGCTCCCAGACTCCACACACTCTTGCTTCAGGGCCTCGTAGTCCTGGTTAGAGAACTTCACGGCCTGTTCGTGGGAGCCCATGCCTTCCGCGCGCTGTCTGTTTGCATATATGCTTGCAGAAATCCCTCCAGATGAGAACATGCTGGTGAGAGATATCAATGTAAACTGGAGTCAGTGAAGGTGACGCTGCAACAGGATATTAATAGCACAAGGCTAATCAGAGAGTCAGTGCTACAAAACGCCAATTGAGTTTAGAGTGGGAAATGTTGTATGTAGTAGATAAGGGCTGGGAGAGATGAAAGGTGTTTTTGGAATGTAAGGAAATAAACAATTGTTATGGTAGAACTGCAAACTTGGAGAAATATCAATAATGAAAATAGTTATCAGAACATAAACTTTGTATGAGCTAGTATGAAAAGAGGATTCAGAAGTTATCAATAGGATCATCCAGCCTTTAGTCACAGCAGATGTTTAAACGTTTTAATAAAAACAGTAAAATTAGCTTGAACAAGGAAATGGTTTATAAAGCAACAAGATAACTTAGGAAATAATAAAAATAATAATAATAATTCAGTGGTTCTCAAACTCTGGCACAGAAATAAGACTTATGTTTTTAGAACTTTGATCATCAGTTCTAGAGACGATGGAACTGTTCTTGTTTTGCCATTTTCATTGGATTAGCTTGAGAACCAGTGGCATTTAGAAAAGCAAACTAAACTAAGCAGCCACATTGCATATTTGCAGCAACATATTTTCTAATGCCTAATCTGCTATCAGAAGTAACGCCCAACAGTGATAGGACAGACAGTGGGTGGGGAAAGTATTCAGGTAAGTTCTGGGAAACACGGAAGAACAGCAAAGCCTCAACCTAAACACCACAAAAATGACAAAGGTTCGAAATGTGATACCTTCACACTGTACAGGCCGGCTGAGAGGAAAGACAAAAACAAAGTCACACACACTGTTTTGAGTGAAACAGTTGTGCTCATAACATTACAAGCCCAGGCAGAACTTTCAAGGCCATTTTCAAACAGCATGAATGATAAGACATTTGGTCAGTGGTTGGGAGAAGCCATTCTATGTCAAGGATGCTTGCTTTTCTTTAGAGAGCAAGCAAGCAATCTTTATTTATATAGCACATTTTAGTTGTTCATTGTGTTAATGTCTGCTAAAACTAGTATGGAATCAAGATAAGTGTATTTAGCATGAGCATCAGTAGAAAAATAAACAAGACTTTTTTGTGATAAGGTCAGAGTTTTATGTACTCATTATGCCTAAGATGGAAATTTTAACCCAAACCTTTCATACTAGACTTACAGATTTGTATTTATTGTATTTTGTATAGAGTTATTGTTCATTTATCTTGTGCTATTCTGTAACTGGTGATGCAACACTGAAATTTCCCCACTGTGGGACAAATAAAGGATCTCTCTTAATCTTAATCTTTCTAGATAAGAAATTGCATAAAGCCTCATGGTGTAAAGAAAAATACTGCTTTTGGCCCAATTACTTTTAATGGCACAATGGTATCGCAATTGGTATTATAATATAAAGTCTGTTGAAATATAAGAATAGTTTTGTAATTATCCCAAACTCGCATAGCTTCTCTTGAAATGATGATTTGAAAAAGAGTTTCATAAAAATGGCTTCATTAAACCACTGCAACGTTTTTGAGTTATGATTCATTAAATTGGCTCCAAAGGCAAACTTTCTGTCAGGGCATCCAAACTTATGAGCACAACTGTAAATTCAAGAAAATACAGAATACTAGTTTAGAAGGGTATCCAATCAATGCACGCACAAAATACATAACAGGAAAAATGTGGATCAGTCCAGGATGTTTCTCCACGGCCCTTAATCTATTCTGACACCCGATATATCATAAACCCACATGTAAATACAGGCATCACATTAAAATGGTTCTCATCTGGGAGTTCTAGTACCAACATCAGTACAGAAATACAGCCTTTGTCTCTCTATCTAAAAAGAGTTTAAAAAGCTAGTATGACGACAGTAAGTTGTGCCCTGCTGTTTATGTTATCTATCCACACACTCTCAGCTGTTCAGAGAGAGGAGCCCTAATGGCTTTCTGTGCTACACATACAGCACTTAGTCAAATAGAGCTAGTAATACTGCAAAGACAATCAGATTACAATAGATTTGAACTTAGAGAATTGTTAAAAGTCGTCACATTTCTTGCTTCCAAAAGCGCTGGGAGAACCATGGCATGGGACAGTTCATTATGTCGCTCCACTCAAAGAGAATGTCAATGAGCCCCAGCGCAGAAAACAATGAGATCTCTCAAAGCTCAGGCTGAAAGGTTGGACTCAGCTGCAACTGGGACAAGCAAAACTGTTGGCTTACTTTGAAAATGCAGCTCTAAGCAACAGCCTTCATACAAACGGGTTATATGAAGCGTAGAGAGCCTTGCGCAAAAAGAAAGCTGTTTAATGGTGATGACAATGGAGAGCAGTGCAGATGCCGGAAATGGGTGACATGTTTTTGCATTTACAAGTGCACACATCCCATTGAGATCACATTCTGAACTTAATCTGGACTAGATCAGGACTGGAATGCATTCATATTGCCAATACTGATGTACGCCTAGGCTTCAATATCTAAGTTAAGTTATAGATTACTGTCCATAGGAAAATGTGTGCTCTGTACTGGACCCAAGGCTTGGTCAGGTTTGAGCTGGAGCTGGAGGTTTTTTCCATGTTTAACTGGAGCAACAAGATGATTAATAATGAGGACCAGGTATTGGTTTTATGTTATTATTTTGATATAATACTGGAGGATATTAGTCCAGAGTCAGTAGTTCTGTAGTTACTTGGAGTGCAGAAAATATTTCAGTCTATTCACTGGTATTGGTTCATATTACATATGTATATATATACATTGGGTATCAGTCAGATATTGAAGCCAAAGTATTGGGTTGGTGCATTCCTTATCAAGAGTATAAATAAAAGTAATAGCATTATTTTAGAACAATAATTGAATATAGAAGCCAATTAATGTGACCAGTCTCCTTAAATTCAACAGCTGGAGATTCTCCACACAGTATTCTTCTAAGCCTGTAAACCAGCGGATAGAATTATTAAGTCAATAGACTGTTTGGAACGTTATGTAGCTCATACCACATGTGAAATTGCATAGGCATGCTATTTACAAGATTTACATGTTTTGCCCATTTAAAGGGATCCCCCACACACAGACAGGGACTTTTTGTTTATGAACTGCCCCCCACAGAGAGGCCCCACATGTCTCACTACAGGAATGTCACCCGGCTGACACATACACAGAGGATGGATTTTAGATGGACATAAACACAGACATTTGCCTTTGGCCAATGAGCAGGAAAATCCAGCTGATCCATGCATCTCCTGCTGAATTGATGATGGTGACATTTTGGACTCTGCGTTAGTAGGATTGACAGTTTGACAGTGAAAAAGTGCCTACAACATAACTTAATATAGTAATAGTTGCCAATATGAGCTATAAATACGCTCATATGATTGGACAGGAGCTTGGAATATGAATGCACCTGTTTGAGAGATAAGTGACAGATCTATAAACGAAAACAAACAAAGACGTAGGTAACCATTAACGCACAACCCTAAAGCAATAAACGCGTTTCATTTGCTAAAAGTGGCTTAGAATATTGTATTGCAGGCACCATATTGGCTTTTCATACCAGGAAATCAGCTCGTTGGTGGCCTACTGCACTACAATAACCCAAGGTGTGCTATTCCGTTATGTCTGAAGCTCTGATCAATCTGTGAAAGGGACTGAAAAGTAAGAAAGATCCAGGACTTACCACCGCGAGCAGAACGAGTTTGGATCGCCTCGAGTTAGGGAGTGGTGTTTTCGGGTTAAATGTGTGTGAAATTAGAGGTTTGGAGCGGGTCTGTAGACAGATGAGCTTTGGTTTCTGCGGCGCACACACACAGAGCAAAGGCCCTGCCCATGCGGAGCAGCTGAGGGGAGGGACGCATGCACACTGCCCACCGACGCACCATAGAGGGCGCACGAGCGCAAGACGCAAAGACGCCGTGGCTTGTAGCCAATCAAATTGAAGATTGAAATAACGAAAAATAGAGAAAAATAAATAAATGCAAAACCACTAATTATTTCTTTATTTGTTCTTTTTCTTTATTGGATGTTTTGCTTTGTTGTAGTTTTTTGTATACTTTATTACTATTTATTATTATGATTTATGATTTATGTATTATTTTTAACACAAGGGGGAGATTGTGGGGATTTTTTTTTAAAAACATATTGTGTCTTACTATGAGGTATATGTATAAACATGTATCAAAATGAACAAATAAAAAATAACAATATTTAAAAAGCGGGTTTGGCACATTTTAAAGAAATACATGGTTTAAAGCTAGGGTACCTACCATTTCCCCTACATTGTATTTGAAGTTAAGTAAAATGCTGTGAACAAATTTGGCCTTTTTGCATAGTTCAGAAGAAATGTTTTCTGCCAATCAATATTTGGCGGTGAGCTGATTGGCTGAATGAGGGTGTTCCTCTCTTTATCACTTTCCTGTCTGAATTATGTGTAGTTCGAAAGATTAGGTACATTAGCTTTAAGTAAAAATACATGACCGAGATAGGCATTAATCATGTCTCCAAGTTCTATGGAGGGAAACCTGACACTGCTCTGTGTGGGTAAGTTTGACTCACTCCAATTGGAATTATTATGCCTTCTTGAGGCATAAAGTTTATGTAGATGCTGCCACCTTCTGGTATCTAATCGGAAGTTCAGAGTCTGTGCAGCGCCGACAGGAAGAGGTACTTCTTGATCAACTTTGTTCAAACATTTTATTATTACAGCAACCAAACACTTGTCCCTGTTTTGGTCTGATGTGTTAAATCAGACCACAACATGCTGTCCTATCTCTTTAGAAAAAATATTGTGAGTCACTATAGTGACTCAGCCCAAAGTGTCAAATATATGTGACACTTAGGGCAGAGATATTGGCTGGTTGGGGGTGGTCCTCTCTCTTCTGTCTGAACAAGCCGCTTTGAATTGCATTACATTACAACAATAGTGATATGGTGAACAGAACTGTTTTAGAACAAGCATTTACATGGATTTTTATCGCATAGTTCATTTGTCATAGTTGTAAGGTTAGGTGCCCCAGCTTTAAAACACTGATCAAAGTACTTTGGTTAGAATTTAAAAAGGATATATTCTTCAAAATGTTTAATATTTTTTATCAGTAAGGCCGGTTACAGAGCTCTGGACTAATCAGGGACAACTGCCCAAAAACGTTAATGTTGTTCAGGTAGTCATGCATCTGTCTTCTAATCACATTTAACTTAATACCAAGATAATACATATTAATATAATCATTATCTATCTTAGTGTATGATCACATTACAAACATGCAGACTCACATTGAGAAACATTAGTGATTGCAGTGGCCTTTAGGCGTATCCCTGTTTGGTTTCAGCTGTGGTCACGGATATATCAAGACAGATTTGCTTAGGGCTGCCACTGTCTGTTTTGTCAACCTCACCTGTCCAATCAGGGCTCCTCCCTTCTCCCTGCTCACATCCATATAAAAGTATCCCATATAAAACACTCATTGCACTCTTGTATGCACACTGCTCGCGTAAGACATGACTTCTGTTGCAGATCGACTGGCCAAAGAGAAGGACAAGGAGGATGGCTTCGGGACAAACCAGAAAGCAGTGACGTTCTTGAACCAGAACTATGAGGCACTAAAAGAAACGTGTCTTCAAAGAGGACGTCTGTTTGAGGATGACAAGTTCCCGGCTGAAGGCAAGTCCTTGGGGTTCAATGAGCTGGGGCCATACTCCGCCAAGGCCAGGGGTGTGGTGTGGAAGAGACCAAAGGTAAGAAAAACTAAAATAAATATGTGATAATTAGGTCGTGATTGATCAGAAAAGGCAGGAGATTGCATGATGTAAAATGAATTAAACAATAGCTTAAATGTGTCTGTGTCACACTGGTCAATATCTAAACAATTTCCTAAGCAGCTGTTTTTTCTATATAGTCTACATTCTATATACAAATATCTGGATGCTCAATGTACATTTCTCCAACAGCGCATTCAAAAGACTTCTATCAAGAAAAATGGCTTCTGCAGTAAACTACCGAGCCCTTTGTCTGTATTGTAAAACTCTCACAACGGATCAAATATCCCAAGTCCCAACTTTTCATAGTTTACATTGTTACTCCTACTTCTATTTAATCACATTATTTTCAGTGCACAAATACGGACTGAAATGTTTACTATGCTGTGCAAACATGAAGACATACATTAGAAACCATGTTGTAGTCATTTATACATTGAAGCTTCTTAGTGAAATACTGGTATATCATAAAATTAGTGCAATTTTTCCTTTAGGAGCTGTGTTCTGACCCTAAGTTTATTGCTGATGGAGCCACAAGGACTGATATTTGCCAAGGGGTTTTGGGTATGTGAAAAAGACATATGCATGAAATATGAATTGAATATGATTGCTAAATAAAGTGACATTTGAAAGCCTCACATTTCATTTATCACACACTTATAGTTGAACCTACTGCTGAGACATGTTGCTCCATCTTTTACACCACAAAACCATGCCTTCTTTTGAAATTGCACTATTACTATGAAGCACCCTGGAGTTGGCTAATGCTGTGGTATTGTGGTCATGTTGCACAGGCGATTGCTGGTTGTTGGCCGCCATTGCTTCTCTGACTCTGGACCAGCGGATTTTGGCTCGAGTAGTGCCGCCTGGACAGAGCTTCACTGACAAATATGCTGGAATTTTTCACTTTCAGGTCTGTCTTTTATCAGGTTTTATATTTTGTATGAATATTTTCACAATTGTTCTTTTAAAGGGACTGTATGTAATATGTGGTTCCATTAAGTCATTACGATTACTATCCTACGTTTTTAGCCAAAACCTAACCTACCTGGAACATCTATGTAGCCTCTAAGCACTGATGCAGTACACATACTGGAGTTTAGCTAGAAATGGTACAAACGTTGTATTATGTATGACTACTTTTTTTATTTATTTGTTCTTATTTTAACAAAATTGTGGTGCTATTTTTTGTTGCGAAATCTTTTGTGAAATTTGCTAAATTTCATCTAAAAAACTAGGGCCTCATTCTGCTCTCTCAATAATCTGCTTGAAATTTATAATCCTAAATATTATAAATATCATGTACGTTGTAATTATGAAAAATGATTCAAACTGTTGTTCAAAAAAGGTCACAAATGATTTGTGAATATTGACCTATTATCTGAGAACACATATTGAAGATATGTGTTCTCAGATTAAAAGATAGATTAAAATATGACATTCCTTTAAAAATTTGTTTCCAGTTTTGGCAATTTGGTGAATGGGTGGATATTGTCATTGACGACCGTTTGCCCACAAAAGACGGGAAGCTGCTCTTTGTCCACTCTGAAGAGGACTCAGAGTTTTGGAGTGCGCTGCTGGAGAAAGCCTATGCCAAGTAAGCGTCTAATCTATAATATGAACAAAGTCAAAACTTTTTTTAGGCAAGGCGAGCAATATTCACTCATAAACCAGTCCATAGTGAATTACACAACAACATTTCAGTTTTAAGGTACTCCCAGTCCCCATGTAAGGTCCTGTTTCTGGTTTGTAGCCCTTTATTTACTTTGAAAGCAATTACTGATTTTGCCAAAACAACTACCACATCTACTGATATAATAAGAGCAGCTGCCCTGCCCATAGTTATTGCTATCAATACACACACACCTGCTCACACACACCTATGTGTTCACCTGAACTAGAACTCTAATCTATATTTACCTATAAATAACAAGAATATTTCATGGAAAGAGGCAGGTCTCTATAAATTCCAGAAATTTGATTCCTGCCCACAATGAGCAAGATGAGCAAAATGTCTAAGGGCAGAGCAATGCCACAACAACCTATTTCTATGCTTACTACTGTTATAACACTGTATTAGAGACAAACATTTGCTTTTTATTGTATGGACATGGTTGTTTTCAGGTTGAACGGCAGCTATGAGGCCCTGTCTGGCGGAAACACCATCGAGGGATTTGAGGACTTCACTGGAGGAATCGCAGAAATGTACGATCTGAAAGAGGCGCCGCCACATCTTTTTAAAATCATGCAGAAGGCGATGAAACTAGGATCACTCATGGGCTGCTCTATAGATGTGAGTCATTTATTCCTTCACTTAAAAAAGATAAGAATTTAATAACATTAGTCACTATTTCACTGTAGGAACTCAGCAACACTTGTCTTTGTAAATACCATCTCATCTCTCATACCATCATAGACTGTTATGGTAAACTGGTGCATTCATAAACTATGAAAGTTTATTGAAGCCATAATAAGCTTTTGATATGTTACTCAAAATATTCTCTGCTTACCATGTCAGTGAGGATTCAAACGCAAACTATTAATTAAAACTGTTTAAACTTTATGTTAAATAACAGGTTCCATATCACTATCCCTGAGGTTAGGGTTAGGGTTGCATTATGAAGTTACTATTGTTCTATAGGCTATGCTCACACTAACAGAGCAGCCGTCCTCCTGTGGACTCACCACCTGCAGAGGATCAGTGAGGGGCTGGTGCTCTGTGACTTGGGTGGCATCTCTGACTGCCACCCCCCCGACCCAGAAATGGATTAAGGGGAAGAAAATGGATGGATGGATGGATATTGCTCTATAGGTCTATTGTACCACAGGAGGTTGAATAGATATACATTTTCTCAACATCCTAAATATGTATTGTTTTGTGAAAAAAATATTTAGATGTAGGCCAACGCTTTTACTCCTCTCTGTATCTCCATTTTGGTCATCATGACAAGTAAGTAAGTAAGTAAGTAAGTAATCATTATTTATATACCGCTTTTTCACTGCAGATCTGAGTCTCAAAGCGGTTTACAATTGTTAATTTTGGGCATTTGTCTCTCACTCCACACAGAGATGGGAGCAGGGTTGCCAGTACAGGAGGCGCATGCCAGAACTATTGGACATATTTTTAGTGGTAGGGGAAACCGGAGTACCCGGAGGAAACCTACGCAGACACGGGGAGAACATGCAAACTCCACTCAGAAAGGCCCTGGTCCGACCAGGATTCGAACCCAGGACCTTCTTGCTGAGAGGCGAGAGTGCTATCCACTCAGCCACCGTGCCGCCCACGGTGGCTGAGTGGACGGCACTCAGGAGCGTATGCTGGCTTTCGGCAAAAAACCTAGTCCCTTTCCTCTTTCCTGTTTTTGAGAATGTAGTGAACAATAAGCGGATTAATATACCACAATATTTTTGTTGTAGTCAAATCTGTTTCTGTCTGTTTTTCAGATCACTAGCTCATACGAGTCGGAGGCCATCACACCTCATAAACTGGTGAAAGGACATGCATATTCAATCACTGGTGCAGAAGAAGTAACTGAATTAGCTAAATAGTTATGAGACATTTGTAGTTTATGGACACGTTTAAGTGATATTGGGAATGATTACAGGTAAATTGTCGAGGCAGAATGGTAGAACTGGTCCGTGTGAGAAATCCCTGGGGTCAAGTGGAGTGGACCGGCCCCTGGAGTGATGGGTAAAAAGAAACTCTTTTGAATATGATTATTATTAAATGGTGCGACCGTTCTTAATGTAATTCATTTGTTATTCAGATCGAGGGAGTGGAATTATATCAGCAAAGACGACGAAGCCAAACTGAACCGGGTTGATGATGATGGGGAATTCTGGTAAAGTCAAACGCAAAATAGATCACTCTCTTTTTTTCCTTTTTTTTCTTTTTAAAAACCTGTTATTATTATCAGCAACACAAAAAACACAAGTCCAGAAAAAACAAAATATTAAAAAATAACATATCAATTTGATATTTCTTTGAGTTATTCTCATTTAATTAGTAAAGAATACAGAAAGGCACATAGTGTTTTGTGGAATATAATTTATGCTCTTGCTGTGGACAGCTCCATTGTTGTTGTTTACTCCAAAGGATGATATTTGGCAAACCAAACCCAACTTCAATTTTGTATTTAATTCTAGAGTTTATTTATGTTTTATTTATTCTATTTTTTGTTTTTTTTGCACTATTTATCTAATGTTATCAACTCTAAACCCCTCTACATTCCATAACAGTCCACATGTTATTATGTCACAGAATACTTACCTCCTCTTTACTTTCCTCTTTTACATTCTGATATCTCATGTGTTTTTCCCCCTAGGATGTCCTATTTAGATTTCATCAGACACTTTTCAAAGCTGGAGATTTGTAACTTGACCCCAGACACGTTGGAGAGTGAAGGTGAAAGCCACTGGAACCACTACCAGTTTGAGGGGATGTGGAGAGTGGGCTCGACCGCTGGGGGCTGCCGCAACAATGCAGGTAGCTCAACCCTTTGATCTGTGTTTTTAAATTGCTCTTGTGAAGCACTTTAAATAGACTTGTATATGATAAATAAACGTGGATTGATTGATTGATACCTCACACTAATATATTTAAGTTGAAAACACATGTAAAGTTGTGTTTGTATGAATGATGGAGCAACAGTTTAGGCTTTAGGGTGTTTGACATAGATTTTACATCGCAAGAAAAACACTGCATCTGAAGATCGATCATAGCCACAACGGCCGCAGCTACTATCATGGTTTGTTCAGTTAGCATATAAACAGAGTTGGTGAGAAAGCCAGTAACTATGTGAACGCCACAATGTGAACTGTAGTTTAAATGGCTCATTATAATAAACGGATGCCACAGAAACATCCTTCTTTCTAGTCAAATTAAAAAATGTTCATCTGCAAATAAAAAGTTTCAAACTTCAAGCCAGAAACTTTAAAGACAGAATATTCTAAGACAGTCATTTTTTCCTAAAAGTTGTGTCCAATTTTGTATCTGTCATTTTTGTATTCCTTTACATTTTTAAGCTGACTGTCCAGATTCTTATTGATATTCCAATCCTTTAAATCCCTCTAATATCAACTCTTCACTTGAGACATCCAGGTTATTCATATAAAAGGTTTAAAAAGTATGTTTCTGAATTCAAAGATGAATTAAATTGAATAATATTTTTCAAGCACAACAGTAAGCTTTATCTGTGCTATAGACATTGCTTGTACTGTATATTTAAAATTATTCTATTTTTCTAAAAATGTTCTCACCTCAGTGTTTATGTAGTTTTATTGCTTTGTTCCCATAGCAACGTTCACCTCCAACCCTCAGTTCGTGGTTCGTCTGGAGCAGGTGGACGATGACCCACTGGACGGCAAGAAGAAGGGCTGCACTTTCCTGGTGGGACTGATGCAGAAGGACGGACGGAAGCAAATGCAACTCAAGAAAGACCTGGAGCCCATTGGGTTCGCCATCTACCAGGTGCAAACTTCATGGAGAATATGAGAAAGAAGGGATTAGTGTGTACAGCTAATTTTCTGTCTGACAATAAACCGCATCATTGTCAGGCCTAATTTATTTATTTAGAGGATAAGCCCCTTGAGATGAACCATCTCATTTTCGAGGGTGTCCTCGAGATTTCACAAAGTGACAGATACAGCAAAACAGATGCAAACAAAACAAAAATACAAGAAAATCATTAAAAACAAACAAGCAACCATAAAAAATACACACACATAAACCCTCAATCACTCTCACACACACACACACACACACACACACACACACACACACACACACGCTGTGACTGCACTGTAATTGCACTAAATAAGGATAATACTATTAATAATAGTAATAACAATAATTAGGAGACATATGAAAACTCATCTACCACTACCCTATCGATCAATGGCTCCTTTGTGTTTGTCATGTTAATGCATTTCCTGTGCTCATAATAACAGCTTTGTTACATCCACCTAGACAACTGCTGTTGTGAAGTAGGGAAAAAATGCATTAAATTGAATTCAATTTATGAGCTTTTAAACTCTGTTTCAACATATAACAGTAGATGTTTTAGTTCTATTCACACATACGCACTTGGAGGCAAAAGGTGGAGCCCTTTATGAGACATAGAGGACAACTAAGATCAATACCAAAAACTAAAGAAAATCATGTTTAAAAAAATTTAGGGACATTTTCCTGAGTAGCCGGGTCGCTGTAGAGAAAGTCTACTTTGATGCCTAAAGGGTTAAACATGTGAAGTAGATCTTGCATACAAACTTCTTCAGGCTTTTTCACAAAAGAGTCAAATGAGTCTTCTAAAACAATATTTACTTGACTAATCTGATAAGACTTACTCAGTTTCCTTCAAACAGGTCCTCAAAGGGCCAATGTGGCTACAGGTTTTCATTCCAACTGAGCGAGAGCAAATCAGACTACACCCAATTCCTCATGTCTCCACGTTTAGACTGCACTCACTCAATGATGGGTGTAGTCTGGTGTGCTCCTGCTTAGTTGGAATGAATAGATGCGACACAGAGAATAACGTGTGGCCTGTATTAATGCTTGTGTTTATTCTCTGCAGGTCCCAGAGCAGGTGAGCTACTTTACCCTTTATATTTCACTCACTGCACCTGTCATTTCCTAAACTTTCAGTGTGTATGTCCAGTACAAAGGCTCCAGCCACGTGCACCTGGGCCCAGACGTGCTGCTGCATCAGAGGTCAGTCGCCATGAGCCACACGTTCATAAACATGAGGGAGATCTGCGACCGCTTCACGCTGCCTCCGGGGGAATACGCCATCATCCCCTCCACCTTCCAGCCGCACAGGAACGGCCGGTTTGTCCTCCGGGTTTTCTCTGAGAAGCAAGCAGACACTAGGTATGCTTTCACCTGTGCAACAGCGACATCAAAGGGCACCACATCCACTCTGTAATTATCTGCTCTGTGTTTTTGTTTTTGTTTTGTTTAGCCCTCTGGAGGAGAAGGTTGATGCTAAAATTGAAGAGGTAACGTTGTGTAATAAGGCTGCAAGATGAATCGTTATCAAATCATTATATGGCGTTTAATAGACCATTGTGGCTCATTAAAACTTTAAGGATACATATTATGTTCATGTACTTTTTTGAACTTTTAACCATGTCACAACATTGGTCCCTCATCAGTCACAGACCTGGGGTTGTTTTTAGATCCATCCACACTCATATCAAGAACTTCTAGTACAATTACGTAACTCTGCCCCTAAAATTCTATTCTATTCAATAACATGGCTATGTGTGCAGCCGGGAATTTTCAATTTGGGAAAATAATAAATAAGACAAATAAAATTCTACCCCTCTCTCTGGTGATAGTAGGGATGAGACAGGCCTATAGCATCGTTTACCCTTTGAAACTTATTATCGACTGAAAATATAATTTCACATTCTAAAACATGAATTTAAAAAAATGTCATCGTCAAAAGATAATGCATAATATGTGATTAGTGGACAGATGTTGTTTGGTGGTTACATCCACAAATAAAGCATTTTGCCTCAAATGAACCTGAATTGGTCCAATTAAAGTGAACCAGACCAACAAGTGCTACACATGATCACATAAGTATACTGCTACCCTACACTAGCCATAAAAACTAACACATGCATCTGTGAACCAGCCACTAGCACTGGCCTCTTTGAATTTAAATACATTTGTTTAAATGTAAAACTAGGCCGCACAATATTGCCCTCTTCTTTTTTCTCAGGAGGAAATCTCAGACAGTGATATCGATCCCCATTTCAAGAATCTCTTCAAGAAACTCTCAGGAGATGTAAGTGACACAAGAGAAAGTCCCGCCATGAGTCCTATAGTGAAGTCAAAAGCATTTAACCATTTTTACATTCTTGTTATTAATACAGGACCTGGAGGTTTCTGCCTTTGAGTTGATGAGGATTTTGAACAACGTCGTGTCACACCGTGAGTGGTCATTAGTCCCATAGTGTTTTATCTAAGTAAAAAACTTCTTGTTATTAGAGCTTCTCTACTTTTAGGATCTGACATAAAGACAGATGGTTTCACCCTTGAGACCATTCGCATTATTGTCAGTCTGCTGGATGTATCCTTGAAAAAGAATAACTTGAATACATATTATTATTTTATTTATAATATTTGTTTTTGATTTTCTAATATTGAATTTAAATAGACAAATCAAATGTATGCTTACATTAGCTATCAATTAAACTACAACACCATGTAGTGTATTATACTTATATATAACAGAAAGACGAGAACTCCAAACTGGGGCTTCTGGAGTTCCACAAGCTTTGGCAGAAAATCCAAAGATACCTGGTACGAACAGAACTGCAGAAGTGTACATATGTGATGCACCGATAGAAAACTGTAACATGTTTTTGCGTTTTTGTGAGAAAAGGAGATCTTCAAAATGCACGACAAGGACAACTCTGGCACCATGAGCTCACACGAGATGAGAGAGGCTGCTACGGAAGCAGGTAATTATTTATGTTTCTATATTCAATTTCAATGCAATTCGTTTTTTGTGCATCCCTAAATCATAACAGAAGTCATTTCAGATCTGGGAGGACTTTACATAGTTGTCAATTCACCAACAGCAGATCAGCGAGTCAAACAAGAAACATAAAGGCAAGATTAGGTTAGCTCAGATCTGACTCCTCCCTCTTGGGGCCAGGACCACAGCACAAAACACAACTAACAGCTGAATCATTTTTTCTACTTTTTGCCACATGGATCACCATTCTTCAAATCAGAAATTACTCTGAAACAACACGTATCAAAATGAAGCCACTGATTACTCAACCCCTTGTTTACTTTTTCCCCTTGAGTTCTTTTTTACTGATATGATTTCAATGTTGCAAAGAGCAGTAGCAGTGTGAATGTACAGCTGTGATGTATGAAATAAACGCATTATGCTTACAATTCTTTAGCTGAAGTAAGTAAAACATGTCTAAGATATGTAGAAATAGTACTCAAACTTAGCAATAAAGGGTTGCAGACTAATATTGATATAATACTTGTCTTGCTCTAAATGTGGCTTTGTGAACTTAAGGCATAAAGCGACATTTTAAAGTCTGCCATGTCCCTGTTGTCAGACTGAACAAACCGGTTTCGCCAAACAAACAGCATGGGAGGAGCAGGAAATGTGATCCTATAAATCAGCACGTCCCAAACAGGAATACTCCATGGTGCCCACATGGTTTCACAAATAAAAAAGGACGGAAAGCTGGCTATTACTGGGATGAGAAATAATAGAAAAGTTACTGCATATTACTATAGTAGCAACCAGAATTAGTCCAGTTGGAGTTGTAGTATGAGACTAATGTGAATAATAATACAGTGAAGTGAATAATAAGGAAAACTAAAGAATGTGTTTTTTCTCAGGTTTCCATGTGAACAGTGCGGTCCTGCAGGTGATCGTGAGCCGTTACGCTGATGCTCAGTTTGCCATTGACTTTGACAATTTCGTGGGTTGCCTCATCAAACTGGAAATGTTGTTCAGTAAGTTTGCAAATCTAGCTACAGACAATGCATGCACTGCAAAATATGACAAAAACAAGTCACTAATTGCTTGAACTGGATTACATTTATCTTGATTTGAGTAAATTGTGTTGGATGTAATCTTAGATTTGCCAATAGGAGAAGAATACATGACTTTTTCAAGAGCCAAGAGTCACAAAAGAGACTTGAAATACAACGTTTTGCATTTATTTAAAACATTTATTTGAACCAAGATAAAAACTTGATCTTATGTTCAAACGGATTTTGCCGTGTGGTATTCATCCAGTGACCATGTTTTTTTTTTCTCACTATAGAAATGTTCACTGCTTTGGACAAAGGTTCTTCAGGAAAGATTGAGCTGGATATACAACAGGTGTGTTAGTTAAGATACTAAGCTTGGGATTTAAATTGTGTGTGTTTTTGGTGGATTACTACCATTATTTACCTACATTCTGATCTCTAGAGGACAGATGGATCCTACATTGATCTAACATTTCACATTTTCTTTTGCAGTGGTTGTGTTTGGCTTTGTTCTAAAGCTATGGATCAAGAAACAATAGTTCATACAAAACTTCACAATGGAACCATAGATTTTAAAGGCCATAAACATGACCTCACATAAAATGCATTCAAATTAAATATAATCTAGCTTAGCTCACCTTTGTTTTTTAAAACGCTGATTTTGATTTTGATAACAAAAAACTGTGTTCTGTCTAAAGACCAATTAAGTGAACCTAATGAGGGCAGTCTAAGCAGCAACTTTAGGATGCAGGAAAAACAAGCGATTTAACATGATTTTTACAGTGTATATGGTTACTTTCACATCAATTTTGTGCCAAGATGCCAAATAAAAACAATCTTATGATCAAATATTCTCTGTGTGTATTTCCATTGCTGTCTTGTACCAAACATTTGAATTAAGCAGTAAAGTAAGACATCATTATTTATATATAGCACATTTAAATTAAAATCACCACACACAATAATGACAGAAGTGAGCCCCTAACCATCATCATGCATGTACCCACTCAATTGCATTCAGACCTATTGTACACGTTTTAAGCAGTAGGGGAAACCAGAGCACCTGGAGAAAACCTACACAGACATGCAGACTCCACACAGAAAGGTCTGAAAGTGGAATCGAACCCAGGAAGCACAAACGCTAACCACTGCGCCACCGTGCCACCTGTAAGCAGACGAGCAGAGCCAAACTGGGTGTGGCCTGAGACACTTGATCATGTGTGACCGTGTCCTCCTGCAGCATTCGGGATTTTCACTTCATTCTGACCTGACAGCTTCACGCACAACATGTCTGGAATTGTGCAAACACTCGTCCACTACCGCAATAAGTCATCGGGCATCGGGACTAACGCCAAAGCGGTGAACTATTTGAATCAAGATTATGAAGAGCTGAAGAGGAGCTGTCTGGAGAGAGGAAGGCTTTTTGAGGATGATATGTTTGACGCCGGGCCTTCCTCTCTGGGATTTAAAGAATTAGGACCGTATTCTGCCAAAACTAGGGGCGTTACTTGGCAGAGACCCTCGGTAAGGAAGATGTATTTGGGTTAGGGGTTGAACTGCGCAAATGGAAAGTTTGAGATGCGCTGCTTTTATTAGCTGTATGTTTACGCACGGGTAAAACTTCGACAAAAATGAATATCACTCAAAATCCTGACATAAACTTAGCATCTTGTGAATATTTAGCGGAAAATGAGTTTTTGTGTTTTGTAAGAAGGTAAACCAATAATAAAGTAAACGTTTCTTGTTTTATTTGAAGAGCACAAATCACCAGAATGATTGACAATTGAGGACCAATAGGCTTGATGATCCACCCGGAAGTAGAACATCCTATTTACCTTGAAAGAGGGGGTGGAATCAATGGATTTTTAACTTCATTGCCTTTTCATGTAGCGGTGAATTATGTTTGTTTGACAGTGTTCTTACGACCACTGGACACTTTTTTTGTTGTGGGCTTGAAATAAACTAAAAACTAACCAAAAAACCTAATATTATAACAGACTCATTTTATAGAACGTGAGCATTGTATGTTTAAAAATGTTCATGATTGGCTCACAGCTTGGAAAAACTCGAAATAAAATATCAAAAAACAAATCAGAAAATTGAAAATTTTGAAAATGTACTATAAGCCATAATTATAACATTACAAACAAAGGGCTTGGTATATATCACTTTGCATGTAATGTATTAGTTTCACATTCCAGAAATAAATGTACCTCTCAATGACAATTACGTAACAAAAGATATATTAACATTTGAATTCCCAGAGTATAACCCGTATTGACAATCTGTAGTGTTCGTTCAATGGGAGTAGTTTATGGAAAAGACAAAATGAATCATCCAGGCATTAGCAACACATTTCCTTTGCAAAATACTGTAATTATGAAAAAGGAATGTTGTGCAATATACTACTACTACAACCACCACAAATCCAACACTTTATTCCAGTTGTTTTAGGTTGTATGCCAAAGCTTTCTCCCTAAATCCTGTCTATCATTGTAAGTATAAGACTTGTATTGCCTTTTTGTTTCACAGGAGTTGCAATCCAGGCCTAAATTCATAATTGAAGAGGCGACCCGAACAGACATCTGTCAAGGAGCCCTGGGTATGTCTAAAGTATAACTGAAAACTTTGAAAACAACGTAGAACAAAATAAACCAGGTTCCACCCGTCTTGGTACACCCAGTGTGAGTCAGCTGCATACCACATGCACCGCGTCTGCATCTGGAACCAGACTGTAAACACGACCTGACATAACAGAAAAAACGACAAACTTCGAGACCTAATCCTCGATTCATTTTAAGTAATTTAGCAGTAGTTGTTGTAGTAGTAATAGTAGTGCATCTGTTTTATATAGCGCTTTTTTGGACATTCAAAGACACTTCATATGTCATTATTCTTTCACTCAATACACAGTGGTAAAAAACAACTCGTGTAGCCACAGCTGCCCTGGGGCACACTGACAGAAGCGAGGCAACCAGTATGTGCCATCGGCGGTGGTGGCCGCTCGAACCACCACCAACTGTGCACACACACACACCTCACCCATTCTAGGCAATGTGGGTGAAGTGTCTTGCCTAAGGACACAACAACAGTTTACCGCTTTAATGCCATAGTCGCACTGTTGTAGCTCCTGGTGTTCCCTGAGGTCTCCCATCACATTACTAACCATGCCCTGCCCTGCACAGCTTCAGAGGTCTGATAGGATCTGGCTTTCACATGCAATTATGGCATGATAGAAAACCATTGCACTGACTGACTTTGTGAAATTTTCTAATGTGAGAGCTGTGTAAGCAGTAACCGGTAACGAAGACACGGGAAGTTTCAGGTTGGCCTCCGCCGCTTGTTTACCTCAGCTGTCTGTGCTAACAAGAGACCCGTGGCTTTTCTCAGGAAAGTGGGGGCCGAAACAAATTCTCTTCCTTGTTTCACAAAAACTCAATCTAAAATAGAATGACACGCCAGCACAAATCTGCGCTACTTATTCTTCAAAAGGACGTATATCCCAATGCACTGCATGGATATGGATTGAATTTTCGTAATGAATAGAGAAATAAAGTGGGGTAATGCAGCTTTCATTTAGAGCAAGGTTTTTCAAGAAAATATGTTCATACCAACTTCTCTTTTGTTTAAGGCTCATCTTTGTATTTTCATTATGGACTGATTTTGACCAACAAATTACTTTTATCTAACACAAATTTGTAAAATATTTTCTGGTAGATTTTTCTAAACATAATGAGTACAGTTTTATTTGGATTGAACCAAAACTAGACCAAATCTAAGGTTGTTATTATAGACTCATGTTTTCTTCTCTTCTCTTTAACTGAACTACCACTAAATATCTTAGAATTTAGAATATGTGTAGCAATTGTAGCCTTATCCTCTTACCAGCAATACTTAGTTAGTCCTACACTAAAAGGGTGTTGTGAGCCGGATGCACTCCTGATATGATGTAAAGAGTGTAATGCTTCAGGGGTAAATAAGACAAAAAAATGTTTGAAAAGAACTAATCAGCTTTAAAAAATGATCAATTTCCATATCCTAGGCACCACTAACAATGGGAGACGTCAAAATAAGTAAATGTTTGGTGTCTGTGTGTAGGTGACTGTTGGCTCCTCGCCGCCATCGCTTCTTTGACTCTGAATAAGGAGGTGCTTCACAGAGTTGTGCCCCACGACCAGAGCTTTGACGACAATTACGCCGGAATCTTTCACTTTGAGGTAACTCCACTGACATCACATTTCAATCAACTATTTTTTTAAATCCTGCAGATTAAAAATATACACAAACATAGGATATCAGTTGTCTTTGAAAGACATGTTGTTATGGCCATATCAAGAGGTTGTGAGAAACTACTGCTGACCCAAATTAGACGTTTTCCCCAGTTGTCAATCGTGTGTATTGTCCTTTTAACATGTACGACAGCTTGGAGTCCTTTGTGGTCGTTGTGGATGAGGTTCTTTGCCTTCTCTGATGGTAAAGCTGCCCATTCTTGTTGGAAAAAGCCTCCAGTTCTTGTACATTTCTGGGACACTTTGCATTGACTTCACATTTTAGATCTCAAGGTTCTGTGTCATCATTCATAATCTACAAAATATGGAAAAGACAAAACTGCAGTGTATACATTTGCATTGTATTGAAATACATTCTGCTTGTAACCTGTAACCTGAAGCCTCTTGAATAATTGAGGGGCTTTTAAACAGGCGTCACAAAACATTAAAAAGTAATATGTCTCTTCTACACCTGGTTAACTTTCAAGTCTATTGGGAGTAGTTTCAACTTTTCATGGCAATCTCATTTCATTTATTTTCTTGGCCTAAATTATTGCCGCTCAAAAACACGAATTCTCTCTATGGGTCAGCTCTCCTCTCTGCAGATACAATCTGCAACGTAGTGGATGTTGGTGGAAAATGTTAACAGTGGAACATTGCAGGCATAATGACAACATTTAGATGGATCAAGCCATACGATGTGTGATACTCTTTAACCCTTTAATTGTTTCCTCAATCATTTGGTAGATCACTTTTTGAGTCACTATTTCTACTTGAATCATGCTTGGAACTGAAATCTACCTCTTTGGGGCATCTCACTTGGTTTTTGGGCACTTATACCATTAATCTGCATCTCACCCACTCGGGAAAAGCCTATAATTATTTTTTGTAAAACTGTAAAACTAAATATTTGTTGTTAGTGCGCCTTCAACTCAAAAAATTATTATTTTTTCTTTAAGGAGTGAACATTAAAGGGTTAAGCTCCTCTAACCTCAAACAATCCCAAATATGTTATTAAGAAGTAATGTCAATGTAGTGGGGCTTTGGTGTGCCCTGTGGCTCCACCCGTAGCTCCACCCTCGCCCCACCCACTAGTTAGCTGCCCCTTTTAAACATCTGGGTAAGTTGGAGGGGAGCCATTTTGTGATGCTGGTGTGCTCTGTAGCTGTGGTCCTTTCCTCATGAATTTGTCCAAATTTGTCTTGCTGCTGTATTGCTGGAGTGGGTAGGCAGCATAAGTCTGCTGTGGAGGTAGGCCCTTACCACTTGTTACTCTTTTTCTGTCCTTAATCCGTTCTGCCCCAATGGTGACAATTGGTCTTGTTTTTATTTAGTGCTGGTTCCTAACCGTCAAGGGTGGTAAGTTGGTGGCAAGTTTTTAGTTTTAGTCAGCCTTAACAATAATTATAACTTTGTTCCACACAGGCTAACCTGCTGCTGTTTTACTTTGTCATTGTTTTGTTTTTGTTCTGTTTTGATGTTTGTTTTGCTTTTGTTTGTATCATTACTGGTTTTCTTTAGTTGCTGGTTTCTTGTTTTTGTTTTTTTGTGCCACTTGCTTTAGTCTAGTTTGTTCTTTGATGTATACTTTTGCATTTTATTTTGTTAATATAGTTTCTCTGACTAGTTTAGTTTAATTAAATCTTTTGATTTATGTTTACAGCAACAGGTTGTCTAAAACCAACTGGGTCCAGTCGTACTTCTCATTAGCAACTTTTATCTTTTTCTTTTAGCGACGCTGGGTGCCTCTGGTGGCTGGGCTAGGCACATTGGTGTGGTCCCCCACCTTTGCATGTGATTTAGTGCACTTGGTTCACGAGTTAGTTTGCACATTTCATTTGCTGTGTCTTTTTGCTGTGTCCACTGTGGTGAGTATTCTGTGTAGCACCCCTGGGCACCTCCCTGAGTAGCATGCTCACCACCGGTGGCCCCAGCTAGCTCCCTTTTTGTTTTGGTATTTGCATTTTTAGCATCTAGGCCTTTTTAGATTCATCTTTACCATTCTTTTAACTTTTGGATAACCTTCTTATATATTGTTTAATTTGTTAAATAAAATTGACCTTTTCTAACTTTAGTTTGTCCAAATTCCTTTCTCTTTTTAGCAGCATCCTTTTATCAATAAACATTTTAAACTTTCATTCACTTCTGTCATATTTTAACTTAGATACTTACCTGTGTTCCTTTTTATATTGTAATTTGATTGTGACCCTTGGGTTTTTAAAAATCAAACCACACCCTCGGTATACCACATCAACAATGTGGTCTAATTTAGAAGTCTGTTTGTGATAATGATGCGTTTGCTGCTGCTGTTTCAGTTCTGGCAGTTCGGTGAGTGGGTGGATGTGGTGGTGGACGATCGTTTACCCACAAAGGATGGAGAGCTGGTGTTTGTGCACTCTGAGAAGGGCTCTGAGTTCTGGAGCGCACTGCTGGAGAAGGCCTACGCCAAGTAATGCTCAAACATGACATTAAAGACACACTACGCAAAATACAACTTGTCTCTAACATGTCAAGTGCCATTCATAATATTACAGTAGCAAAACTGATGGGACCAGGAGACCACAAAGCCTCCACCGGAAAAGTTGCATTACTTGAACTACCTCATGACTCATGACTTTGTAAAACTAGGACTGTGCCAAAAATAGTTGTTGGATCTCCTAAACCAGGCATGTCAAAGTCAAATACATCAGAGGGCCAAAAAAATAAATTTGCTGCGAGCCGAGGGCCGGACTGGTTCAATGTTTATTCTTCTGAAATTCTTCAGAAATAGGCTGGCAGGCAATGAGTTAACTCATTGCCTGCCAGGCTGCCTATTTCAGAACAGGTGCTCCCATATTGCCAGCAGTTTCTGATGATTTTTTTAGATTTTTCAAGACCCACAGAATATTGTGTACTATGACTATCTGAAATCCGAAACCAGATTCTGAAAGAATAGACTGTCTACTTTCATCAGCAAAAAGAATTTTGTTTGTAGCTTGTAATCCCCAGTTGAGTAGAGGGAAGTTTTACTGAAATCACCAAAAAGCTGAGAAAAAAGAGGCACAACAAGTGCATCTAGCTGTTTTCAAACCATTCAGAGAGCGCTGCTGCCACCTGCTGGCTCGATTCATTATGTATATATAATAGACATCTGGGAACATGAAAATAGCGGAAAACGCAATTGACGTAATGGTGCGTCAATGGCAGGCAACGGGCCATGTAAAATTCATTCGCGGGCCGGATTTGGCCCGCGGGCCTTGACTTTGACACAAGTGTCCTAAACTCACTGTTTTTGAAATGAAGAACTGAACCAGGGGAATACAGACAATGTTGGGTTTGAACCAGTGGGGGCGGGTCCCGGCTCAATAGTGGTCAAAATGACGTGCACTGACATGCTTGCAATACCACCCGATGGGGGTGGATCCGAAATAAGAATTAGCCAATGCTAACATATAGCATCTTCTTACCTCTCAAACATCTGTACAGGATGGTCCTAAAGTTGGCTCTTGGCCCAAAGCTCCGTTCCACATGTGTGTCCATACTGAGGGGAGTGAATTTTTTTGGACCAGTCTAGTTTACTCGCTGTGAGTTTTTGAAGTCACTCGTTTAAATGAATGGGGCTTGTGCCGGCTGACGCATGCGCAGATGCGTTTTTTCACATTTTCCAGCCCCCGCGGCCATTTTGAATCACTCCACGAGAGCCCAATTTTTGGCCCATTAGTTAGAACGGCGGAGATAGGCGTGACTACGTCCGTTAATATACTGTATACAGTCTATGGCAGTGTCTCCCAAAGTGGGGTCCGCGGCCCCCTGGTGGGCCGCGAGGGTACTGCAGGGGGGCCGCGGGAGGTCATAAAAAAAAAAAATAATAATATAATTATTTAATGTTAAATTTATAATGTTTTGCTTGTAATATTAAAATATTTGTGTTCATTATTTGACTTGAATAATCCACTGTAATCATTTGTGTATTACAATGTTTGTAGCAGAGGCTATTTCCCCAAAATAAAATAACCAGAAGAGCCTATTCTTAATGTTGTCTTCTTGGTTATTATTTTGGGGGGCCACGCAGACCCGTCAGATTTTTAAGGGGGCCTCGGTGTTACTGAGTTTGGGAATGGCTGGTCTATGGTTTGAATATGAATTGAAAAAGCTAAGTGTTTGCACCTGCCTGTGTTTACTTAGTTCTTATTTCTATTACAGGGACGGTACATATTAATGGACATTTCTATAAATATGCCAGAATTAGCCAAGCAGCAATTTTTTCAACCGTAGTCTCGTGTCTCCTGAAAGATGAAAACATGTCAGCTACACAGACTATGTAGCTAACAAGCTAGCTACAAGCAAGCATATTGAATTTTTATTTTACTAATTGTTGTCATTTGCTTTGTTGACATCACACTCGCTCCCAGCACAGCGCAGTACGTTGTGTGTATATTACGCGTAGGACTTTGTTTTCAGCGGGTATAAACAACATAAATTAAGAAAGGATTAAAATACATGTATACATTAATGCTATTCTTCCCTACAAAACAAAAATATGCACTAATTACAACCCAAAATGTTTTCTGTAACTAACAAAAATGAAAAAAGCATGAATTAATGTCAAAGGTATACAAAACATTAGGAACATTCTGATCGAACACGGAGAGTAATCTATTTGAGGATATTTTTTTTTATTGCTGAACAGATTTCATGTGATTTGTTTACAATAGAAATACAAGTTAAACTATCTGGTCACAGTTTTTATGACTTTGTATAACCTTTAAAGACTTAACCTAAATAGAATGTAGATTTTATAAATTTTTTCAATTATTGTCCTTACTAAGCGAAGTCTACTAGTTTTAAAACCTTCAAAATGTTTCTATTTCATTTTCCTATTTAAAGATGCAATGGAAGGGACAATAAGTGTAAAGAGTTTGTGAGAATAAGTGTTTAGATTTGTGGGTGGATCGCCACCTTGTAACAATTTGAGGACTTTTACCCAATCTTCTTAATTTGTTCTTCTCTATGACTTAATAATCTTTTAATCATTCTCTACCTAAGCACAGTTTAACGTTGATCTGTATGCACCTAATTTAGATTGAACGGATGCTATGAGGCCCTTTCCGGAGGCTCCACCATCGAAGGCTTTGAGGACTTCACCGGAGGCATTGCTGAAAACCACGAACTGAAAGAACCGCACCCACACCTGTTCCACATCATCCAGAAGGCGCTGGACAGAGGCTCCCTCCTCGGCTGCTCCATTGATGTGAGTTTTTACAATGTCAACTTTTCTCTCAAGCCTCAAATGTGATTCATCTGTGCTCCTTCTGTGTCCAGATTACAAGCCAGAATGACTCGGAGGCTGTCACCTTTCAGAAACTGGTGAAAGGCCATGCGTATTCAGTGACTGGAGCAGATATGGTGAGTTATTGTTATTCTTTTGCATTTTCAACCAGCTACACCTACTGTCTTTGTCTTATCTTTAGCAATATGTCACACGCATTGTTGAGAATCATTTCACACCATCTCACGATACCGTCACACGACACCATCGCATCTCAAGATACTGTATATACATCCAAATCTATCATGTTCGCCTGCACAAAAGTTTTAGCTTTTTAAGTTTCTACATATTGGTGAAACTCAACACTCATTCGAAAGTTCATTACTACAATCTAACATAATAAGTTACAACATTTGAAATATCACATAACACATCCATAATAAAAGTTAGAAGTCCCTTGGTATGCTGTGGTGACTTTGAACAGGGACAGCGCACAACCAACCAAGACAAAGTCATAGGAGAGACGCTGTGCCAGGTTTTAGAAAACATGAAGTGTACACCTGTATTCCCTGAGTGGGTTGTGTAACAAAAAAAGATGGTCATATAAACACTAGAACTCTCAGAGCAGTCAAGTAGACAGTGGCTCAGTTGGTAGAGCATTGGCCTTTGGGCCTGAAGGTCGTGGGTTCGAGCCCACCGGATGACCTTCTTCACGACTCCCACTGATGTCTGCTGTCGTTGTGTCCTTGGGCAAGACACTTAACCCCACTGTGCCTGAAGCCCCCACTGAAAGATCTCAGCTCCTGTGGACTCACCACCTGCAGGAGGATCAGTGAGGGGCTGGTGCTCTGTGTACTGGGTGCAGCTCTGACTGCCACCCCCCTGACCCAGAAATGGATTAAGGGGAAGAAAATGGATGGATGGAGTTTAGAAGTGTAATTACTCTCGCCAGACTCTTGTAGTTTGCTGCACTTCCTCATTTTCAGCCAAACGCCTCTGGTGGAGAAATGCCGAACTACAAGGGTCTGGCGAGAGTCAGGCTATGTAAATACTCAGCTCGTGTACCTCGTGTATCTGTCTGCAGTTAATTTCATTATTTTCATGGCAACCAACATTCTTTGGCAATTAAAGTCCCTTTTGAACTAAAACTGGTGGAAAACAAACTAACTTTTTTGTAGATTTTTTCAAAATTCCATTTATTTGAATGGGTGCCATCAAAATGCTTGCTCTGGGGTCATTTTGGGGATTCCAGTAGTTTCCAAATTCTGGGAGTCCAAAGGATACTAAGATGACATCAAGTCTACTAAAAAGATCCTGTTCTCATTCATCAGCCTCATGGAAGTTCTCACATCTCACATCCTCATTCAGCAAATCAGCCCAGATATGTGCAAACTGTAAGGCATCACTTCTTTGTCGGCCGTTGGAACATGTAGATGGGTCCTATAGAAACTCATTACTTTGATCTCGGCCTATGATAACGACTAACTGATGGGAAATTTTCCAAGTAACTTTTGGACATATTGGAATAAAATGATAAAACAAACCCGTGTTAAAACAATTGAAACATTAACAAACTGTATATCCTGCAGGTGGAATACAGAGGAGACAACGTGCAGCTCATCCGCATCAGAAACCCGTGGGGCCAAGTCGAGTGGAACGGATCCTGGAGCGACTCGTGAGTGTGACCAGGTTTTACACAATGATGAGAACAAAAACAGTGGAAGTCAGTGGCCTACAATCATGAGACACTGACTATGTAATGATGCATCTTCATCATTTTGATTTTGTTTGCCTTCCAACATTTGTCTGATGAAGGGCCAAGACACGTCACCTCAACATAAACAAAGAAGCTGGAGATAATAGCTTTGCAGCAGGTTTTTCCAGTATATTCACTGTCAGTATTCAAATCCAGAAGTTACAAATTGTATCCCTTTTTTGTGGCTGCTCAAATTTAAGAGGTTTCCTTGCTAGCCTGATTTTTGGGAAGGAATACTATTTTTGTATATCATATTTACATATTGGTTTATAATATATTATAAGAAAATGATACAGAAAATGTACATTAAACACAATGACTGGAAGAAACAAAACGTGAAAGTAAACATGAGGACTACTTTCGCTTGGATAAGTAAGATAAGTGTACCTTCAATATTTTTTATCATTATTCTAAGCGTGCCTCGCCTGTGTGTGCGCCAAGCCCATAGATGTATAACCGGCAGAACTGGTATTTTGTGTGTTGTGTGTTGTGCACATATTGCCATGCCACCACACCCTCTGCAGGGACAAGAGAACATTTAAGGGATTAATAGATGGAGACTGTTTGATATTGTGATTAATAATCTGTTAAAAATGTTTTATTCATGAAATACAGAGGTAATAATATTCTAATAATAATAAGTTAAATTTGTTTTGTGTAGCAATTTTTGTTAGATTTTGCATTACTTCAATATACTGCAATATTTATTTGCTCCATACATTGAGGTCCTCATCTCAACTCCTCCTGGAAGTACCTAGGACTAGGTCCAAACACTGGGATGACCGGTCCTTCTCAGTCGCTGGACCCAGGCTCTGGAACAAGCCGCCCCCTGATATGTTTGTCCTCACTGATTTTGGCTTTTTTAAATCGAGGCTCAAAACGTATTTTTTTATTTTATGCTTTTTAACTGTGTTATTGTTTTAATGCATACATTTTAATGGATTTTATGTAATTTTATTGTGAAGCCCTTTGGTCGCCTTGAGTGTTGTAAAGGTCTCTATAAATAAAATTGATTGATTTAATACACTGGTGGTAAACTACCACTGGCATCATATTGGGCACCTGGTATTTCCAGTGGTCTCCCATCCCAGCACTAACCAGGCCCTATCCTGCTTCACACATGAGATCTAATGAGATCAGGCTTTGATCTCAGGGAGGTATGGCCACATTTTTACATAAAATGTTAATTGTAGAGGGAGAAATGGCCACATTTCAAAGACAACCATATTTGATTTATTTTACATTATTACCCGCCAACTCCACAGATCGTCACAAAATGTAATGGCCTCTTCCTTCCATCACTTCCCATCTATTTCAACACAATCTGTCTGTAGGCAGGACTGCGCAAAAATGACTGGAATAACACACAGACACACACACATACACTGAGAATAACAAATACAATAGTTGTTGGCAGAGTAGACCAATGAACACGACTCAAACAATGTGACCATTTGCTAAAAGTGGAATCGATTATTGTAATTTTGTGACATTTCTTACTGTTTTTCAGATCTTATGAGTGGCAATCTGTGAGCAACAAAGACCGTGACAGACTGACCAACCGCAAAGAAGACGGAGAATTCTGGTGACACTGGACACGAGAAAAAAAGCAGATGTTAAATGAGTGAATAAGATCTAAATACCATGTTTCTTATAGGATGTCATTTACGGATTTTCTGCGTCATTTCTCGCGTTTGGAGATCTGTAATTTGACCCCGGACGCTCTGACCAGTGACAACTTACTGAAGTGGGCGGAGCTCGAATTTGAGGGGACGTGGAGAGCGGGCTCATCCGCTGGCGGCTGCAGGAACTACATAAGTACTGAATACACAGACGATGACTTTACAATGCCTTTGAATGAGTCAGACGCTTCTGTCCACACGTGTCATTTGTGCCTTTTCTCTCCATAATCCTCCACCCTATTCACTTATTCCAACATTTATTACATTGTCCTTTTTTCTTATCAATCTTCTGGCAATACCCAATTATGAGAAAGTGATAGAACTTATGCTGTATTGTACACGGCCCACCTGTGGAGGTGCTATAAAAAGAGCAGTTTGAAAAAACTTACTGTGGCATACAATGATGCCATGCGGATGCTGCTGAGGGTCCCATTGAGCCAGTGTCATGTTTGTAAATGCTGCTGTTCTGCGTAATCTCATGTACAGGTGGATGTGCAGACTGCCCCACTCTGTCAACAGCATCATTGCTGCATTGACCAACAGGCTAAGCTTGGTGCGTTATTTCTCCAGTATATGAGCTCACTGGCTCCAGAGCCTACTGTATACAGGAAATGATGTATCTTTTTTTTTTTCGTTTTTTAAAATGTGTTTTTTGTACGTCTTCCAGTATGGACCTTTTACTCTTGTGTCCGAAATAGGGGTGTGACGATATATCGATTTTTCGATATATCGCGATACTTTCTCCCGCGATTCGATTATCGATATGCATTTGCCAAGTATCGATATCTATTTTGAAAAAAATAATAATTGGTATCAATACTTAATATATGGCTACATTAAGCACCTCCATTTCATTTATCATGAAATAAAGTGTATTTTTTCTTTTATTTATGCCATAAATTGGCATATTGTATATTTCTGACCAATATATAGCAATTATCGTTATTGTGATAATATCGTTATCGTGAGCTTTGTATCGTGTATCGTATCGTGAGGTACCCTTAGGTTCCCACCCCTAGTCCGAAATAAAGTATTGAATTGAATTGAATTGAAAATTCTCAAACAAATTTGGGATTCCAGTTCCCTCAGGTGGTAGCATAGCGCTAGAGGTGGCATGGCTTTTTTTACACTTTATCAGAATCAGAATCATTTTTATTGCCACGTAAGTAACAGGAAGTCACAGACTTGGAAATTGCTTGGAAAAAATAGATAATAAAAATAAAGAATAAAAATAAAGAATAAAAAACACTTCTAAAGAATAAATTTAAATTTAAAATAGAGTTACAGTTACTATTTACAATATACAAGTACTTTATTTCTGTTAAAGATATTATTTCCTACTATAAACAACATATAAAAACATGAATTGACAAATGAAAATGGTCTCATTTTAATTTTAATGGCCGAAAATGATGCATGATATTACTTCTATTAGGTTGTGAAGTCATTGGCGAGTAGGACCCAAACTAAAATGTTGTTCATCCACAAAAAATCAACAAAATCCTGAACTCTCCCAGTCTACTACTGCTTTGTTCTATAGGCTATTGCAGCAGTGATGTTTCTTTTCCACAGGTAGTTTCTGGAGGAACCCTCAGTTTGTTATTAAACTGGAGGATGTGGACGATGAGCCTGACGATGGGGAGGAGTTGTGCACTTTCATCGTGGGACTGATGCAAAAAAACAAACGGAAAATGAGAAAAATGGGACAGGACATGGAGACCATTGGATTTGCCATCTATAAAGTATGAACTGCATTGGCAAAAAATATACAGAGAGGATAAAGAATATATTTCTATTGATTTGTGTTTTTTGTATTCCAGCTTCCAGAAGAGGTAATGGTCAACAATTACACTGAACAGCTGTAAAAAACTGAAACAAATACTACAATACCAGTTCATTACCACTATTACTAACTACTACTGCTACTACTGCTGCTGCAACTGCTAATGTGTGTAAAATTGCTTCCATAACAGAAAAAACGCGACCCATTACGGGCGGCACGGTGGCTGAGTGGATAGCACTCTTGCCTCTCAGCAAGAAGGTCCTGGGTTCGAATCCCGGTCGGACCAGGGCCTTTCTGAGTGGAGTTTGCATGTTCTCCCCGTGTCTGCGTAGGTTTCCTCCGGGTACTCCGGTTTCCCCTACCACTAAAAATATGTCCAATAGTTCTGGCATGCGCCTCCTGTACTGGCGACCCCGCTCCCATCTCTGTGTGGAGTGAGAGACAAATGCCCAAAATTAACAATTGTAAACCGCTTTGAGACTCAGATCTGCAGTGAAAAGGCGGTATATAAATAAAAAACTTACTTACTAACTTACTAATTATTGATGAGTCCCATAAACACTGAAGCTTTTTTTTGTCTTACACTGTGCACACCATACACAGTGTTGAAGTTCTTGTGTTTTCAGGATTGATGGATGGAGATTGATAAGGATTTTGAATTTTGGCTCTCCTTGAAAACTCAAATAGTTACCTTACTTTCAAAGAGACATTTGGTCCAATGGTCTCATATACATCACTGCTACTGCTTTCTAATGGTCTTTGTTGTTATACTTCAGTTTTCAGGCCTCAAACAAGTTCATTTGAAGGAAGATTTCTTCAAGTACAATGCTTCGGCGGCCCGCTCCAACACCTTCATCAACCTGAGAGAGCTGTCCAACCGCATCAGCCTGCCGCCCGGTGAATACCTCATCGTGCCTTCCACCTTTGAGCCCAACAAGAACGGAGACTTCTACCTGCGCGTGCTTTCAGAGAAGCCTGCGGATTTTCAGTATGTACAACTACTCAAAGCATCTGTTTGGGCCTTCTCATAATCCACTAGGTGTAACATCAGAGATAATAATTTGAAAACCATATACACAGCTAAGGCTTAAAGAGTGCTTCTGACAAGAGTAAAAGTATGAAGGAGTTAGCATTGCTTATTTACCAGGCCTGGGAAAAACATACTGCCCAATTCACGTTTCTCGATCTTTGGTCCCTGGACCCATCCCAGCTGTAAGCTCAAACTGACACACCTTTTTCATTAAAAACAGCCACATGGCACATAACCAGTTGAAATAGTTGTCTAATTGAAACTCACCAGTCTTTATTAACAAAGCAAATTATTCTCATCCAAGTGTATTATATAGAAAAGCTCAAAGGCATTCCATGCTTCTTCATGATCTCTTCACATTATTTTAAGCAGTGAAGTGATGTTGGATAATTTCCAAAGGCAACTCAAGGCACACTAACCTGTCACAGCACACTGATTGAAAAACACTGGCCGATATAATTGAATGGTAGTGTATGAAGGTTTGAAGTTAATTCTTCAAGGTTAGTATTGTTCTACCACGGAATGTTATACATCCCCCCCCCCCCCACACATGTATTTTGTTCTAAACACTGAAAATGAAACAAACCCAAATGAGAAACAATTGTAGGTCTCTAAATGACCAGATATCCAGTCTTGGCATTAAATACTCTTCCAATGTATTATTGACATTTAAAATACAATAAAATGAGAGAATACCATGTAGAGATTCTTGACTTCTTTACACTTGTCTCCTTCCTTTTTTGTTGTAAATCTGAAAGAAACACATACAAATGTTCATCAATAAATTGTACAGACATTACACATTCTGTGTAATGTCTTGCACGAATCACTACATCCCCATGTCCTCCAGAGGGCAGTATTCTAACCCTGCCAAAACAAACCATGTGCAGCAAAATAGGTTTCACAAAAATAAATTAATTAACCAAAATATTTAATCTAACATGTGGCACCCCCGCAAAAACAATTGTCTATCCCTGTGTTAAGCAATACTAGTTTATATTGACGTATGCTAGCTTATATTAGCGTATACTTGCTAATACTAACAATACTAGCACAATACTTGACACTTAGGAGAATAGTGAGCTTGGGGTCCTTTTTTGCAACAGAAATAGTTTTGTAAAAGTAATATGTAATGCTCTTTGTGGACTTTTATGTCTGAAAATTTGATCCAAAGATTTGTTGGATGCAAATGTGTCATACAAATGAAACCAAAATGTTTCTTTGTTTGTTTTATGGCAAAGCTAAAAAGTTTTGTGCATTGAAATTTACCGTTTTTTGTTTTGATAGAAGAATTGAGAGAAAGTTTAGATTTATAATAAGCAAAACATGTCTTGTTTTATTTAGATTTTCTCTTAAATTGGCAAACTATTGTCTTTCATTAATCTCACAATAATCAGCCCCCTTCTACTGGAAACTCTTGTTTTAATTGTAGCGTGAGAAGGAGGCCTGCACACCCAAGTAGGCGAGGCGCAGTGTAAATGTGTGACTGAGACAATATATTATGACGTTACAGGAATTATGTCAGGACATTTTTACAATTAGATGTTTGCAACTATTCCATTAGTGCTTTTCAAATGTTATTCAACATACCAAGATTTTTTGCTGGGGAACCAAAATGTATTTTTCATTAGAAAACATGTTATCTAGTAAGTAAGAGGCCTAGACTGAGAGCCGAGAGCTTATTATTGTTAAAAAGCTCTTGTGACACAGGCCAAATACACATGCTTGTTTTGGTGGAACAAAAGGTACAATGAACTTGTTACATGGCTGGTACTGCATTGTGTATTTTTGGTGGTTTAGTTCTGCACCACAGCTTTAATGGCCACGATGCTATTCCATTCTGCATCCCTCAGTTACATAATATATTTATGCTGTTAATTTCAGCGAGATTGACGACCCAGTGACCTGTGACATTGAGCCAGTACGTAAACTCAGATTTAGATTATCCTTTTAATTTTAATTTAAATTTTGAATCCACTGTATTTTGATTTTCAGATTGAGATTGATGAAGACGACGTGTCAGACGGCTTCAAGGGTCTGTTTGTAAAACTTGCTGGACATGTGAGTTCTGTCATGAACTATGCTTGATGGTTATTACACTAGTTCAGTACTAAGGGAAGGGCACACATGATGCTTTTCAGAAAGACTAATTCATAAATGAAATAATAGAATTAAATATATTATTTGAGGGGCTGGTGCTTTGTGACCCCGACCCAGAAATAGATTAAGGGGTAGAAAATAGATTGGATGGATAGTTTCTTTGGACATTACACATTAATCAACATTACTGTGAATGCGCCAGTATTAGCTAAAAGACTTGGGTCTAACTGTGGTCCACTGCGAGCTAAGTTCAATACCAGAAAAATAAAAAAAATATGTATTGTACATGTTTAGTAAAGTTAGTTGAAATATTACTATCACTATTTACTCCTATTGTTTTAACACTGTGTTTTGTGTGCTATATTTTATCTTAACATATTTTCCTTAAATGTTTTTCCATTAAGTATGGCAAAAAATCCATTGGGCAGTTTCTGAAAATGTCTTATTTGGTCAAATTCTTACTTATGAACTTGAACTTCCTTTACATAAAAGCTCCTCCATTTACCGTTTTGTTCTCTTCTTTCAGGATTCTGAAATCTCCGTGTACGAGCTGCAAAAAATCCTCAACTCTGTCATATCTAAAAAAAGGAGTCGTAAGAACTAAACCCATTGAAATACATTGAGTCACATTTGTAATTTTCCAAATGTAACTTTTTAATATTCAGAAAACAGGATCAAGTTTGATGGCTTCAGCCTGGCAACTTGTCACAACATGGTCAACCTGCTGGACGTATCTTTTCATTCATGTTTTCCTGCCCGCTTGTATGTAATATGTACGTACATAATCGTTGTGAGATTTCCTTAACTTTTCACAGAAAGATGGAAGCGGGAAACTGGGAATGGTTGAATTCAAAATCTTATGGACAAAAATAGAGAAGTTTTTGGTAAGATATTTGCAAACGTAATATTGTTTTTGTTTTCATTACTTTTATGTGGAGAACATGGATTATTATTACAATAACAATGTTTATGTTAATGACAATATCTTTCCTAAAAAAAGCTTTTTTCCAAGCGTATTTTTGTCCAATAATTTAACCCGACCTTTACTTTGCTTATACTCACAGTAAGCCGTGGGTCTCTTCTAAACCCCTTACTACACAAACCTCTCTTCCTATAGAACAGCTTCAAAATTCATGAATAAATCAAATTGGATCTGTTTGAGAACCCTTTGAAGCACAAGCAAAATCCCTTTGTGAAACTGAGGCCGTGTAGTTTCTGTTTCTGGTGTCACATGTACAGTACTTTAGTCCTCTGGTTGGAGCAATCTCTGCACTGAGAAACATCAATCTCAAATGTCAGCCTATGTTTCCCATGGTAAACCTAAAGGGAGGTGTAGCTGGTGCCTGGGATTGGAACTTTTTAGACAGTAGAATATAGGCACACATTCGGTCTTAAATTCCCTGTTCACTGGAAATTAGATTCAAAGCACTTTTTTGCAAATGTTTTTGTGAGTTTGTAAATATAATCCTTGAACAGTTTGAACTCCATTTGACAGATTGCTTTTCTACGGACATTTTTGACATGTCATTCCTGGAGTCTTTCACAGTATGACATTACACATTTAAGGAGCCATTTTTAGATACAAGGATGTGTTGGGCTTTTTTATCACCATGAATCTATGTTTACGTGTGAATGACTTTGTTCCCCCTTTTTTGTTTTTCCATCAGGGCTTGTTCAAGGCGAGGGACAGCGACGATAGCGGATGTATGAGCAGCTCTGAGATGAGGATGGCTGTCGAAGAAGCGGGTACATTGTATTCTTTATTTTACAAACTCTATCTACTTTATTGGAGGTCAATATTGCATTATGTGGAAATTGTTTATCTAATGGATCTTCTTCTCCTGGATTAAGCTGTAGAGGTTTTAAAATTGATGCAGGCCTTTTACTGAAACTTCACTATAAAAAATATATGTGATTATCCTCTTTTTAAAGTTTAACCAATTAGTATTAAGAATTCTATCTTTTTTCATCTCATAGTTGAAATCAGGAACATTTCAACATTGTCAAAATAGAACTGGAAAAATTCAGGCTGAGATGTTATATTAGTATCTTTTTGAGACCATTTTAGACAACTAATACAATTATATTATAAAGGTGGCTTGGTTACTTTTTTTGTGTTGAAAATTTGTCTTGTCTTCTGTGTGTTTATAAAATTATTGTCCCATTGAACTGAAAAACCTATTTCTTTTCTTATTTTTTATCCACTTGACAGCCACAAAAGTTTGTTGGTGTGTCATTGTATAAAAACCAATAGCGCCCAAGACTGAATGAATATGTACGTTTAAGTCTGGTCTCTTCTTTCTGCAGGTTTTCGTCTGAACACTCCTTTGCACCAGATTCTTGTGGCTCGTTACAGTGAACCAGACCTCTCCATAGAATTTGATAACTTTGTCAGCTGCCTCATCCGAATGGAGTCGCTCTTCAGTAAGAATAGTTACTAATTAACTCTATAAACACAGGCCTGAACACGGACTGTTATAGGTTCAACAATCAGTTCTGTCTAAAGGAATGGGCCAAAATTCCATCTATTTGCTGAGAAGCTTGTGGAAGGCAACCCAGAAAATGGCTTAATCAGTAAAAAGGCAATTCCTTCACGTGTATGTAAACCTCTGGCCCTCTAGTGGTCCTACCTTGCTTAGCTTCAGAGGTCTGTGGTTTTGAAAAAGAAATCGATCAATAATGATTTTATTTTATTTTTTTATGAAGCCAATTTACATGAGTGGTAAAGTTCAAATACCTCCAAAAAGCCAAATTTATATAGTTAGAAATTATGTTGTGGTGGTATCTGAATATCTTTTCTTAACTCAACTTTTCTGCACTGAAACAGATACGTTCAAGGCTCTGGACCAAGACGGCTCTGGACAGATTGAGTTAGATATGAAACAAGTAAGTGAGACATTATTTTGGTTAAGAGGCTGTTTTTGAGGACTTTGACTTTCCAATGATCAGAAAGTCAAACAGTTTGAACACACAAAATGCAAACACGTAGGAGGCATTGGTCCACAGGGAGCGTCAATAATTGTTTATAAAATTATCTTTAGCTCTAACAAGAGATTAAATGTTTGTTTTTTGTTATTCTGTTAATTTTCCCAATACTCCGCTGAAGATAATTGAATGCAAATGACATTTACCGTATTAATACTGTACATTATGTGAATTTCACAATAATTGTAACACTCAAAACAAAACCAAATCTTTTATTTAAAAATAGGTTCTGTGTTATTTGATACAAACGTGTATAGTTAATGCAGGTTTGTTGTGTCGCATATAATAATAATGTAAAAGTTAAATATACTGATTTTAAAATGTTTTAAAATGTTCATTTAGAAGTTTCTGAGTAATTTTATATTTCTGTATTGACTGAAGTCTGTGTTTGTTGACAGTGGCTGAGCCTGACCATCCTTTAGGACCCAGACTTCAAAGTGCCGTCTTCACATCCGACAATTTAATAATAGAAGCGATATTTAAATAATGAACCTAAATGTAGAAGAATCTGTTAATTCTTGGTGTTTGTCTGAACGAATGATTCCACGTCTTTTTCAGTTGGGGTTGTTTGTAGTCATTTCAGAAGGTGGAAAAATAAACTATTAAACATCTGTATATATTTAGCTTTCTGACTTTTTTAGTATTATTTGTTGATGCCTGTGTATCATAACAATAAACTCAAAAGATTAGGACTAAAATAACAACATATAATATTCCATGTAGATTCATATACAGTGGAAATTATAATTACTTTTTGTTTTGATGTTTCACTTTCTGAAATGACATGTTTGAGTATCTATACACAATATCACCAAATGTTTTAGATTTACTGTTGGTGTCTTGTCTATTAGAGTTGTGCTGTTGAAAAATAAAAGGTTAATTTTGGACTTGTCTCCGGTTTATTTATTTCAGCAAATCCATTATTATGTTGTGTTCTGTCCAAACTGAACAAATCCAATTAGTTTTTCTATCGGTCCACTCAAAAAAATTTATGATTCACTTTTTGAGGTTACAGGCATCTGGTAATGTCCATTCCTCTTTGAAAACACGTGATAGCTTGACTACTTTTAGGGTTTAGGGAGTGAGATTTGATGTGAAAATTATTTTTATCGTTGTAATGACAAACTGTTATGAGAGAGATTAACTAGTTATTTGAATTTGATTACATGGTTCTATGAAGGTTATTTTGTGTTTTTATTAGCAACACTTGTTTTTGCTTTTGAATTCTATAAACTGTAACAAAAAAAGTATTCAGTGTAAATAAATTCTATGTTTTAAAATTCAGTGTCCAAAAATTCATTGTTTTAAAATTCAGTGTCAAAATATTCAATGTTTTAAAATTCAGTGTCCAAAAATTCAATGTTGAAAAAAATTCAGTGTCCAAAAATTCGTAGCATTTTTTTTCGCTGCTTGAAATGTCATGCTTTATTTCCGGGTAAATCAAGAACAAAGCAATCGATCAGCCAATCCTCCATAGATGTAGCCAGGGCCAGAACATGACTGGTCTTGTTCATCTGAACATGGCGTCCACAGCAAACCAGTAAGTGTGTGAGATTTCATAACACTTTTAAGCAACTTTTGTTAAAGTTAAACTCATCATTCTATCAATGTGCTTTTCCCTAGTGATGGCAATATGAAGCCCCATGAAGCCTTGAGGGATCGCAGCCTATTACTCAGCCCATGAGTCGAAGGCTCGAGGTGAATCATGCTCCACTACGCCATCATGTGGACAAAGAAATGTAATACATGCCAAGGGCCTATAACAAATGGTAGGGTCTGAACATGGGCTGAAAGAATACAGCCAATGATGTAAAGACAGTTGTTATGTAAAATGTGCTTGTGTTACTTTGTTTATGTAAGTGCTTATGCAACTATTGACAGGAGTTGAAAAACAAACAATACAGTTATTCATTTTTATTCAAAAATAATTTTTCAAGAGTATTTGGACTCAGGCGATTTCTTTTTTTGCACAGTATTTCACCTGACTTTGAAAAAACCCGTTCACAGGGCACAGAGGATGCAGGTGAACATAAATATGTAATGGCAAGTTTATATACATTTGGAAATGTAAACTTATGTTTGTCCCAATATTTAAGGGGACTTTCGAGTCGAGGAATATTTGGCTCCCCCAGGTATGTTTGGACCTCCACTGTAGCGTTGGCAGTTATGTTTGGGATTTTGGTCTGCTGGCATGTCGTGTCAAAACGTTGCCACAGTTTGCTCCCTTAAACAGAATAAACAGGTTATAAGTGACTTATTAGCACAAATAGAGTATACATATTACCTTCAGCTACAGATGATGATGATGGTGATGATGATGATGATGAAGCAGAAGCGGACAATGAAAGTCTCAAAACTCGAGCACATTCGCCAAACAATCTTTTTTCAGCTTCTGCTGCCTTATTGGGGTTGAAGAATCCAATCTTTTTAAATCTGGGATCAAGCAAGGTAGAGAGGGACATGATGCTCATTGATTGGAGGTGGCTGAGCTTGTCCCTCAGTTGTCTTCGCAAATACTCAGCCATGTCTCTGCTCTCAGGTGTTTGGATATGGCCGATCTCCTCTTCTTCCAGAGCATTATGGAGAATGGTCAAAAGTGGAACTACTTTTGACCCAGAGACTCTTTTCTCCTCGGACACCTCAATTGTGGCATAGTAGAATGGAGCGAGCACCTTCAGACAGTCTGCAATGATGTTATATTGTTCTGCTGAGATTTGTGTAATGTCTGTACAGAGCCCAGCCAAAGCTGCTCCAACAGGCTCTCTCAGGTTGAACAGACGCTGAAGCATTAAGTACGTGCTGTTCCATCTTGTATCCACCTCTTGAATAAGTTTAAGCACGGAGAGACCCATTTGTGATTGAATCTGTGTAAGTCTCTCCTATAAAACAGTCAACAAATTAAAACAGTGCAGGAGCAGAAATAATAATTGACATATTACAAGTAAGGACCTTACCTTTGCAGTAGTGCTGCTCTTAAAGTATCCTACTATCTTACGACAGTTTGTCCTGATGTCACACAACTCAGGACTTTGGTCGAGAGCTTTTTTGATCATTAAGTTTAGCGTGTGTGCCACACAAATTGTGTGACGCATATGTAGCTCTCGAGCACAAGCTCCCATATTCGCAGCACCATCAGTCACCAGACATGTCACCTTTCCTGCTAAACCCCACTCTGACATAAGAGAGGTCATCACTCTCGCTAGATTTGCTGCTGTATGTGCCTTAGGGAAATGCTGCACCCCAAGGACAACAGTCTGCAGAGACGTGCTCTCGTCAATAAAATGACCAGTCACTGCAAGATAGGCATCAGTGTTGATGGAGGTCCACATGTCTGCTGTTAAACTAACAGCAGATGCAGAAGACACCACCACTTTGGCCTTGTCTTTGGCTTCCCTGTATCTCTTCTCCACCATGGCTTTCAAAGTCTGAAAAAAGTAAAGTCTTGAAATAGTGGATCTGAGGATAATAAATTGTTAATAGTTCACATAAATACCTGCCGCGTGGGAAGAACATAAGATGGTGCCAAAGCTTTCACAAGCTTTCGGAAGCCAGTTCCCTCCACAATGGAAAAGGGCTGGGAATCCTCAATCACCATATCCACCAACGCCTCAGTCAAGTCAACCGTCTCAGCTGAAAGAAAATGCACATTAGGGTTAGAAATTTATCTAATGAACAAATACATTCAAATAAAATATATTTAGTGTAATTGTAGGACAATCATCAATTATTATCATGATATAAAATGGCCTACCCGAGACAGGTTCACCTGGGTTGGAATCCACATTGCTATGCAAGGCACGATAGTGCCTTAGCATAGCTGAGGTGTTATTATTATAACCCAGTTGTTTGGAGCATAACAGACACTTCACCTGCAATTGAAAAAACTATTATTCAAACGTATTTATAACAGAGAAAAGTGAGCAAGAGAAATTATGTGTTGTCATATTTGTGTAATCTATTATTACAGAATTATTGATATGCCTTACCTTATTAGGTGAGATCTGCTCAAAGTGCTCCCAAACTGGAGAAAATCTTCTCTTTCTTGCCGGTTCCATCGCAAAAAAGAAGCTCAAATAGGATGCCAAATAGGAGGCCAAATGAGAAGCGCAATAACCCAAAAACACACAAAGTGATGAAGGGGAATCCATTGCGTTCACTCGTCCCTTTTATTTCGAATCGCGCTCCAAACCAACAAATCATTTCCTGAATCAGTCACATGGTACGACCGTTCGCGAGGCTTCGAACGTCATCACACACGTGACCAATACACGCCTCGACCCACACTTCAAAAGAAACGCCCCCAGATTACTCGGTCCACGCTTCGAAGACTCGGCCCGCTCAGCACATCACTACTTTTCCCTTGTTTTGTCTATCTGAAGGCCAAGCTACATGGCACCGTGGAAGCTGCTGATTGGAGGTCTCCATGCCTCCGCTCTGTATAATACACTTGCATTCTGTTGTATCTGTGTTCGTGTTGTTCGTGCTGTCTCTACCATCGACAATAAAACATGTCTTCTGTCTGAATGAAAGACGCAATCCCAGACTTTGTCATCTTCTTCAAGTGTGTTTTCTCATCATTAGTTGTTATGTAACACGCAAACCACTACTGTATGTACTTTCTGAACATTTTTTTACCTTAGCTTATCATTAGCTAGCTCCGCGTAGGTGGCTTCTATGTTTTGGCTAGTGATGGGTAAATGAAACTTCACGTATCGTTTCGGCACATCCAACAAACTGTATTGATACTGTGCCGCAACAGCGTTGCTTGTGCTGCTCTATACTGACGCCTGGTGGATCTGATAAATCATTGAAACTCACTGATTCAATGAGCTTTACATACTTGTCTGTACACAATATTACGTAATTAATAGTTACCTAATGTAACTTAAGTTCTACGAATAGGTGTGTAGTCCCTTAGGACTTCGCTAGTGGGATATCACTCGTGACCCCCAGGTCACACGCCAGAGAGATCAAAATAATTTGCTCCAATCACCAGCCACCCTCCTCTATAAATGCCCCTGCACAAGGCCGCACCACCTCTTGAACTCTGCCAAGCCGGGCTGGCCTGATGGGCTCGTAGCTAAGGGACTACGCACCTATTCGTAGAACTTAAGTTACATTAGGTAACTATTAATTCTACGTCATGGTGCTACGTCCCTTAGGACTTCGCTAGTGGGACATAACGCGGAGGCCGTAGGAACATGTACTTCCAGCAGGCCAGCGAAGGGTGATTGAAGCCCCGCCCGAGCAAGACCCTCACACAGTGAGAGGACTCAGGGCAGAAGAAACAATGCGTGTTACAGGGCCACTCCTACCAAGGATACCCCCACGTAACACAGACCGTAGGTCACCCGTAGTCACAGGACGCCTCTCCCAAGAGCTCCTGACGTGGACTACCTGACCGACCAAACACACATATATGTACCGCACCTGTAGGATGCCTCTCCCAAGAGCTCCTGAACCAGGGCGGAAAGTCAACCGAAGGCCCCCTCAGAGGAGGGACCTAAACGGTCTAACTCAGTCCGCTGCACTCAGCACGGAATGGGCCACCGACCGGTCCGACACATCCAAAAGATAAGACCGGACGAAAGAAGAGGACGACGCCCAAGAAGCCGCACGGCACACGTCCTCGACCGACGCCCCCCTGAGAAGGGCCGTAGAGGCCGCCATCCCACGCGTGGAATGCGACCTGAAGCCCACCGGGAGGGCCAGGCCCTGCGACTGATACGCCCGCTGCACAGCCGTGGCGACCCAGTGCGCCAGCCGCTGAGCCGACAGCGGGGCGCCCCTGTTCTTGGGGCCCAGACACACAAACAGCTGACCACCCAACCTGAATGACGACGTCATGGCCAGGTAATGCCTCAGCATTCTGACAGGACACAGAAGGTGCCGCCGCTCCTCCTCGGGGGAGGCATGCGGTGGCGGATAGAAAGCCCTAATCCTGATGACTCTCGACCTAAAGGCCGACGTGATGACCTTGGGGAGAAAAGCCGGATTGGGCCACAACTCCACCATGCCGTCGCCCTCTCCAAGGGACAGGCAAGACGCATGGACAGAGAGCGCACACAAGTCGCCCGCCCTCTTAGCAGACGCCAACGCCAGCAAGAGGGCCGTCTTAAAGGCGACACACTCGGGACTCGCCTCCGCCGCCGGTTCAAAAGGCGGACCCGACTAGCCTGGAAAAATCCAGACTCACCGCTGTACCAGCCGGTGAGTCTGGTCACCGTGGCGTCAAACAAATTTCCAAGGCGGAGCAAACCTGAGAAAACAGACAGCGGAGTGAGCCAATCAGCGAAGGGCGGACATGACGTCAGTAAAGCGACACACACTCTACAGTGAGTAAGAAAATAAACGGAGTTGACATGACCGAAGAAGTTAATTCAACATGGCTAGCGCAAGAGAGAGTGTTGTCGATGACTTGTGTCGTTGTTGCGGGAAAAACTTGAGGATACATGGAGTTATTAGCGGCTCCGCTTTGATTTTTCAACAGGGTAATACATCACGAGACTCATCTATTTTGCAGCGACTTGCTGGCTTGGGTCTTGCGTTAACGCCAGACAAAAACAGATCAAAAAGACTGTGCAAACTTTGCGTAACTCTTATCGGACGCTTGGAACGGGACTCGTCTATTTTTCGGAAATGGCAACAAGAGGAGGACACTCTGACAACCGAACCACCACCAGCCGAAGGGTCATCTTCTGCCGGACAGGGTACATGTATATATTGAGATTCATTTGTAATGTTTTATTCATTTGTTTTTTTTAATTGAGTGCCCTTACAGTTTTATTATTTATCACTTGTTGGGGAGAGTACTTTGGAAAAAAAATGCTAATCAGAGTTCTGTATTCTTAATACTTTGAATACGTCAAGAGTGGGTTTTTAGAATACTTTCACGTTGATTGTCATTGTATTTATGTGTAAAAATGGCGCATATTTATTTACAAATTATAGTGTAACTTTACCCAAATACAGTTACACGAAATGAGTATTCTACTTACTCCCCAACACTAGTACTGCACAGATGAAAATTCCTATATTGTGAGACCTTTCGCTGACCATCATTCTAATTATGATCTGAATCAGGTGACAAACGAGAACGTTGTACTCCATCTAAAACACCAAGAGCAGTGAAGAAGATTCGCCGGAGTCCTACCACTCAGACTGCAGCAAGGCGAAGTATCACACAGGTAAACATGTTTTATTTAATACACTGTAGTGTGCGTATTACAGCCTAATCCTGTAATAACAAATGGTCATGAATAGTAGGTGACACATCTTGTGTTCTTTTGGTTTGCTTTATATTTCACAGGTCATTACTGAGTACCCTAGTAAAACTGTTCTCAAGGTTTCCTCCCCTTCCGAAGCTGGGATCATTCAAAACATCACTAATAAACAGTGGAAGACTGCTGCTAAATTGATTTCAACTCATAAAGAACTTTATAGGGAGTTGAAATCAATGTTTCTCAACACCATCACTGAAGAAAGTCTGTGCCTAACCAACCCAAATAACAACTTTATGCTGTGGAAAACGATGCCAGAAGAACTAAAGTCTTTTTCATTTGAAAAGCTCCGTGTGGATCTTGAGAACAGGTCTCCTTTTTTATTGTCCATTTTTCAAACCATCAGCTGCAAAAGTGTACCAGCTGCTTGTGCTGCACTTTGTATAGCACTACGGGGGAGAGAACCGCGGATGTCAGCCTTTGCATACTATATAAACAGTATACTTCAGCATGGAGGTGCGAAAAAAGCAGCCTTCAAACGGTTAAGCAAAATGGCCATCACCACATCATACCAGCATGCAATAGGCAAACAAAAGGAGTTGGCTGCCACCTGCGGTGAAAGACTGCAGGAGCTAAAAGTTTCCACTGAACTTTACTTGACCTCTAAAGCAGATGGGCACCCTGTGGACATGACAAGTGTGAATGATAACATGGAGGACCTCACATTATCAGGTGCAATACCACTACACTTAAATATAACTTTAAAAACATATATTTTTTGTGGTATTTAGTTTGTAATCGTTAATTTCTAATGTTGTTAATTTGACAATTTCTACAGATGACAATACTGAAAGCCAACTACCAGATTCAGAGACTACAGAAGTGAACTCTCCACCACCTTATACCACACAGCCAGAGCTGCCACCCACATACTCTGTAATAATGGACAACTTAGACTTCTTCATGAAGACTCACCAGCAGTCACTACTCACCAGCAATACATCCCTCCACTGGATACATCACATTAATGTTGAAGATCGAATTCAAACAAGCCACCTAAGTGATGTAAGGCCAGTATACTCACCAGATCCCTCCGCGGGACCTCTCTCTGGGAGGCATAGCATGGATCAGAGGACCGGAGCCTCGTAGCTCGCGTAGTGCATGACACGCCCCTCTTGGGGGACCTGCAGGCTAGCGAAGCAACGTAATGGCCGGAAGTACAACAAATAGATATCCATTTAGACTTTACTTACCCCACATGCGGGACTCAGGACAAGAGTACTGATGCACCTGCCGGTCGGCCTTTATGAACGAATTCATGCCCACCCGACCCCTCTACCATAGGAGGCCCGGGGGGCGGTGGTGCGTTGCTCCCGCGCGCCCCCCCCCCCCCCCCCACCCCCCCCCCCCCCCCCCCCCACCCCCCATCCCCCCCCCCCCCCCCCCCCCCCCCCCACCCCCCACCCCCCCCCCCCCCCCCCCCCCCCCCCCCCCCCTACGAACCACCGTGGGTCTGTCTGGACCCAGGGGCCTCGTCGAGTGGGACGATGGGACCACAGAAGCGCGGAATCCGGGTCAGGAGCCTCACGGGCGAACGCTCTCTGCCTCTGTCCCGGCTTCCGTGATGGTGGCCGGGCCTCGGCTCGGTTGCTAGGTGCGGGGCGGCCTAGCCGAGTGTTGCTGCAGACTTCCAGTCTCGCCACAGGGCCTGCATGTCCCGGGCCGAAGAGGGAGTTCTGGGTTCGGGCATGGTCAAGAAGCTTGCCTCTTCTCGCCTCCCTGATATTAGCCAGCCCAAGCCACAGGTGCCTGTCCCCGACTTGGGCTGCTGCCATGGAGCGGCCGCCACATCTCACGGCTAGCACTGGCACATGCGCAGGAATCACCGCCGAGGTGGTCCTCGCCAGATGATAGGAGTGTCTCCACTGAGCGCCTGGCCAGAGGAGAGCGACCTATCCAGGGCCCCCGTGATGATTCCATGGTTGTTAGCCAATGCGACGACCTGAGCCCCGCATTGGCATGAATCTAGCAAGCATAGCCAAGACATCCTGTCGCTCGGAGGGAAGGAGAGGTCTGTGCCCCCAGGGCCATGCGGACTGAGTCCTCGATGTCCGGGGACACACCGGTCCAGGACCAGTCCTGCACGCTGCAATCTCATGCCGTTCCCAGAGCAGGCCTCTTGGCTGCTAGGGGCTTTGCTGCCATCACGTGTGCGTAATGGACGATAGGGTCCATCCCGCCTGGGCACAACGTCGGGTGGTATCTCTCCTCCCTCGAGTGGTGGCGGCCCACAGAGGTGAAAGTCCTCCACCCTACTGGATCGGCTGCAGTGGCAGATGAGGCATCCATGATGGCCGCGCGGAGGAGTAGAGCCCAGGCATGTGGTCCGCGAAAGCGAGTCCCAGCAGAAAGCGGTCCAGCAGAAAGCGGTCCGGCTCCGGGATCGAAAACCACTCGTCCCAGGGTGAGGAGAGAGACGTCCTCCGAGCCTTCCGTTCTTCGCAGTAACCCCATTCGCGGGTGGAAGTCGAGTGGGTGCCCCATCAATTCAGACTCCTGTCCTGAGAGGAGTCCGGACCAGGGCGCTGCAGCGGCGGAGGAACGCCACGGGGTCCTGCGTTCGCTCTCCTCCCTGGGGAGAGCGTGTACGAGGGCAGCTAGCGCTAACGCCGCATGGCGGGCCCAGGACTTGAAGGCGGGAGTGCTGGTCCGTGCGATGGAGGGCCTGACTCGACACGCCGAGCAACGACGACGTGGTCCCCTTTTTCTATTTTTTTCTCCCCTTATCCTTTTTTCTTTTCCTTTTTCTTCCTCTGACGCCGGAGGGTGAAGGGAACTCGGACGAACAACGGAGACATCTCTCAGAATGAAAGGAAGTCCTGTGGTAGGTCTCAATCGGCTCCAGAGTGAAAGAGGGGGCGCGGCTATGGAGTCCGGGGCCTTTACTAGAGGAGGGTCGCTAGTGATTGGAGCATTTATTTGTGAGATCTCTGGCGTTGTGGACCTAGGGGTAACGTGATATCATAGGACCCTCCTCTATAAAGGCCCCTGCTCCATAGCCGCGCCCCCTCTTTCACTCTGGCGCCGATTGATCTCTCTGGCGTCTGTGACCTGGGGGGTCAGTGATATCCACTAGCGAAGTCAGCTAAGGAAGTAGCACCAATGACGTAGAACAGCTCTTTTTGAAGACTTGAACAAGCAATAGACTGTTACTGATCAGATTAGAATTGATGTATTTAATTAGCACGTTAAGTACTGCTGACAAATACAGTAAGTACCTGTGTAAATAAACCTTATTTTTCAATGTCTCTTCCTTCTCTTCACTTTCAGAACAAAAACTAAATAATAAGCCAACAGTTTTATTTTTTATTTCCAGGTCCTCTAAGAAGGTGTCAGAGGGCAGACGCCCAGGATCTGCTAGCGTCCTGTGCTGCGGCTCCTGCTCTGCTGCTCCTCCTGCTGTCTCGTCTTCAGAGATGCAGGTCCCACTGTTCTAACTTGATTCAAGGGGGGGGGGGGGGGGGGACTGTGATTAACTAAAACATGAAAATATGTTGTTAGTAGTTCATATTGTTAATCCGCAGTGAAGCAGGAGGTGATGGCGGTGATGGAGGTGAAGCTGGAGGACAACGATGTCGTGTGATTTTGTTGCTGTCAGAGAAAGTCTGGTTCCATTTCACCATAAAAGTCGCCGAAAAAGACAACCACAAAACATGTTAAAACATGGACTCCTCAAAATAAAATACAGAAATCCTGCTGTTATATAATATAGAGGTACACAGCAGGAGAAAACAGACACTGAGGAGAACAGACACTGAGAGAAACAGAAGCATAAATATACTGGAATTATACACACAAATTCATATTAGAAGCGTGGACTAACCTACTGTAAACCTTTTGGAAGTTGGCGACTCGTCATCTGCAAATGACCTTTTATTAATAACAAAATAAGCATCTCTATTATGTGCTCTTGTTTCATCATTATATTTATCCGACTATTGTATGAAAGGCTTAATAATAGGCCATTTATATATACAGTTATAATGTTAATAATATTCATGGATGGACAGATAACTTGCCTGGCCTGCCAAACGATATGCTTTTTCAAAGACATATGAACAAAGATATATGAACATATGAACAGAAAGGAGGAGTGTCTGGCAGGCCAGGCAAACAGATAACAGTGTTAGAATACTACATGTTAGAATACTACAGCTGCTGTCTCCATGGACTGTTTCCTCTGTGTAGCTTTAATATGTAATCTGTGGGTTTGTTTCTCCCTGTGACATTACAGATTTTGCGCAGGGAAGTATTAGCGATTGTGAAAAGTTTAAATAACTTACCAGAGACACCAACCTCCTCACTAACCCTCCTCCATGTCACGGTGGTTATAGTCTGCGGGGCTCATGGGCTAACCACAGAGCTTGTCCTCCATAGCTGTTGTGTTGTCGTCCCCCTCGGTCCTGCCGTGAAATGCGTTACCACGTCACTGTTGGAGGAGGCTCCTGATTGGTAGACGCTCGCGTCTTCTCCCGAAAAGTTCAACATTGTTCAACTCGAGCGTCGGCCGCGCGTCACGCGCTTCACGCGCATCAAGACGCTCAAAATCTCAAAACGCGCCGCGCCGCACATTTGTAGCTGCCAAATGTGGCACAGACAGACATCAATACGTCGTCGGCCACCCCCAGATATTATTCACTGATAAACACACAACGTTTATAGAAGTTGTGAGATCAATCAAGTTTTATCTTATCGTTTTCCTAATAGTCATAGCAACAATTACACAGTATAGAGGTAAACAAGAGACATATATGCAAACTACCTTACTCTTCTTTCCACCAGTGAAAAACAAAGCAGATTTTGAGAGTTTTGTCTTGTTAAAGTGCTGTGTTGGCATTTAAACCCCACTGAGTCTAGTTAGTCCGGATATGGGGAGGAGCCGCCTGAAGCCACTCCAAACAAGCTTCTGCAGAGCTCCAGTCCACGTCACAGAGGACATATGCTTACCTGTAGGGACTGAACTATTTTTGTAATTATTCTAACTGCTCTATTCAACCTCAAACAGAGCAGGAAATAAATTGAAATACATTAAAATTAAAATGTGTAAAGTATTTGTTTCTACTGAGAGAAAAAAAAGCCTGCATGTTTCAGGATGTTATGTGGTGGTTTAACTCCAGCTTTAGATGGGTCAAACAGACAGCATACAGGCATTCTGAACAACTATTTGATTAATTGAAAGAATAATTAAACCCTAATCCTGATCAAAAGGATCGTTAGTTACAGCCCAAGTTGATACTTTGTTTTATTCTGCTGTCACATTGTTGGTATATAGGCTTTAAAGTTTATACAGCAGACTTTATAGGCAGACTGGCTTCCTGACAACGTTTCCCTAAAACCTTTTCTTTTATATTTGTTCTATGTTCTTCTGAGAGCTGTCAACAAAGTTTCAGGTTCAAACTAGTAATGAGTAAGTAGGTAAGTAATCTAAATTTATTGGTCACATTTTTACAGACCAAGGTCACCCAAAGCACTTTGCAATTGTTGAGATATTGGGGCCAATTTCATGATCACTGTTTTGTGGTAAAATTGATGTGGTAAGAAATGGGCTGAAGGTGGTGAAGTGGGACAGAAAATGTGTATAAACTGAAACAAGAACAGAAAGAACATAAACACAATGACCAATGGATCCTTTTTGTGCGATTGGTAACAAATTTGGTATCTCTGGCCTGAGTGATGTCCATTCATAATATGGGGACCATCTGCTTAGAACTTTGTATAGGTAAATTCTACTTGTATTGTTTCTACACATAAACACTTTGTAAATAATTCATAATGTCCTTATTTCTTATCTCACGGCCGTTGTGGTTTCCTGAAATGTGGTGTGAACCACATGGTCATTGTGCAGTCGGCTGAGTTGGTTGTGCTCAAGGTCATGGGTTCAATCCAACCCTAGGACCTTAAGCACGGACTGAGCCCATGGCACAGAGGGACTGATTTCAGTCAGTCTGCCCCTGGGCAGCTGTAGCAATTGCATAATCTGACCAGGATATTTTGGATTTAGCCAGGACAAACATTCAAGGAATATACTGTACCTTGAAATGTGTTCGCATTTGTAAGGTGCATTACAAATTAAATATATTATTATTATCATTATTAAAAGAATTTAAGGCCGTGCAAACCTTGCTTATATTAGGATTGTCTGTACTGAGTATAAATAGCATCTTACATAATTCTGATGCACATTGCTACACATAATATGAAAAACGTTGTCTTCTTTTGTTTGATCTGGAAGAACTCGAAACTAAACCAGGTAAGAAGTACGATCGCTGTAGCCTGTGTCTCATTTTTTAACACTAGTTTACCACCACAGTGTGGATGAATATGACTTCAGTGTAGCACTTGAGACTTCAACAAGTCCCTACAAGTGCAAGGCGTTTAGAATACAGTGTTTCTCTGTGGATTCATGTAGATTCTTCTTCAAATAAAATATTTGCTGAAATTTGTCATTTTTGACCATTTTAGCTATTTTTTGTAATCCTTATAGCAAATGGTATAGTGGATACTACTGTAGATTTCCATGTAAAGATTTTTGATCATAAATATATTATTCATAATTTGTCTGCTCATCAAGATCAATAGTTTCTGAATGGGCATCCTTTTGCACTTGGCTCAAACAACAATACAATTGGAAAGATTACTTAAGACATTTCAACAGAATTAGTTTAATTTAAATTCAATTTAATCAAATATTTGAATCCTACTCCAGGACGTGTCATTTCCCAAACCTATTTTTTTTTTCATAATTGGAAAGTGTAATAATGCAAACGCCTTGCCATGCATGTACAGGTCGGACCTATTGCCATATAAGGAACAGGTGAGGAGTTTCGACCAGGACAGGTTTAAGTGTCCATATATGGAAGGAATTTACAGACCCCGCCCATAGCTTAATTTTGAGCCTCACCTTGAATTCTATGCTAAACAAACAAACCATTAGTCCGTCGGATTTTAGCTTTTTCAGAAGACAAATGCTACTTATATGAATGGAAAAACACAGGTAGATTTAGATTGTAGTATTCAAACGAGTTTCAGAGATTATCCATGCAAAGGCTGAGGTTGCATCCGGAGCTGTCGCTGTCGCACCTGGTTGGGGATTTTTTTGGAGGGTGTAGCACCGACAGTCTCCTCCCTCCACAGAGTGAGTCAACCTGCCTGCACTTCCTTAACTACTCGCACAGCATCTGCCACAACACCCATTCCAGCCTCTCCTCAGCTCCACGCACAACTCTTCCAACATGGTGAGTTCTTCCTGTTTGTGTTGCACATTACAATCTATGGTCTGGACTGGCGCGCGCTCTGCTGTTGTACGACGCGTTCACGTTCCATAGCGCCACGTTGGAAACCGCGGTTTTGTCCGGGACCGTGTGAAGGCTTCTACTTTGGCCTTTCTGTGCGCTGTTCTAATAAATCCAGGTCATGGGGTTTAGCTCGCTAATGGAGCGCTGGTTTTAAAGGTGTGTCTAAAATGGAGGGAGCCATGTTCCTCTTACTGCAGACTTGGTGAATGTTTTTCCCCGGGGCGGTCTTTCTTGTACGAACTTGTCCCACAATGATTGGAATGTGACGCAGCCCAGAAGTTAGATCCACAAACTCTGGCTTCATGTGTCTAAAAAGGAGTTGGCAGCTGTGTTTTTTTTGTATTATTTGTATTAATTTAATTTTAGTTTGGTGTGGTTTTTATTTCCTGTTAACATGCTTGAAGAACGCATGTTTTTTTTTCAGTGGCACCTGTGAAGTCTCATAACTGATAAGCTGACACACAACAGCAACAACTTTTCAATTGCTGATATATATATAATTTTTTTTTTTTAAATTGAATAGCCATTTTTACAGCATAGGCTTATAGGGACTATGTGAATATATTGCTGCTACTGAACATTAGTACCATTAGATTGCTGTAGACCCAATTTACTTGATACACAGGCGTCCGTGTCCTCAGTATTAAATGCATTGAATACAAAACTGGTCTTGTGATCACGTGTTTTTACTTGCTGAACCAGGAAGCTCCATTATCTTGTTTATTCAGAAGACCTGAAATATGGGACAGGGAACAAATCCTTGTGGTTTTAGATTTATTTTTGGAACTTCACCTCCTTGAAGGAGGTCTCCACTATAAGATTGATTTTGTGAATTTATAATTAACTGATTTTAAAATGCAACAAGAAGATAATTCTCCAGTTTGAAATCATCTTTAAACCATCTGACAAAAACTATTAAGATGACTAATTCCTGTCATTCCTTTTTTTCATTTTGTGCTTTTTATTGTTCTATTGTTTTGAATGTGGCTAACTAGTGCTCTCTGATTTTAACAGGCTTCTGGGGTTACTGTCACAGACAATGTAAAATCCATCTACGAAAAAATGAAATTGAACAAAAAATCAGACAGTGCAGAGGAACGCATCAGAGTGGTCGAACTAAAGCTGAGTGATGACTTTTCATTGATCGACGTTCGTCAAATAGTTGAGGAGAAGGATCTAGAAGTAAAGGGCAACGTGTTTAAGTACGTCCAGAGTCTTATGGTACCTGACACGTGCACATACATTTTGTATGACTGCCATTACAAAGTCAAGGAGAACCCCAAAAAGGAGGATCTGATCTTTATTATGTGGTAAGTTTCTATATTTACAATGCCCAATGGATCTATGTTGCTAATATCTTTTTCTTTTTCTGAATGTTCTCAGGAACTCCACCACCGCGCCTATCAAACTAAAAATGTTGTACTCGAGCTCCAAAAGTGCTGTCACAAAAATTATAAGTGAGTGAATTATTCATTGCTACTGAAATCTGTGAATTTGGATGGATCTATTGCCCGTCCGTCTGTGGAAGCGGATCCCTCTCAATCTGTCTCCCCAAGGTTTCTCACTTTTCCCACTGGGTTTTTGTGAGTTTTTCCTTGCCAATGCAGGAGGGTCTGTTGGACAGTTAGTGTCTAACAAGAAGGACTGTGGTGATGATCCAGGACACTTTAACGTTCTACAACATGTATGGACATTTATCAACATGTGTTCTGTTTTATATAATGTGTATACATATTTGTCTCAACTGTTCTCTGATCTGTGTTGGTGATTTAAGTGGTTTTGTTAAGTCCTCTGAAATGACGCTACACAAGAATAAATTGTATTGCATTTTAATTTAGACTTTTTCTTTTTTTCTTTTTTTGCAGACGTCAAGCACGTGCTGGAAATTACAGACGAAGAGGAGAAAGAACTTGGTGAATTTGTCTCAAAATTGGGAAAGAACGTCACTGAGGTGGACGGGTTGTCAGTAAAGTGAAGATGGAACATGCGCTAATATTCAATAGTTATTCAACTCAATTTATAAAATGTTAAACATGCCCACAGCTTGTTGCATAAGATCAAATATTTGCATCCATTGTTAACATATCAGACGTTTGTCTTCATCACGAGTTGTGTCTTCATCACGAGTTGTGTATGTTCTTGCTGTAGTGTAAATCTTGACATTTGTCACTTGGACGGCCAGATGCAACTTTCAATAAAATATTAAATTTTTGACGCAGTTTCCAATCTGAAACTATGTTTGGTTTTTTTTGGTTCTTGTCGGGAAATGTACCATTAAGACTACTTTTTGGCCACTGTTTGAGGTCTTACTTTAAAAACGGTCAAATTTAGCTAACTACTAAAACACCATGTTGGATTAATTGGACTTAATCTTACAAGCATTGAATTTGTCATTTAGGTTTTAATGTGTGCAGTATGAAACTTACCCAACACTCATGGGACACTCCGAACAATACAGATCAGTCTAAAACAAGTTTCTTTGGTTGTGGGTCTGATGATTGAATAAAAATCTTAAGGTCTGAAAAAGACACTTTGATTTGAAGAAACCTGTGAGACCAACAAACTGATCAGAAAGATTAGTTTGATGCTCAAAAACCTCATGTTACTCCATAAGGGCTAAAGGAGATCTGAGCTTTTATTACAAATATGAATTTTACAGGTTTGCATTGACTTAACAGGTTGTACAGAGATGTTTCATGTTTTTGACCCAAATTAACAGAATAGGCAAGATTATGATGCAAAAAATACTGCACTTTGTCAAAGTTAATGCCTTCAAGGCCTTGCATTTTGCATTTAATCATTTCCATGTCCCTATGTATCCAGTTTACTGCATATTCTAATGTCATCACATTCTACTTCATATAGTCATTAATAATGAGAATTGTTCATGTTTTTTTCTCTATTATACCAACAGTCTTCGAGGAATATGGAATTTACCTTCACCTTCAGTATCCGCATAAACCAGTGCATTGACAGAAGGGTCAGATTTTCACCATAGTTTAGAAACCCGAAGTGGTACTGTACAATTAACCATTCACTACCTTCGGGTCAAAATGACCCTCCAGATACTTAAAAATAAAATTCAGCAAAAAATATGTAGGGTATTCTTGATCACTGGTGGGTAAATTTGAGTCGAGGAAAGCACAAGGTTTCTAACTCGTTTTGTATCAAAAACATCCTTTTTTTTATGTAACATATGGAAAATGACAAATGAAGCTACAGTTTCTTTATTAATTCATATCAATACCAACATTTGATAGCGGCCAGATACAAGCCACAGAGATGACATGTATAGAACCATAAAATGTTCCCAGTAATTAACATAAAAAATACATAGAAATTAATTGCACTGGTTGATGTACGTTTGACGCACACTCACTTTCCCTTTTAACACTGAACCAAAGGAGACTGGTTTATAAAAGACAGGGGGGACAGACGACTTCTAGCAATTTGGACATGGCCAGAAATGGAATGCAATTGTCAGTTTACAGTATTTTCATCTCCGTTATCTCGAAATGTTTCATTATTGTCGCCACATACACAATTCCTACAATAAACATATTTAACACAATACAGGAAAAAAGCTTTGGAATGCATAAACTATTAATAATAAGGCATTTTTGGCAATTTTGTGTAGTGTCTCTGGTGGCCCTCTTCTCAGACCGATGTTCCTTCTTTGAGCTCCTCTCCGTCTGTGAGCTCCACTCCGTCACCCTTTTTAAACAAACCAAAAGTTAGTGCTTTTCTATCGATTGTAACATGTGACTATTTGAGTTTCTAAATAGTGCATTTTATTCAAAACAAAAGGAACCACAATTAGCAATAACCATTTTAAAGATAAAGAGATTATTTATTCGTCCTAAAAAATGTCTGTTTAGCAAACAATGTTGTAATACAATTAAAAACTCAATAGAAGTTTTTTTTTTACCTCCATCCATGCTATTATCAGAGCACAAACACGTGCCTAAATGTTCCCATCTCCCACATGGTACGCTATTAACCATTATTTAACCAGGAAAGTCCCACTGAGATTTCAGAATCTCTTTCAGGGGAGAACTGGCCTAGAGAGAGGGATGGCAGTGGGGTCATGGAATGTGTTACGGGCGAATTGTACATGTTTAAATGATAGGAGAAACTGGAGCACCGGAGGAAACCTACTGTACGTAGACACAGGACGATCGAGCAAACTCCACACAGCGATCGAACCCAGGACCAAACCACTGCACTGCACCATGCCGCCCTATTTTAAAAGCATCGGTGCAGAGGTGGCGCATCCAGGGACAACATTATGATGCCTCTGTATCAGCAAAGGTTTAGTAAATATATAATCTCTTCTTACTCTGGACTCTATGCACTACCACTCTTAAGTGCTACAGTAATAAAACTTTTATGGATGGATTTTTATGGATGATCGTGTTGCCAAAATAAGCCCATTGTGTGCCATAACTTACAGGTGGAAAATAATAGTAATAGGCTATTCAAGTTCTCAAACTGTGGAACTAAATGGAAATTATTATTTCTTGCTTCAGCTGCATTCCAATAAGTCACTTTTTTTCAAGTGATAGTACTAGCCAAAACAAACACGAAAAGCCTTGATAAACAGTATAAAGCCATCAAAACAGTAAAGTACCAGGACTAAACCAGAGCTCCAGACTGAAAGAGAGGCCCAACATGAACTACCATAGTAGTTTGAGAATGACATTTTCTTACGTTGCTTTCAGCGTGTCCCTGCTGTAGAGTCTTCACGGTTTCCTTCTCTTTGCTGAGCTGGTCCTGAGTGGCCTTCAGAAGCTGCTGAAGCTTGGTGGCTGCCAGTCCCAAGTCTTTAGACAGCTTTTTCTCTTTTTCCAAACGCTCCTTATACAAAACAGACAATGAAAAGTACAACAGCGACTTTATTAACAAAATTACCAAAGATAGAAGTAAGTGCATTGCCTTCTGTAATAAAAGTAAAATTGGAAGCTTCAATTTGGTCAGCAGAGCATTGGTTAAGACCAGTTTGCACATTTTCAAACTCATATTTCCTGGTTCTTCATTTGCTTAAATCAATAATTAAAATAAGTTTAATTCTATATTTACAAGTCCCCTTGTTATGCAGAGACTAACATTAACAGCGGTCATATGGACTGAGACTCAGGGTTCCAGAGGACTGTGGTGAGTGTGGAACTCCAGAGCTGCATGCTCTTGTCGCTGTAACAAACATGTACGATGTAACTACATGTTTGTTACATGATGAAACTACATGCATTAGACCCAACCCTCCCAGTAACACTAAGACGACTTGTGTTAAAAGCAACTAACAACTTATCCAACCTTGAGCTCATTCACATTGTCCTCTTCAGTGGCCTCAGTAGAGTCCTTGAGAAGCTCAAGCTCTGCCTGGAGATCTGTGATTGTCTTCTGTGCCTGTGACAATATTAATGCAACATTAAAGGTGATGTCTGCAACTTCAATTACATCCCATTTTAGGGAGAATTACACATTTTCAGACTATACTACAACTGCAGGGTTTTTTTAACATTTAAAATAGATGCGGCAACAGGGTCATGGTCAGACATATCTAGACAGTCCTTCCACTTGGAATAAACACCCATGGTAATATTTGCTGGAGGAGACTAGTTAAGATCAATGGTGAGGGGCCTCACGTCTATCAAGAAGTTTAATTGACACTGTTAAAAAATCTCTCTAGAATTCCCAATAGCAAATAACTGCTGGACAGATAATTCAATATGATGGATGCAGCAGTTTTGTTTTTAGGTAAAGAGTGAGTAAGTACAGAATTATGGTTTTGATAATAGTTTGGGTAAAGTCACTGATTCTCAATTTTATTGTGTGCCATATGGCCAGTCCCTTATCCCCCTCTTGACTACAAGAGGAAATATCAGGCCACAGTGCATAAAATCACAAATCATCAGTAATCTTATCAATAACGGCAAGGCGGAGACCAAAGATGTGGAATTGCTGACATTCACTGTAAAATGGCCACAAAAAGACCTGAAAGGTTAATGTAGTTAAACACATTTGACCAAAACAAAGCTCAAGTGATGAAGCTGGAGAACATCTTCACAGGAGATGACTTGTTACACATTGGGTTGTTTGGAAAAATAAAATAAAATGCGGTCATTATAGAATGATCAGTCTTTCTCAACATTAAGTCTATGTAAGGTTCAAAAAGGGACTAATCCATTACTAAAATAGTTGACAACTATTTCAATAATCGTTTAGTTGTGGTGAACTTGTTACAGCCCTAATATAAAGTCTAAGTATTTGGTTCTTTTAAACTGTGCATCTCACATCTCACCAGATTCCCAGTCTTAACATAAGCTTCATTTAGAATATAGCACAAATTATATTGCAAAATTGAAATGAAGCCTGATAGATACATGACTCAAAGATAATTATGTGAGCATTCAAAAAGAACATTGTAAATAGTTGCTTGTTGTATATATTGTGTCTATGTGGTTCAGGTTACATTTAGTCTGTATTTAAAAAGGCTACCTACTCATTTATTTGCACACTGTAAACCTGCTGTCACTTTGCCTCAGCCCAGCGAGTAGCTATGTACAGTCTCATAATACAATTATTGTGCCACATCCCTGTCAACTAATTAAATAATATCAAGCAGACGGATGTAACGCTTCTGTAGCTCGGTGTAAGCTTACCTCCTCCAACTCCTCTCCGAGTTGTTGTCTTTGGGCTGACTCCTCTTGCAGCTTGTCATTGGTCTGGTTCAAGTCCTGCTGCACCTGTTGGGCGATGTAAACAAAAAAGCCATCAGGGCAGAGCCATCTTTGCTTTGGCTTTAGGTGCAAACATTGAAAGCCGCAGAACGTCACATAAGGAGTTGCCAAACCGGTGTGCCGGGTTTAGCCGCCTCTTGAGATGTGTTTAAAGAGGAAAAGGTAAATAAAAAGTGTCCATGCCAGGAAATGTGAGCTATGCAGAAAGTGGTTAGAGGTGCTACGGTTAAAGCAAACGGTGGTAAGCACATATAATAGCAAAATGCCTTAAGAATACTGGACAGATAGAACTACTACAACAATTATTAGGCAAAGAACCTCAAAACTAGCATACCTAATATTCTATTTAAAAGCATACATGTAATTTGTCCCAAGAGAAAGTCTTTTAACAATGGAACAAATTAAACCATGACATGAAGTTTTAATCTAATTAAAAATCATCTTGTGCATGATTGCAAGAATCTTTGTGCAAAGAGCTGATTTGGTCCTTTTTTAAACTTTTCTGTCTGAAAAAGTTGTTCTTAAAGGGGTGAAAGAGGCAAAAACAAGCAATAGTGCCAAACTGTTTTGAGAGAGAAGAACCAGTTGTATGGATTATATGGGTATTACATACTTTTTTCAAAAGTTATGTTGTATCTCAAAAGAAAATGGGTAAAATATTGATCTGAGATATTCAATTTTTCCCTCCAGTAAAGCATATTTTGAATTATGTAATCTTGTTAGGACACTTTGGGCTAAGGGCTGACTGTTGAAGAGAGGTTTTAATGCATTTTATTTTGGAGAAGCGGTCCTAAGCTGTGATGATGGCAAAAATATGCAAACAGGTCAGCACTTGTCACATCTGCCATGGAAGAAAATTTGATTCCTGTATACACGCCTCCTTTCAGGTATCCCAGTTTTAGTTTATGACATAAATCTTTGTTTCAACAACACAATGCAACTAGGTTCAATCCTGGATCAAATAGAACCTCTATAATATCATGGATACAATTTTGCAAAGTACTATGTCTCTGTCCTCTGAAAGGTGGATCCTTGAGTTTGCAGCAAGTCACAGCACGTTCCCTGATTTTCTTCACAAATGGAAATTCAGGATATTTTCACATTATTGGTGACATTTTTGGACTTGGTGTAAATTTAAGTGTGGAACTACATTATAGTTCGATACGTGACTGTTGCATAAATAATTGCAAATATCTTTGAATATTAGATTAGATTCATTGTTACCGACACTTACACTAGTGCCAATTTGTACCCAAATTCCCAAAGACTGGAATCTCAACTTCTGAAATACATAACTTTCTGTTTAACCATTTTGGGTCTTAAAGAGGCACAGTAAAACAAACATAAAAATCATAAAAACATAACCGTTTGAGATTTAGTTTTACTAGTTTACACAATTGCATGTATTTGTGTCACATTTAGATCAGTTTTTCAGACAGCAACGTGAAAAAAGGGCTCAGCCCAAAGCCTTAAGTAGTGACTCACATGGCTCTTACAGTCTGCAAACATAACATGTTCTCTAAAAGGATGAACAGCATATTGTGGTCTGATTTGGTCACAACATTTTACCTTTTCGCAACTCTTTCTGTTGAGACAAATATTATGGATTATTTAGCGAAAAATAATTGGCACCACTTCAATGCAATAGTCTCTGAAATTGAAAGCTTTTAAATGTACTCAATCAGTGTAATGCATTTTAAATGATTTATCAACTCTGGAGCCCTGTGTAATCGGTTGAGTTCATGTGAGATCACAACATTCCAAACGTTCTATAGTTAGGTAACTAGCAACAAAAGTTAGACTTCTGGTCTTAGTTTAGAGTCACTCTCTGTCATTCCTGGGTCCAAAACTGTCAAACTTCCACATCTCCTTAGTCAGGACCTAAACTATGGTAATGTTATTTTCCCATAAAAAGACATGCTGACAATATTCAAAAAATATATGCATGATGTTGATGTTAGCCAGGAGATAGCCAGACATAATATAGTGGGTTGTGTATCTGTGAACCTATCAGTATGATTTATCGTTCCTAAATCATGTCCCATCTCTGATTATTAATGTTTTCTGTCCAGTTTTCTTGAGCATAGCTGCCCTCGGACCTGGCTGTCTGGCGCTTCAGTGGGGCCGTTTTGTTCCTGTTTGCCTGAAGCCTCGCCCAGCTGCTGCCGTATCTGAAAGAGGAAGTGTCATTGCCTGTTACACAACTCTCGATTCTTGAATCTCACCCGGCTGGTTGTGTTGGCGGAGAGGGATTTCCACACATACCACAATGATGTCTCTATAGAAGCGACTGACACAAAAGCAAAACCTCATAAGGACATTCACCTGAGAGAGCGCCTCCTTGTGCACCTGGGCCTCTTTTTGGGCGTCTGCCAACTGGATCTGACATTCAGACAGCTGTGATTTCACCTAAACGCAAGAGCAACACAATAAAACACACGCCTCTATATTAATTTCTTAATGCAATGTTCTTTGTGTAGTACGAACGGCACTGGTCAAATTCAAAATGCGCTTTTCTACACACATTCACAGAGTAAGTAAGTAAGTAATCTTTATTTATATACCGCCTTTCACAGACCAGAGTCACAAAGCGGTTTACAATTGTTATTTTTGGGCACTTGTCCTCTCACTCCACACAGAGATGGGAGCAGGGTCGCCAGTACAGAAGGCGCATGCCAGTCCTATTGTACATATTTTTAGTGATAGGGGAAACCGGAGTACCCGGAGGAAACCTACGCAGACACGGGGAGAACAGGCAAACTCCACTCAGAAAGGCCCTGGTCCGACCGGGATTCAAACCCAGGACCTTCTTGCTGAGAGGCGAGAGTGCTATGCACTCAGCCACCGTGCCGCCCAAAAAAAAAAGCTTCTAAGAACTTATTACTGATGCAATCCACCTTAAGAAGTTTAGCTATAAACATCAGAAACGCTCAAGATGTATTCATACAAGTATACATTTTTGGCAGGAGCATATTCAGGTTAATACTATGCTTCTTTATTAAGCTAGGGATACATACATAAAAGAGGTAGATGTATTTATAAATGAACCAATTACATTCTGTCCCTTTAACGACAAACTATCAGGTTACTTTTTGAAGCTGTGGTTTTTATTCAAAGTTATCGGCCGATTGCTGGAAAAATGTAACAAAAATGAAAAATTGGGTAACTGAAATGACTATGGGTTTTATTCAATTTTAAGAGTTAAGATAATTTTAGTCTCCTAAGTGTTGGAAACTGGCTGTAGAAATGAAAATGCCAAAACATGGTTACACAATAATAAAACAAAGGAACAGTGGAAGAACCTGCTATGCTGCACGGCAAATACAGTTCTCATGCTACACTACAATACTATACAGACACCTAAACATCAGGCTATGAACTATGATCTGATGACAATTCAGCGCGTTTGTGAAAAAAGAGAACACTGCCAGACACAGTAATAATAGGCGTTTTTTGCATCTTATACAGACAGGTGAGCACTGAGAATTTGCAAAACAGTCTGTTAAAGTCAGTGCAAGATTTTTACTGTGTTCTGTTTCATTCGCTTTGTTGTTTACCAATTGTCAATTTTGTCAAGTCCTTCAAAACACTAGCTGTTGTGTTTAAGGGCTAGGCAAAAACATTTATATTTTCCATAATTAGTAGAAAAACAGAAGTGTTTTATATAAGGGGGGGATGTATTGTTACCTGCTCAAGGTCCTCGGAGGGTTCCTGGTCTCCTTGTCTCTCCAGCTGAGCCTCCAGGAGTGCAATCTGCTCCTTCATCTGAAACGGGGTTCATGTCGTTAACTCCAGGCATCTCATACTTTATGAATATATAAATAATCCTACTGTATATTCTTACTTGTGAAATACTTTGGTTTTCTGTCTCCAGCAGCTGCGCTTTCTCTAATGCCTAAAGAACATCATAAACAGCTAATGTGTTAGCTGCCGTTTTAGTTTTCTTAGTTTCATAAATACTGTACTTTGTGTTTGTCCCAACACAGAGTCCACAACATGATGTCTTTATCTTAGAAAATACGTTATCTTTTACATACAAAGAGCTCCTCAAAAAAAGCTTATGTAAAGATGTGACAGAGGCCAAAAACTAGAGATGGAACAAAACTATTTTGAGAGAAAAGATTTTTACTCCAGCTATACAAAAGCAACATGGACAATTTCAAGTCATAGCAACACATTTTTTTTCTGTCAGATTGATCCTTTGTCGTCTGTCATTATGTTGTTGTAGTTCTATTGTGATTATAGTTTTTATATTGAAAGGCCCTCACCGCGGAGAGTTGTTCCTCTGAAGCAGCCATTTTGGCCTTCCACACCTGCTCCTCCTCCTCCACACTTTTCTGCAGATGTTTCAGCATTCCTTCCTGAGAGACAAAAGGCAAAAACTGTCAGACAATACTCAAATATAAATGATATGATAAAAATAATCATGTGTGACGCACCGTTTCTGCCAAGACAGTTCTGTACTGTTCACATTCAGTCTGTAGAGAAGTGTGGCTCTCCTCTGACTCCTTCAGTTTTTCCAACAACTCCTAAAATAAGGCAGAAAAATATAGATAGCAAATTGTGAATTAAATAAAATTTTCTTTGCAACAGTGAAGCAGTCTATTGTATTACCACAGTCTGAAAAATTCTATTTTGAGGACACAATCCTCAACTTCCTCATGGGGCTTGATAAATTCAAATACATGCATCATGAATTCTGAGATTTCACACATTTCAGCGCACTGGTTACTGAAGCAGTGGATCATGATTGGATAAAGTGGAAGCACCCCTGGTGTAGGACTACACTTACAGTCACTTCTGTATTTGACTGGGCCTCTTGGCTCGGCTGGCTGAGAGCTTCCTGGGCTTTTTGAGTGAAGACTTGAAGCCAGTTGTCCTGTTAACATTAGAAACATCAATCAATATCATGGCAGAAATCAGAGGTACATTTGAACATGGCAATCATGTATATCTCTTGCCTGCTCTGCCTCCAGAGATATTTGTGGGAAGAGCGTCTGTAGCGATTCTTTGGTTTCAGTTTGAAAGGCTCTTAGTAGAGTCATTGTGCTCTGTGGAAATAAAGCAGTGTAAGTAGAGACAGCAATATAAAAGTCTTTTTTTAAATACAAAAAAAAACATGTTTTTACTTTGTCAGAAGAGGTTTTCTCTTCAACTTCTTTGAGTTTCTCCTGTAGGGTTGTGATGAGGGATTCCTTCTCAGTCAGACTACAAACACAAATCAGTTGAAATATAAATAGCAGTAAAAGGTTGATTGTGAGATGAGGAAAATACTCAAAACTAGATCTGGGGTGAAAATATAGATTTTCACATAAAAATGGTAGTTACAATTTATATTTTTTTAATAATGTGCAAAAACTATTTGGACTCTCTTGTTAGAGATCTCAAATTATAATTTGTTTCTGCTTCAAGGAAAGATTTTTTGTTGTTGAGGGAACTGGAAATAAGAGATAACATTGCTTTAAATAAAACCGAAGAATTCAAGATAAAGTGAAGAAAAACAAAATGTCTTTGCCCCTTGATTAAAGCCGATTAACTTCATGAAAAATACGCTGTACTTGTCCCAACAGAAATAGTATTTAAGTTAATTGTTGTGAACAAATCCCAACGCAATATCCTCGAGAACATTTCATAATCTTTTAAAGATTAGAAAGACCTCTGAAAGTCACAAATCGAGACTTTGAGCTGAGAGGTGAATGGCTTTCTTTGCCAGTCTGGCTGAAAACAGTGTCCAGAAAAACTTGCATGTGTGAGTGTCTATTACATAGCATCAAAGGTTTCAGTTTAAATGTTGGCTACCCCAGCTTTAGGTTCCTAACAAAGTGCTGAAGCTGTCATGTACCTGCTCTGTAGTGTTTGCAGCTCTTCACTGGAGGTTTCCGGCAGCTAAAACAAAACAAAAAATTACTTATGTAATTATATGATTCTTATTGGATTTGAATGAATAAAACAAATTGGCGCGATTGTCCTTACTTGAGTGTTCTGTAGTTGTTCTTTGAGGTTTGTGACTTCATCCTGTAGTGATGCAGCCAGAGTGTCGGCCTCACTAAAAATGAAAAAGCAACACATTTAATTCAGATGCAACAACATTTGAAAACAGTTTGATAAATACCTTTTGGTTTTCTGTAATTCGCTGATAGTGTTTTCCTGGTCGAAGATAAAAAATAATGCATTGGTATAAATGGTTATTTTAAGTAGGATTTCAGTATGCAGTTTTAGTACAACACTCACAACGGATTCCTGCTTTAGCTTTAGGCTCTCCAGCTCCTCCTGAAGCCCAGACAACGCTGTGTCTTTTTCTTGAAGACTGAACAGAAACATTTGAAATGACTTTATGTAAAACTAAAGAAATGAAAGTGACCAAACATTTACATACCTTTGTTTTAACTGCTCCAAATCCTCAGAATTGTCCTAGAGAGTTACATTACAGTATGAAAAAGTCATATAATCAACAGATAACAGTTTTGCACAAATGTACAGGCTGCCACAAGACTTTATATGGAAAAATACCAATACGAGATGATGTGTAGATAGCATAACAGCTGAAAATATTTTTGGGTAATCAATGTCACTTGTTTAATTAGCCAAACTTTTGCAGTTTTATCAGTGTTGATGTGAGACAGACAAAACAGGTAGAGTCCTGAAACGTTAAAAGCAATAGAGAATTACAAAAATCAGGACTTTTTTTATGATATTGGGAATGAATAGAATGTGCCTCAGAGCCATGAGTTTGGGACAATCTTATAAAATTCAAAAACATTTGTTTAATGTATAAAATTAAAACTGGCTGTGCTCCGCCTTCACTGAGCGAGTTTGTAAACTTCAGATCGAGTGCAGCCAGAGTAACTCGAGGGGCAGTGAGGGAAGACTGCGTCCTCCCCTCAGAAAAACTGCATTTGGTCAGGCCGTGTTTTCTTATAAAGCCTCCCAGCAGTGGAACTCAGTGCCTGAAACAATTCGCGAGTCTTCCTCATTTAATTCATTTTTTAAAAAAGCCAAAAAGTGGCTCGTGGAGACACAGACTTGTGAGCACTAGTTATATTGAAAATGTATACTTTGCTCATTTCATGTACTATGTATGTATGCAATTATATTGTGTCTTGTAAATTGCTATGTGATTTTAATCTTGCTTTTTCAGGCTGGCTTTGACATCTGCCAAAGGGTCTACCGATGAAAATTAGCTTTTCTGCTAACTCGGGCATATTTACATTGTAAAATGTTGATTAATGTGCACTGTCCCTTTTCAAATAAATAAAATCTAAAATCTAAAATCTAAAAAAAAGTTCAGAGAAGCAATTCTACCTCTCTGGTGCCTTAAGGGTTAACAGTACATTTCTTAAATCTATAAATCATGGGTTCTTAAATCTATAAATCATGGGTTCTCAAACTAGTCAGATCTGCACAATATGTGTCAAATCAACTTGCGACTCCCACAACTGATTTTTTAAAACAGCCTCTCCCCTCGAGAAAGGGCAGGCTCCTTTTGTGGCACCGGCACCTGCCACAGCTGATCAGTGGCATGTACACAACAAATGGCATTTAAAACGGCATGTGGACAACAAGTGGCGTTTAAAGCGGCATGTGGGGAATAAATGGCGTTTAAAACGACATGTGGGGAATAAATGGCGTGTAAAGCGGCATGTGGACAACAAGTGGCGTTTAAAACGGCATGTGAGGAATAAATGGCGTGTAAAGCGGCATGTGGGCAATAAATGGCGTTTACAACAGCATGTGGGGAATAAATGGCGTGTAAAGCGGCATGTGGACAACAAGTGGCGTGTAAAGTGGCATGTGGACAACAAGTGGCGTTTAAAACGGCATGTGGGGAATAAATGGCGTGTAAAGCGGAATGTGGACAATAAATGGCGTTTAATACGGCATGTGGGCAATAAATGGCGTTTAAAACGGCATGTGGGGAATAAATAGCGTGTAAAACAAATACAGTTGAAAGCAGCCTGTACAAAAGACAACAAGCAGCAGTAGTAGAGATAGTGATCCAGTGGCTCAGATGGAAAAGCACAGGTCTACGATGTTGATGGTTGCTAGTTCAAATCCCTAGTGACTACCAATGACATTTGCTGATGTTGGGTCCTTGGGCATAACACTTCATGGAGAATGTCAGAAGTGCCATAAGTTTTTTGAAAAATGTAGTTTGAGTTGTAATAAATTCAATTTAAAATTTGTTGAAAGATTTAATTTCATGTATTATATGTGGTTTAGATTCTGGAGAAGTGTATATTCTGTGGCGCACTTGGTCTATAACTGTCTCTCATGCGGAAGATACCTGGTTCAATTCCAGGTCTGGTCTCTATTTTTTTGTTGTCAGATTAAATACAAATTGAATATGTATGAATATATATTTCATACATATGGTTATGTGTTGTTCCAATAGTAATCTTGCATTAGGATTAATATTGCATCATCGTTAGGGTAAAACTAAATTAAGACACAATAAGACACAATTTTACTTAAAACCACCTGGTGAGTGGTATAGTTGGTGTGTGTCCGCCAATCATGCAAGAGTTCGCAGATTCAAATCCAGCCAAGATCAAAAACTTTTTTATGACGGTTATTTCTTTATACATTTATATATCTATAAATATCTATATACATCTTATATATCTTTATATATATATATATATATATATATATTATATAAACAGTTTTTATATAACTGCCATTAAAAAAAAAACACTGTACTTTGATTCGATCTGCCAATCTCACGCACTATAGACGAATGTTTAATGACTGCGCCACTTATTTTTTTGTTTTGGCAAAGAAAAAAAACGAAAGATTCTATTGTTGTTTTAGGACATTTCATCAAGAATGGAGCCAACCAAAGATGGTGAAGAGTGATGGATTAAAAAATACAAGCAGAAAGTTGTGTAATTGGAACATGAGGTTTCATCTCTATATTGTTAAAATCTTAATTTCTGTTCTTGGACCGTTTAAGCTGTGTCTTATACTTTGCATTCTTATATAAACAAATATATGTATTAATGCTCTTTCTTATTGTTCCATGTTTCTGATGTGGTTTTATTAAAGAAGAGAGAAAAATACAATGATTTTGTATTATATATATATATATATATAAATGTCATACATATTAAATTTGTATTTAATCTGACAAAGATAAAATACTGACCTGTCCTGGATTTGAACCAGGTATCTTCCGCATGAGAGGCAGTTACAAACCAAGTGCGCCACTGGATGACGCAGCTCATATTTTTCAAATAATTTATGGCACTTCCAATATTCTTCACGAAGTGTTAGCCCCAAGGACCCAACATCAGCAAATGTCATTGGTAGTCACTGGGGTTTTGAACTAGCAACCATCGGAACCGTAGATCTGTGCTTTTCCATCTGAGCCACTGGACCACTAGCTCCAGTAATGCTGCTTGTTGTCTTTTGTACAGGCTGCTTTCAACTGTATGTGTTGCCCACATGCCGTTTTAAACGCCATTTATTCCCCACATGCCGTTGTAAACGGCATTCATTGCCCACATGCCGCTTTACACGACATTTATTCCCCACATGCCGTTTTGAACGCCACTTGTTGTCCACATGCCGCTTTACACGCCATTTATTCCCCACATGCCGTTTTAAACGCCACTTGTTGTCCACATGCCGCTTTACACGCCATTTATTCCCCACATGCCATTGTAAACGTCATTTATTGCCCACATGCCGCTTTACACGCCATTTATTCCCCACATGCCGTTTTAAACGCCACTTGTTGTCCACATGCCGTTTTAAACGCCACTTGTTGTGTACATGCCACTAATCAGCTGTGGCAGGTGCCGGTGCCACAAAAGGAGCCTGCCCTTACTGCTCCCCTCTGGTGGAAGCGGTGCTCATTGGTGCACGTAAGTCACACACAGAGCCGCCCCTTTAAAGCTTGTGCACAGGCCAGAGATTCCTGTTGGCTCATCCTGCTCCCATCCTGACAACCTGCGTGTCCCGCCTCCTTCTTGTATGGTTTGGTTTGGTTGCTTGGTCTGGTTTGGTTCTCCTCGGTTCGTTTTGGTTTATTTGCTACACACCATTCAACACTGCACACATAGGCTCATAGCACGCACTCATTACAGACTTCCACACCTTATTGAAATATTAACTTTGGTTATTAATAAATATTATTTCAATTGGCAACTATTGTTTGGCGTGTTTCTGTCATTTCTACTGAGCCGGGTTATGACAACAGCCACTGGTCATTATATTCAGTTTCATATAAATGATCATGTTCTGTGTCAAATAACAAGTGAAATATGAAAGGCCCCCATTTTGAGAACCATTGGCATCCCAAGAGTCAGGTCGATGAATATTTCTCATAATTTCTGCAAACCGCTGTGCACTTTCATTTACATTTAAATCAGGTAAACAGGGCCCTAATTATAAGAGTTTCCATGTGTGCCTTTCCACAAAGAGTTTTGAGAGCTCTTTAGTCCATGATTGACTGAATGTTTTTAGTCTTTGGTCCATCACAGCCGTACATAAATGTGGACAAGCGTATACAAATATTGCACTAAACAAATTATACAAAATATTGATACCGGAGTGCTTTGCTCCTCCCCTTTGCTTTGTGCGGCCTCCAGCAGAGCCGTGATGCTGGACACTTTCTGCTCCAGTTGCTCCTTCTCGCCCTGGGCCTCTTTGAGCTGAGCATTCAGGGCCTCCACTTGCCCTCCGCGCTCCCGGTTATCAGCCTCCAGCTCGCCCACACGCGCCTGGAGTTCTGCACAGACGATATTCCATTTGCTTAATTTGTGTGAACATCGGTTATTCCATCTGTCTTTTGATGGTTACTTGCAGTTTTGCTGGATTTTTTAAAATATGCTGTGAAAACTGTTCATTTTGTGCTTAGGAGGGGAGCGTGGGATATGTAATAATTAGCTTGACAGCCATATTCCCCTTCAAGTCAATTAAAGTCTTAATAATATTTTCATTTTGAAATTTATTTTGAGGTCAAAACACCTCAATAAATATAATTTTCTTCAAGGACTTATATTTGTATACTGTAATATGATCACTGAACTCTAAGTTGGTATGTGTGTGTGTTTGTTGTGCATGTTCTCTTCGACATACTTGTAAAAACGAGCTCTGCGAGTCACTATTTGATGCTTTGGGTGAGTGAGGGTGGTCCCCTCTCACTTTTCTGTCTGATGAAGTGAAGCGAGAGGGGAAAACTATTTGCATGTGGAAACTAATGATAAAACCAAACTGTTTTGACAGTTAAATGTATTGTACTGATTTGATTTGGGAAAAATAAATTAATAAAATATATATTAAACGTGTATAGGGACTAGCTTAAGACGGACAGGAGAGAATCCTCGTCTGACCTGACACTGCGCTGTTGTCTTGCTGAGCTTTCTCCAGAGACGTCTGCAGAGTGCTGCTCTTGCTCTGGGAGCTCCGCAGCTCCTCGCACACCTCCTCCAGCCGCTTCTGCAGGGCCTGCTCGCCCTCTGCCTGAGCAGCCTGCCAAAAACATGAACAGAACTGTCACCAAACAGTAATTCGACAGCAACCAGTAGATTTCCACCACTTCCACAAGTTAATCCCAAAATTATTAATTCATTTGTTTCATTACAGGTCTATCATAACTGTAAATGCATGACATATATGCCTAAAATTTGCTTTAAAACTGTGATGAGTCCATCAAAGACCTCTTTCCATAGTTTTCTTGACATCAACATTCAAATTTCACCAACCAACTGAGCTTTGGCTATAGATAATCATATTTATAAGAAAATCCATACACAAATAACAAATGCATAATACTAATAACACTCATGGTGTAGGATCTCAAAAGAATGTGAAGGTTTAAATGGGATATGGAGATTGTAAATGTAGATCCAAGAGGGGTGAAGGTTGGTCATTTCATGGAGAAATGTTAAACACCAGGGGGCAGCACTGATGCGCTGAGATTTGAGAATGCCTGATTTGAATACCATTTACTTACATTCCTCTATTTCACATAAGTAACATTCATTTAGATCCATGCAAACTACTGTAGATTTGAGTTTCAAATTTACAAATGCAGTTCCTTCATGAACGATTGTGGGAAATATTGATTTCATTCTACAAATAAAAGTGGATTTTTACTTTATATATAGTTGGAAGACTTGAGCGATAACATTTTATTGTTTCTTTGCCTCATTATATCCCTTCATTTCAAGAAAACTGCTATGTACAAAAAAAGTGGATTGGAAGCCATTGGAATTTAAATACTTTCCTCATTGTGGCCAAAGAAAAATATGCACTGATTGTTCAATTTGTTATAAACTAGAAAAGTCTAAAGTTCAATTGATATATTAATTTTAGATTATAGCATAATTTCACAAACGCTGGTGTAAAGCAGCGTTAAGGAGAACATTATTAAAAGTATTAATTGCATGTTATAGTAAAGGCTTATTCCATTCTAATGTACTGAACACTATATCTACGTAGTTAGATGCCCAAGATGTCAAGTTATGTTCCAAAGGTGATTCCGGTTTAAGGCCTACAGAGGAGGCGCTGGAGCTTGCCCACATTCCTGCTGCTGCAGCTGGGACACATTTCCCCTCAGACCCCTTATTGAACGTCCACATTCCACACACAAGTCTCTGTCATTACAAGACGATTAAAACCACTATAAACATACTATAAACTCATGAGACCAGCAAAAGGTGAAGAATTCTGGTCCAGAGGGGAAAACTACATTTACTACTATCCAAGCGTTTTATAATGTGAATTCATTACAAGTTAGTTGACAAGATTAATTCTTTAAAGCCACACTACCAACAGAAGAAGAAAACACTTCATACAGTGTAGTACAGCGGTGCCCAAAGTATTTTACTCTGAGGGACAAAATGAAAATTGAGCCAGGGGCCAAAGAGTTTTTGCAATAATATTTGCACTGTAATGTTTGGATTGGACCAAAGGTAAATAAGGATTATTAAACTGATTGGGCAATTATTTTATTTTGTTTTTAACTGTATTTAGGATCTTTTAAAAAATAATTTTAGCTTTAACATGTCAGGGTAGCTTATGACCTCTTGTAAAACTACTCCACCATCAATGAGAGAATCATTTGTGGGGGCCACTAAAAATGTCATAGTAAATGGAAGATCCGAACAAAAAATATAGAAGCAGTCTACATTTTCTACAAATTGTGGAACATTTACATCAACACAACCTCAAAAGAATATCTAGTTTTAAATGAATGATGGAGACTGAATAAGCCAAAACTATTCATCTAATCTATTATATACATCTGTAACTAATGATGATTGTTTTCATTTGGATAACTACTTCCAGTTTAATCTTCGAATGCAGTGATAACCCATGTTTTTTGAGTATGCCATCCTCCATTTGGTGCACGCTGTTGAACAAACCTGCAGGACGGACAGCTGTTTCTCCGATGCAGAGACTTTGGCTTCCAGGGCTTTCCGGGCATGTTCCTCTGTCTGCAGACTCTCCGCCTTCTCTCCCAGCTCTTTGGTGAGTTTGGTGCATTCTTGACGCAGTTTGGCCAACTCTGCATTTTGTCTAAAGATTAGATCAGATAAAGGCCATTAGAGACGAGCATTTAAAGGAGAAATAACTTTGATATGACAGGACCTTGATGCGAGAATAGACTACACATTGATAACCTTGCATCGTAAATATGTCAAATATGTACGATACACTTTTCTATCTAATCAGCTTGTTCTTGAAGAAAACCAAATATTTTCACATTGGAATAGAACTGTGGCATGAATCAAGATTTGAATAGATTTACTTGATCTATAATAATTTGGTGTATCTATTTACAAAATGTATAGTTTTTACCATTGTATATGTGTCTAATTACCAGCCTTAAGAAAGTGAGAAGTAAGCCATAAAGTCAAGACAGAATCCAACTAGACAACTCTGACCAGCAAACAATTAAAAATGACATTCTAGTAGATTGCAATAAGTTGACTTAAACCAAAGTAATACATTCAGATGTTAAAAAACTCACTTGCTCTCGGCCTGACTTGTGGCCTGGTTGAGGGCATCACGGAGAATAGTGTTTTCTTGTTGTAGCCGAGCCAGCTGGGCGTTGGGACCCTTTTCGAGTTCATCCTTCAAACTCACAATCTAAAAAAACAAAAGGAAGACAATTACGATTATTAGCCACTGAATCCATATCATTAAACTGTTCCCGTGGCAGTATCTTTTGCATACAGTCCAAACGTGTCACTAGTACTAACTTGAGTGTTGAGCCTCTGTGTTTGGGCGAGGTGGTCCTGGTAGCTGGCCTGCATTCGCGCCTGCAAGGCAATCATCTCTTGTTCCCGTTTACTGAGTTGGGAGCTCAGCCGCGTCTCCACACTCGCCACTTTGGACTTTTCCGCCGACAGCTCCTGGTTAAAATGACACGTAACAGTCAGTCAGAATATTAAAGTAGGGATACCTAACTTTAACCATTTATTTAATAGGAATCCATGCAACTAGTTCCTCACTCTCAAAACTGTTTGGTTTGATCACTAGTTTTCACATTTGCAACAACATACAAAAAAAGTGAGATTGGAGACTACCCTCACTCAGCCAACCAGCTCTCAGCCTGAAGTTAAAATAGTGAGATATGGCTCTTTCAGGTAGAAAGGTGATGTGAAAAGGGTAGCAGTATTAGGTAGATACTTATCATCTGCCCTTTAGCGCCACCTAGAGGGAAAACTGAACTTTGAACTGGATTCACACATCTTAAAAATCTCACATTACTGCAATTTTTGACATTAGTGTTATTATCATGTCAGTTCTGAATATTGGTTTTTATGTACATTACTCATCAATAACGCATCATAACAAGTTTAAAACTGAACAAATATAAAAAAAGAAATGTGGGGAAAACAAATAGTATAATACTGAAAAACGTGTCTTGAATTGGCCTAATTTTCACATAGACTTGATTCTAACCTTTGTGAGCTCACGGAGGCGGTTCTTTGCGGCAGAGGCATCTTCCTGTTCGGCCGCCAGCTGTTTCTCCCTCTCCTCCAGCTGCTTCTTCAGCATCGCCACTGGGTCTCCTTTCTGAGTGGCCTGCAGTGTACACAGAGACAGATAAACTAAATTATTCAAGATGTCACTGAAAACTAAATGTACAGAGCAATTCTAAGCATCCGGTTCACCGTGCAGTCAGTCCTCAAGCATCGTCAAGAAAAGAGTCCAAAAGAGGCCATTAGCAGGAGGAGTTTTTAAGGTTTTGAATGGCTATATGATACAAATCAGCGATGGATTGGTTGGAAACGACCCCAAGACCTTTGCTCTTTGTGTTTGCTCTGCATGTTTGGCCTGTGTACAAATTTATCTTGTGGGAATATGATAAACATAATGTCTTATGCTCCACAACTACCAACTAACCTCAATGACCATAGATGAGACATAAACTACAAAATCAACTATTTTGGGCCTGGTATAGTTATTTTCCCATTGCACTTACACACTCAAAAGAAGTTTTTGTGTGATTCATGTTTGTTTGAATTCTTAATTATTCTTATCTTTCTGTAAAGGCATTCCAGGAATTTTTCCAAACGAATATTTCACACGTACTAAATATTCAATGAAGAGCCAAAGGGGTTATAGCCGAAATAAATGCATTACGTCCTCTTATCGGACAACCCAATTAATGGATTGTGATCTCATGTCTGGGAGGATTTCTCTTAATGCCTTATTGTTGCCAAGGCTGCAAGTGGTGTCCACATTGTAAAACAAGAATAAAAGTGCATTGTGATAGAATTGGACTTGGCTGGAGGTTTTTATTGCTTTTTCTATTGTTTTGTATATAGAAAAAAATACAACACAAAACTGCAGGGCAAGATGCTGTCAGGGAAGGCCTACATGGAACACCATAACCCCACACTCACTGTGTGCCACGTGTCCTGGATGATTCCAGCCTTTTCAGATAGGATCTCGATGAGTCTGTGGGCCTCTCCTTCGTTGAACACCATGCTGCTGATGGTGGACAGTAGAGTCTTGTACGGCAGGTACAGCGCAGCGTCAGTTGGATCCACAGCCACTGGTAAAAGAGACAAGAAACACATGAACATCAAATTTTATTTTGTTACAATTTATAACAGTATTGCGCTGGCTGTGGCCGAGAGGACAACTTTTTCCTGGTACATTTTCTTTATAACTTTTTAATCACCTCTTTTGTTACAACATTCACATTTGGAATGCTCTACACCTGCCCTCCTTTGGTCTATGCTTGAATATAGGACCCCTATTGAAACTTTGGACCAGGGGCGTCAAACTATATTTGGTCAATGGGATGGATTAAAAAAATGGGAATCCACTGTTATTCTTGTGGAAAGTTTCTTTAAAGCTCATATTTTGCATATTTTTGTTTAAATTTTTTGCAGGTTAATTGAAAATAACTTATTTACGGCTTGATGCATAAAAGGGAAAGTTTTTAATGTTTCATATTTACATTTTACATGCGCTCTCATTATCAGTAAGTACAAAGTCTACCCGAGCTGTAGCGCCAGGCAGAGACAGGCCTTGGGCATAGGACCCTTCCTCTCTATTGTCGGGGCACTGAGAGCTTTTGTCGGTGAACACAACAGGGACACACTGTTTGTACAAGCGGCTCTGCTCCCTGCCCTCTCAGACAAGTGCCAGACATCGCCCACTACAGTCTGCCACTTCAAACACACCAGGAGCGCACCAGGGCCTCAGTTTTGCATGAAATTGCGTGGCATCTGGGGGTCATTGAAATAATAATAATGATGTTTGCTTAATGTTGTCTGATCATACATAATATTTCATAATATGCATGAGCAATTACAGGTATTAGGCCACCCAATGACCCTATGGACCAATGGCTCCTTTGCGTTTCTTATTATTGCACCTCCTGCATTCTAATTGCATGACACTCTATCAACATAAAATAAAATAAAACTATTGATCTCACAATGAATGAATATATATTGACATTTTTAAAGTCGTCTGAGATGACTGCTGTTGTGATTTAGAGCTATACAACAATACATTGAAATTAAACTTGAATTAATCACTGAGATGCATTGTAATAATAAAGGACGATATTCTGCAAGCAAAGAATATCGCCCTCTGCTGGAGATTTTTCCCCATGTAACAGAAAAAATAAGTTTTGTTCCAGACGACCAGCAATGTTGTGAAATCATCTCATCACATTTGAAGATCCCTTAAGTTATCGCGTTTGCATCCAAACAAAATGACTGCACTTATACGGCTCTCTAGGCTCCGAAAGTTGTGAGAAGATTCAAAACTCATTGTGCCGAATAAATAGATTTAGAAGACTAGGCTGCTGCAAAACCAACAAACTCTGAAAATGTATGTGGCTGATACACACATGTGAATAAGTACTACACCCATCACTCACCAATGGGACATACCCAGCTTCTCTTAAGAGTTTACAGATTCATGCATTTTCAATTCGATTTGGAAAAAAGAAATAGGCTTTCTGCTACTCAACTCGTGGTCATGTCCATTTTGAAAATAATACATAAAGGTATAGATTTATTTATACTTACTGACTATTGAAATAAACGTTGAATAAATAATTGGGTGAGTAACCTTCTTTTGTTTTTTGTAATTATTATTTATCTTCTTTTTGTTCAGCACACCCCTACTCACCAGGCTCAGTCTTCTTCTTGGAAGCCTTCTTCTTTGGTTCTTGTTGTTTGGCATTAGCAGCAGGAGCTTGCGAGCCCACCGGAGGCACAGCCATAACAGGGACATCTTTAGTGACCGTCTCCAGGACTGGGGCCGGTTTGCTCTGCGCGGGGGCAGCTTTCGCAGGGGCAGTGGCAGTTTTGGCTTGAGCAGGAGCAGTTTTGGGTGCAGCAGGGGCCTGGGCTTTAACCTGAGGTTGGGCAGAAGCCTTGACAGCTGCAGCCTGGGTGACTTTAGCTACCTCAGGGGCAGGTGTGGCCTTAGTGGTGGCAAGTTTGGGTGGGGCAGGGGCTGCCACTGGAGCAGGTGCGGCTGAGGGCTTGATGGGAGCAGATGCTTGGGAGGCAGGCTCAACTTTAGCCACCTTCTTTTTCTTCTTGTCTTTGGGAGATGGGGCAGGTGATGGTTCCTCCAGGGCAGGCGCGGCTACAACAGGAGCAGATTGAGGTTCGACAATGGGTTCCGGATCTTCAGCAGGAGCAGCAGCAGACTCTGAATCAACCTCAGACTCTTCCTGACTTTTCTCCGCATCTGGGATTTTTCCATTAGGCTTATCTTCCTTCTTTTTACCACGGCTCTTCTTCTCTGAGGTTTTTTCCTTTTTCTTTTTCTCAGAGCGGGTTGTCTGGATTTTACCCAACTCTCGACGCTGTTTGGCCAGTGCTTCTTCATACGAGGTCTCCTTCATTGAGAAGGTGGAGACAAGAGCGATTCCCACAGCAGAGATCACCATGAACCCACCGAACACCATGATGCCGAGGGTCTGGGGGTCGTAGAGGTCCATGGTTGTCCTACAAAGTCAATAAAAGAGGTCACTAGCAAAATTTTGCTTAATCCATGAATTATGTGATAGAAGATAAGATAGACTGAAACCATTACTTAAGACACTAATTTTTTGTACTTAATGTATGTTTCCTTGTTTTAAATAATTATTAGATTTGATTATTAAAACTTATTTACACACATATTTAATTTCGCTGTACAAGACAAAAAAATGTTTTTGACCAAGGAAATTCACTGGAAATTAGAAAAAACTCACTCCCACTATATACACATTTGTAAATGACATAATAATTATTAACATTAGAATAAACATGTAGTCAAAGCAAGGTGTTCCTTCCAATGAGAGTTAAGGGGCATAACTTCAACTTCAGCTTTTACATGTGAAAACCTCAGGGTGTCACTACTACCCCTAAAACTTCTCTATAGGCAGTAAAGCTATCTTATCAGCAAACTGTACCAGATGGCCAAGGCCTACGACTTATCATATAGAATGGTACCGTATGGAAAACGCGTGTTTCAATCCACCTCTGCACTTTGTGGATGTGAAAAGTTTGATGCTAAAGTTAAAAGTCAAAGATCTAGAGTAAATGAAAAAGGGGGAGGGATCAATACTGCAGATCAATATTTCACATGAAACCATAGCCCTCTTCTCTTTACCACTGGCTAAATTGTTCACATCCATTCTAATAATTCACAAGAAAAAGTTTAGTGTCTATTCCCATAACTAACTTGTCTAAATATACAACTGTTTGTTAGTTTCCTGAATTGTAAGCACTATCCTTGAAATAATGCTGTGCCTTGAGGGCTTTTATACACTTATATCACACCCGAGAATGTTTAGCCGCCCTCTGGGGTAGGAAAATTGGCAGAGGGTAGAGGGGAAGTTAAATACCCCCCTTTCATTCATCCTGCAGCAGATGTATTTATTTTTTCAACTATACAGAAGTAACACCACACCGCATTATAGACTCCAATATGCGTATAACATGCAGTTTACGAAAGACAAATAGATGGAAAATGCTGAGCTAATCCGTGGCTGGGTCCAGAGTCCCAGCTCAATTCAGGGAACAGTTTGCACTTTTAAGTCACATGCCATCATTTCGAAAAATATGTACTCCCGACAGCTTAAACAATTAGATACTACTTTTTACATAGATTTTATTTTTGAAGACATGTAGGTTATGTATGTATGCATGTATGTATAAGCAGAAAAGTTGTAAAATCATACATTTTAGGCAAGGTTACTGGAACTAAAACGACGAAAAGGTTATATTTGTCAGAAAAAGCTTGCCTGAAACATCAAAGTAGTGGCTGCACAGACTTTGCTTGGGCACATCTGGACTTCAGAAGACGCCTGTGGTATTTCATGCAAATCCATGATCTACTGACTTAATGAGGCATCAGAAGAAACTGATTTTACAGATTTATGTATCGTCAGTTTCTCTAAACAATAATATAATTTCCTGATTGACTCAACATTATGAATCAATGAACTTTGCTAGGAGCATCCTTAGCGTGACCAAGTCCACCGTTACATAATTGCCTTATTCCACGTCAGTGTAAAGCCTTGACTTATGCCACAAAAAAAGATCCGGAAAATAACTCTGCTTTCTCTCTTCAAAAGTAGTTAGCTTTAAAGTTAGCATCACAGGCTAGGCTATCACCCCCAGCCTCTCTATAATAAAATCCCACTATATTTCTCCCACCACTCACCGCGTAGACGTGGCTAAGTCGTGCTTCTTTACAAACAACAAGGTGATGCTACGTCTATCTTTGCGAGCCACAGATCTGCCCGAGTATGTGGCTGAACTTGCCTTGCTCAGAGGTCCCCTGCTCGCCGCTGGAGGATCCGTGTCCACTGTGAAGTCGTGGCACTTGGAGCTGGCGAGACGAGCTGGCCCCGTGCCCCAGATAGCGACCGTTCACCCAGCGCGCCGCTGATTGGCTGAGAGGCGCTCGGACCGGAACTAGGCATGCTGGGAATGGTAGTTTTCCAGCTAAGGTATGCGTGGTCAAAAGAGTTTTGCTCAGACAAAGATGACTTGTATGAAGAGAGGGGGAAAATCTGCAGCTTTTGAGACAACTTGAGACGAGTGCGTAAAGTCATACCTGCATTTCTTTAAAGAACGCTTTCTACTCCTGTTCTTATTTTATTGGACCTTTGGAACATTTAGTTATCTAAAGGATTTTAGCAGTTTAAGACGTTTAAAGTGGTTCATTTAGTTATTTTGTAGGTTATAATAACAATATTGTTACTGTGCTTGCCAGGCTTGTATGTTCAAGCAAATGTAAATGTCAGCAAAGTTATGGCTTGAAGCTGGGATACCTGACTTTCACAAAAGCAAATAAAATCGATTTAACTAGTTTAGCTCTAAGCGAGTTAAATAGCTCTGAAAAGTTAAACAGTAGCTCATAGGGCTTTTTCATACAAATAAGCAACTTATTATTTGTCTAAATAAATTTGGACATTAGGCTCTCCACAAAATACTGTTACTATTTATGTTGGGACAAACAAAATGCACACACAAAAACAAACAAACAGTTTTATCTTGAATGTACAAATAGCTTGTTGTGGTATAAATCCTCCAATACAGCAGACACTGCTGCTCAGGTCTTGACTTGAAATACATTCACATTTGTCCTGTGCTCTGGTTCTTACACTGGCATCTTGTGGCTCCAATAATAGACTTTAAAGAAGATGTCACAGATGAAAGTAATGATTCATGACAAGAATGTAGTATTACTGTTACTATTACCAGATCAAACATCAGGCGTGCTCCAACTATAGTATCTGCTAATCTGCAAATGTCCAAGTATTTAGGCATCATTGATTCCCAGATTCAGGACTAAACCTCAGACTCTATAGACTGAACATTCACAATAATGCAGCCCTAATCTTAAACTCTTTAATCAATATTAAAATTAATTAAATGCTCAAATCAGAAAAGCTTTTGTTTTGCTGTGCAGACAGAACAACTATGAACCAACACTCTCTTTTCATTATTTCATCATCTGAATTTCATGTTTTCCCAAATCTTTTCCCATTTTTGAAATAACACTTTTTATTATTTAACGTCTATTTAACCAGGAAAGTGTGTTTCAAGGGAGTCCTGGGAGTCCATTGCTCCTTGCTGATGTCCAGAGTTGATTATTCAAAGTTATGTTTTTGTTGTTCCTAAATCAAGTTCATCAGCAAGGACAGCAGTCATTTGTCTTGACACTACTCCCATAATCCCATTGTCACCTATGTCACTCAATTAAAACCTGATATGACTGTGTTTGTTCTGTGAGACTATGCGGACAGGGCAGGGCATGCTAACCTAGAAAAAGTTGACTTACAGCACGCAGCACACAAAACTTTTTGGATATCTGAGCTCTGCAGTGTTGTGGCAGGTAGAAGAAAATACTTTTGTCAATGAGGTGAATACTGCACTTTAACAGTGAGGGTTAGTACATGGCATCCTCTTCACATCACATGTTTTATGGAAATGGAGAGATTATTTTCATTTTCATGTGACATTGCTCTGTATTCTATTTTGATTTAATTGTATGTTGCAGTTCTGATTGCCACCCCTGACACAGAAATGGAAAATAAAGGGATGTAAATGAAATGAAAAATGAAAAAAAAAGTATGTTACAGCAAGATTGCTTTTCAATAACAATTATTGTAATCATCTACTCAGATTTTCACACATTGCACACATTGTTTCACCAAATGGAGAATCCATCCATCCATTTTCTTCCCCTTAATCCATTTCGAGGGGGGGGTTAAGTGTCTTGCCCAAGGACACGACGACAGCAGACATCAGTGGGAGCTGTGTAGTAGGTCCTATGGTGGGCTCGAACCCACAACCTTCAGGCTCAAAGGCCAATGCTCTACCAACTGAGCCACTGTCGAGAATCCAACTATATTACAATGAAAATATACAAACACACACATGTTATAAAAGTCCTTTAGAATATGTCCTTTCAGTGCACAGTTAAATTAACAATGAGGATAATAAACAATGTATTGTGATTATCGTTTGATGACATTATACATTGTGCTTATGGATATTTTCTTTTAAGAAATCTTGAGAATGTAGTTACTTGTGTTTAATGGGCTCTTGGTTTCTAAGATCCAATGTTCAATATGATGTGAAATCTGAAGAGTTTTAAAAGTCCAGTGAAGCCGCAGGTAAATTCCTGCTCAGTCAGCGGGCTTCAAGAGGCTGCCATGTTCAACTTAAAATGTAAGTATTTAGGCATTGTTGAAATTAGATATTCATAGAAACACAAACCTCTGATGTATCTAGACGTTGACTAAGCAGTAATGAGGAGTTTATTTTTATAACTATGACGGGTACTAGAACTAGCAGTAAGTCCATGAAAATAATCTAAATCTAAATGCATGTATAAGACATATGTGGTTCCCTGGAGAATCCTGGCATTTCCTCTGGACCACCTGAGGTCTCTGAATGCCTTAGTTCATGATGCATGAGGCCAATGGATTTAGCACAACCTCCACATAAAGATGCAAGTGACTGATCACTACTGCCCTCTAGTGTCCTCAATGCAGGTCAGTGCACAAACAATTATTTCAGATTTCTTTGTCAATAAATCCAATGATTAGATCAATTGATCAAGGTTCTAAACCACATTTAAACAAATGCAAGAGTGAATAAGCAATTGCAAGTAATATTGCTTTTTCAAAATTCTGATTACTCTGTTTTAGTAAAATTGTGGTGTTCAGGTCTTGAAATATACTTTCTAATTGATTGAATCTAGTAGGTAGCACATCAAACCTTATGACCCAGACCATCCATTCACTCAATGATTACATTCAGTCCTATTGTACATGTTTTAACTGGTAGAGTAAACCAGAGCACCCAGAAGAAATCTATGCAGAAACAGGGAGAACATGCAAACTCCACACAGAAAGGCATCATCTTGCCCAAAATTTTAACCCACAACCGTGCGCCCTCCATGACACACGAGAGTAGAAGATTGTAATCTCAACCAGACCAAAATAAAAACATGGTCAAATTAATATTACCGATGGTGATTGATTGGAGTATTCAAAGTCAACAATAAGCTATCAATAAGCTTGAGAAGATTTTACAATGCATTAAATTCTACATAAAAAAATGTTGAAGAATTTATGGCAGAGCAAATTAGTAGAATTTCTATTTACCTAAAGATAAACAAGTGAACAACAGAGTCTTGGGAAAGTAGGGTTTATTTATTCTCATCATTACAAATCTATAAAACCATCTAATAAAGAGTGTGGGAAGGTTTGCACATGAACTGGAATTCATTTGAAATACATTCACTTCTTTAAAAACAAACACAGTCGAATGCCACATAAATCAGATTGCAAAGTTTTTCACCATTTAAGTGCATCATTTTAAAAGTCAACTTGAATAATGTTCAATACACTATGTGGCATAAGCAGATTGAAACGTGAAAGAACAGGACAATGTAAAGCAAAGGTTTGAAAATAAAAGTTAAAGTAGAGGGAACAATAATACAGACACAACATGGGATACAAGTCTCATATATTAATTATATCTGTTGAAGGCACAAGTGTCATTGTTGTATTAGTAAATGTAAAGTTTAACTGCTGACATGTTTGGACATTTGTTACAAAAATGGAACTTGCATTGGATGGTAGTTAAAGATTAAGGGTGGTAATGTTTATAATTTAATCTGAGATGACACAAAACAAGAGAAAAACTTTCATCACTACCAGTCACATTTCTGAAAGTAAAAAACCAAAACAAAATCCAATAGAATGGATGATGGATGGAGCATAGGAGAGTGTAAACATTCTGCTTACGGACACCACATGGGCGCAGTCAGGGGCAGATTCATAAAGTGACACACAGCCCAAGGTAAAAAAGAGAGGGTTTATGTCCAGCAAAAGATCTGCTCACGTCACTTACTGTTGATCAGGTCGATGCAGCCTTGCAATAGAGTGGCGTTGTTCTGCACACAACAGAGCACACAGTTGCACAAACACATTTTATAATATTCATTGTTTTTTAAAATCGACTAAAAAGAGCCAAGATACTGCAACTGCAATTGAAATAAAGGTATTTTATTGTTGAGGGACCTGTCAGGGAGTTTTGGCCACATAGGCCTTCTTCAGAGCATTAGGATCCGTAACAATAAAAAGGGGGAAAATTAAGTTCTTCTTGTGTATTTCTTCTTGCCACTCTCTTTTGAGAATTGTGCTACTCCAGAGTTGCATGTATTGTATGCTGTATGATTATTCTTTGCACAAACTCAAACTAATGAATCAATAAGTTTGAGGGCTTCAGATCTTTTTCATGGTTCTATGGTTCAACTCTACATCTAAAACCCAGTGTTGCATAAAACTCTCTCTGATGGCTACTGTTAAGCCTTTGAAGCAGCTACGGCATTTTTATGTTTTATACCATGCTATTTTTTGCCCTTTTAAAGCCGTTTTACAATTGACTGACTACGATTACAACTACTGACTACCTACTTTTATGTTTAAATTACATATTTTTTGCTTTGTGGCTTAAACAGGCTGGGGCCATCATCCAAAAAATGATTACCCCTCCCCAATGCATCGTCTTAATAATTTAAATATCTTTATTAGACAAGTATTTTTTTCAATTAGTCAAACATCAATTTGCAGCACGATTTTGGCGTTTCTTCATCCAATCTGTAATTTCCCCTCTGTGGGAATTAAAAAATGAATAAAAATCATTCAAATTCTATATCAAGTTGCCGGAGGAGCAGAGGTGCAACATCTTGAACAGAGATCTACTCGCACATTTTAGATAGATTCCAAAATATGATACGATACGATATGATACGATGTTACCCGTGAAATAATACTACGCTTTATCTAAAATCTCCCACACGATATATTCAGAATTCAGTGATTTGATTACAACAATTGCAAAGATTTGGGACGCTGTAACATTCTCCATGCTGACCACTCTAAGAGCCACTGAGTCACTCAAAGGTGAAATATGTAAAAATATATAATGCCCCTTCTAAATATACTAAATATAAAAACATGGGCCACAGGTGTCAAAGATTATCAATACATACGTAGTAGAGTGAAGCTGTTGAAAATATGTCCATTGCTACTCAGAAATTGCATCAATTGTTAGATTGTAACATCATCAGACAGACGAGACAGTAATACACTCACCTTGGCATGTTTTATCTCAAGTTCAGCCATCTCTATGAGGTTTTTCCGAAAGGCCACCACACGCCTGCCCTTGAAATTTGTGAGTTCTAAATAAAATACAAAAAGATGAATAGTTATGTTATGCTTTTGTATTTGCATGAAAGAGAAACAAACCTCTTTTCCCAGACTCCGAGAGCTTGTCAAACTTATGCAGACACTGCTGCTGGTGCTCCTCTGCCTGGGGAATGTCCTTGCCTTTCAGTCTGGCCTTGTCCAAAGCCTTGTTCGAGTTTTCATAATCCGCCAAAGCCCTTGCTCGTCTGTACAACAAGTCCTGTAAACACATTTTTTTAGGGAAAACTTAAATCATTTTACAGAACTACTTATGATGATTTATCTAAAAGAATATCTTTATAAACAACCAATAGGAAATCAACATTTTAGAGTTATGATTATTGTAAGACCATGACTTTACTGTTCTTTAGTCATTGGTCAATAATTAAATAGTTCTTAAAGTTTCCTTTGTCTCACATTTCTCTTCCAAGTTCAAAACTGCATGAACATAGTATAAATATATTGATTTGAGCTAAATAAAAAGATCAGCAGATAACTTCCCCAAGCCGAGTATATTTAACAGTACTAAAGTACCACATGACAATTTCAAACTCTCTACCAGATGCGTTTCAGTAATAAAAAGTAATACTTTTTATTCTTACCTTTGCGGCCTGAATATCTCTCATATAATATCTTAGCAGCTCCGTCAGTTTTAGCTCCTCGTCTGAAGCTACTCGTCCCTCTACTTTCTGAAAACAATTAAATCAAATTAAGCACATAAGCGTACAGAACCTTATTAGGTAAATTTCAAGCACATGAATGTGACTTACTCTTAATTTTTCAAACAGGTCAGACAATTTTTCTAAGTGCCTGAATGAGGAAAATAATAAAATAACATTTAGGGGTTTTTGTCAGGGCGCGGGAAGGAAATGAAACAAAACATACTTTTTGTTTGCTGTACTGTCGTCGGCTGCAATGCAATTCAATGTTGCTGAGATACGAATATAATCATCAGCAATATCTGAAGAAACATTTAATTTATTTAATTCACTTTGTAGAAGATATGCTACTCTCTATAATTATGAGGCCATACTTTGGTGTGCACGTGTCATTTTTTCTGCTTTGGCCGTTGAGTCTTTTATCTTGCTGTAATAGTCAAGGAGGAATGTCTTCTCCTGCTCAAAAAAGTCATCAACTTCCTAAAAGAAAACAAAGTTACCAATAGTTTCTTAATATCAAAGCAAGATGCTCGATGCTCGAGTTCATGCATTGCATAACTGTAGATATGTACATTTAATATTGATTAATTACACAGAATATATCAATAGAAATTCCGAAAGGCAAAAAGTCCAAAGTGCTGAGGAGTACAACCAGTGACAACTAACCTTTACTCCAGAGATTAGGACTTCATCTGCAGATTTCACCATATTTTTGAAGAAACCTCCAAACATTTCTTTTGCATTCTTCCTCCTCACACTAAGCTATAAACAAAGGGAAAGCATAACAATATACCAATTTGTAGTTTTTTGTTTAACGAGAAACACTACGATGCCCAAATCCCCATGTAACAAAGGCAGTCTTTGTAATGTAGTGTTTTTTTAACCTGAGACCCAAGTAGCCGATTAATAAAGGAGAAATCCATGAATCAATGTAATGCAGGACACTTTCCATACAGCGACTTATCCCACAATGTCCCAACATTTTTCTAAATTTTTTATAAAAATGTTATTCATTTCTGTCATTGATCATTGTAGGCCTCCATCTCTTATAATACTTTAGGATTCCACGGTTTGTCTGTTTCACATACATTTTGTTAAAAAAAAGAAAAAAAAAAACAGTCCTGTGCCTAAAGTGTTAACATGCAACGACTATTGTCGTAGGCCACAAGTGCTGATCGCAGCAGGACAGAGGCCATGTGTCACAACTCTCCAGTAAACTCCATTTCCTCTGTTTCCAGTTCAAACCCTAGGAAGTTAAGTCAGCATTAATGTGGGACTTACATCCTGGTCGTACTCTAAGAAAATCTGGAAGTTTCTGTCTTTGCTTAAAATTGGATGTGAGGAGAGTCTCTGTAGGAACACTTCATGAACTTGAACGGTTTTCTTGAACACAGCCAAATATTCACTGAAATGGAAATAAAACAGAATTGAGGAACTACATTTCATGGCTCAATGAAAATGTGTTGAAAAAAAGAAAAGAATAATTACGCTTCCAGTTCCTGTTTCATTTTTGTGTACTCCTCCTTTGTCATAGTAGCCTCGCCTTCTCCCAGTTTATGCATCTTTTCCCTAGGGCCTTCAAAGTCAGGTTTTGGCGGTGCAGGAGGGATCTTTTACAAACAAAAGAGTGCATAGATTTTATATACAATAGCACAATTATAGAGAATGTCATACTGGATTAATATATCCTCAACTCACTATGAGACCAGCATATTCCTCTGTTTCAACCAAAGTGTCATGTAGCCAGATAAAGTCTTCATGCTGCCTGGGAACAGAGAACTCTGGCTTCTGGAAAGTACTCAAGGTTGTCTAAAAGATGAATATGTTATTACATTTTAGTCAAGTGGTTAAAACCAAGGACTTCAAGAATAAATCAAAAACATTTGCAGCAAGTCAACTATTAAGACACATGTGTACATATTGCATTACCTTTGTATGGACTGTAAACTTGACTTTGTCCCTTTCACATAGAGCATCAGGAATGTCAATGAGAAGTGAAGTGTCATTGTTCAAGTCCACTGAAACTGAACGAATCTGAAAAATAAAATTCTCGTCAATAGTTATTTAAAAAATAAAAAATAACAATAAAAAAACATAACAGCGATAGTTCATGTGCAAACTACTACACCACGATGACTGCAACAACACAATAGATGCACTTCTGGCTTAAAGCCGCAAGACAAAACAAAGCATGAGCTGATCCAACCAACTTGAGAAACAAGGTACGAGCGTAAATGTCTTCAGCAACAGTGTGCTAAAAAAGCGGCAGCGTGGCTTAGGAAAGCTTTTTGCAGTGTCTACCAATGCATACGTTTACTCAGTTAAATTCATTAAACTTCAGTGATCGTTTCACTTTTTCATCCGGGTATGATTGCAGGGAATGATAGCATTTGGGCGAGAGTAAGTTAGCTAAACAGCAAGTTGGCTAACTGAGCTACAAGTATTGATTTTGGTGGAATACATTTGCGAGGTAATACACAAGCAAAAACTTACTTTTTCCTTATTGCTTTCGTCTAAAGTGGATGTCATACTGGACCAAGAAAAAGCTGTGTAACAAAAAGAGGTAAAAAGCAAATAGCAAAACTAAATCCAGGAAGCTCTCCGCTGTTGGAGAGCTGTCAATTTTTGGTGACGATCACGGAAGATAAGATCCCGCCCCTGGGTGAATCTGATTGGACATTAAAAAATTGAAAAGTCCAACAATTTGTCGGAAACCCAATCAATCATATTCCGTCTTTAACGGAGTTTAAGAATGTTATTTAAAAAATGTCATGGCAGTGATGGCATTAATACAATATATACAGTCTATGATTAATACATGGTTAAAGTATTTATTCATGTTTATTTTTCACATAGTATGATAAATATTCCCTGCATGAAAACCCCTGGTAAGACCATAGACTGTATGGTAAGACCTATGGATAAGACATGCCCTACATCCAAATTTGGCAAAAAAATAAACAAATAAATAAAATAAACCTCCTTACTCATCCCTCCACCCCCTTTTATATACAAAATTAAAGTAGTTACAAATAAGAGGTATTACGTTTAATTTGACCAATCCTGGAGTTATCCTGTCTTATGATAAGTCAGATTTAAAGCACAAACATGGAAAGGGGGAGGTTATTGGTGATAAATTTGAATGCAGTCTGAGTTTTATGTTTTATTTCTAAATATATGTATTTCTTTATTGTCTGTTTTTAATTATTTGTGTGTTTCGTTGTCCATTTATTTGTCTATATGATTTTTGGGAGCTTCTACTTAAAAACAAATGTACGGACGAATATACATTACGGACTTTCACTGTAGTTTTTAGGCTCGGAGATCCTATGACGTTCTTTCATTAAAAAACTACAAGTCCCATGTCACATCAACGTACGTAACAAAACCGCGTCGTTTGGACATTTAGAAGATTTTTTTCTAGGACATGCCCAGGCAAATTCTGATAGCGAAACTACCTCAAAATGCGTAAATATCCATTATATCCTGCTGTTTATTCACACGTCTACCAATTTATCATGAATGTTTTAACACAGCGATAACACGCCGCCTTTGTTGTTTTGTATTTCGGGTTGTTGTGTGAAGTTTACGGGAATGTTCGTTGTAAGAAATGCCTGTGTCGTGGGCATTGTTGCTGCACAGATGCCGTGTTGTGCCTCCCACCACCTGCTAGTGACTCATTTTTCGTTGTGTCACGGGTTACAAGCCTCAAAGAGACAAAGTGCATACAGCGTAGTGGACACAGGACGCTATTCTTCTTTAGTGAAATCTGTCATGTCTAGGGTTAGCTCACAGACACCTCTTACTATCCAAGAGGAGGATGACCACATGTATGGTCCTGTTATAAAGACTTCTTCGCCTACTACAGCCACGAGAGCAGAAGTGAGGACTCCCAAGGTGCTCCATCCTTTTCTACATCTCCAAGAGACGTCAACAGAGGAGCAAACGCAGGAAGTAGGACCACCAGCTCGGATTCACCTGAGTAGGGGTCAGGGCAGGAGTGCTGTCCCCAGTGTGACCCGTATCCTCCAGCAGACACTATCCACGGAGCAGATCTTTTACCTGGAGAGATGGAAGAGGAGGATGGTGCAAGAGCTGGGAGAGGAGGGTTTCAAGGAGTACAGCCAGAGTGAGTGATAACGAGGCACTTTGTAACCTTTTCTATGAACCTTTTAATGATGAAAGATTCAGGATCTTCCATACATGTCCATGATTGTTGCATATCTGATATGTGACTTATGGTGGTGGCTTGTCTTATGAAAGTGTAATATTAGTTACTATAGGCAGTATAACAACAATTCCAATCAATCCCTATAGATTTTTTTTTTATGGTAGGCTTTCCAGAAATTATGATTTGCTATTGTGACAAATCCAAAATATTATATCTGTAAGAGATTCATTAATTTTCTACCCCTTATTAGTACATTTTTGGGTGGGAGGGTGGCAATCAGAGCTACTACCCAATGCTCATAGCACCAGTCCCTCGCTGATCCTCTTTGTCCATGGGAATATGGTTGCTGCTCAGTCAGTGGTGACACAGCCTAACTTTCAGCGGGGACTTTTGGCAACGTGTGGTTTGGTGCCCCAAGGGCACAACGATAGCAGGGGATGGAGAAAGTATTGGGAGGGGGAATGCTTCTTCTTGAAGAGAATTTTGGGAATAAATTCCCTTTATTGATGTCAAATAAAAATACTGACTCACATTTTTTATTCCCCCAGATCTTTTTAGACAGGGGAAGACATTTCATTCAGCTGTAGAAGATGTTTTGACATCTGACGTGAAATGGACTGATCGGGACCCCTGTGAGATGTCCCAGTTCCCCCCTGAGGTCTGCGGGTACATGGAGAGTGTCTCACATGTGCTGGAAGACGTCCGAGAAGTCCACGCCATAGAAAGCACAGTCCAACACAGTGCATTGAATTATCTTGGCATTGTGGACTGTGTTGCACGCTACAGGTAATTTACATACAGAAGCAAATGAGAAAACAAATCAACCGAAAGAAGATAATTGTTTACAGGGTTATTTTTTTTATTTTCATTCAACAGAATAATATATTATTTCATTAAAGTTAAGAATAGTAAAAATTCTTAAGTAAGTAAAATATCTAGTTTTTGCTTCAATATTATAGTTTCATTATAGTTCTAAAATGCAAATGTGATATTCAAGTATGAAATGTGATATTTATTTCAAATGAGGTGAGAGCAATCATTATAACCCTAACCAATGGTATACTTTAATGATCTACACTCGACAGAAAGTGTTTCTGTCTGAAAAAGCCGATATAAAGATGAACGCGAACCTAGTGATAGTTTTAGAGCCAGGAACTAAATGATTCCGTTGAAAGTTGGGTACCCCAACTTTAATTGTTTCTATCCTACAGGGGTGTTTTATGTGTGATCGATTGGAAGACTTCAGAAAAACAAAAGCCTTTTCTTAGCAACACGTACGACAACCCCATCCAAGTGGCAGCCTATGCTGGAGCGCTGAACACTGACTGCAACTACAAATACCAGGTGCGTTATTATATCATGTCCTTTTATACTTCTTGACAGAAATGTATTCACTTTTATTCATTAAAAATATCAAGCCACGGAGTCTTTTTATGTATTTCAGGTTGAGAATGGTCTTATAGTTGTTGCCTACAAAGATGGATCTCCTGCCCACGTCCATAAACTGGATTCCAATCTGATGTCAGATTATTGGAAAACGTGGCTGCTCCGTCTCGAAGATTATTTTGAAAAGAGGTACGAAAACATTTATCATTAGTGCATTGTGTGTGTCTGCTTTATAGGTAGATGACCATGGACCATTTAATTACAAAGTAACAATATACAAATAAAGAAGTTTCCTGATTTCCATAGCAGTAATGTTTATTTTTGCTGTACATAATACATACAGTCATGGCAGCAAAGACAAGTAAGTTTATAGTAAGTAACTATAGACTTCAACAAGTGCCTCACAGTTACATCAAACAATTAAACATGTAAGTTAAACATGGACATACCTAAAAGCAAAAAAACTAAACCAAGTCAATTATTATTGAATGCCAGGTTTTTACTCAAACTCAATATTCAATGTCAAACAATGTCTCCCTCAATTACATTTCTATTATTTTCTGATTTTTTTATTTCACCATTACGTGTGCTGTAAAATGTTATTTTAATTTTTTTTCCAGATCTTCCCAAGCTTAGTTTTTCAGAGAAGAGGTGCGGTGTCGACACTCTTCAAACGATTTTATAATTTGTGAAAAAAAATCCTAATTATGTAAATGCACCAGTATTTGGTGTGAAATCAAACCAAGCTTCTTTACACAAGGGTTCTACTGTGAATCCTAATCTTTTGAAAAGCTGATGGGAAACTGTATTCTCCTCTTCGATGAAGCAATACACTGGGTATCCCTCAGTAAAGAGTCTCTTCGCCAATGCACTGACCACGACTTTAGCGTATCCTTTGCCCCTGTGCTCAGGAGTGGTGTACAACATGCCCATAGCACTGGAAGCATATGTTAAAACCCACGACACCGGTCTTCCACCTTCATCCAAGACACAGCAGGAGGGGAAGTTCCTCACCATGTTCTGAATCATCCTCAAAGAACCTTTCTGCCCAAACTTCCATGTCCTGTTGACCATTTCAATGTGGGATTCATCCAAAGAACCAAGAGTGATTCCAGCGCTTGTGGAAAATTTGAGAGTGTTAGTTCAATTATTAAATTGCAATAAAGGGAATTAGTGACAGTGAGTTTTACCAATTGACATCAGGGAGGTGGGACATGTCTCTTAGGATTAGCATGTTACACACTGCCAGATATCTGCATGAAATGTGCTTTTCTGATGCCACTGCGGAAAAGGTCCTTCTATTGTCAAGATTGGTGCCTGTCAGAAAAGTTTTTTTATCCCAATGACAACTTTTAACATTTATCCTTGATAAGTAATAAATAAGAAATACACAAAAGCCTATTCTAATGTCTGTCATCATTATTATTTTTTGATCAACTGTAAAATAATCACTATCAGTAGATGTGCAGCTCGTGCGTTACTGAGATGTGTCACTTTGGTAAACTTCAGCCTATAAAACCGTTCGAGAAACTTACCTATACAGAAGTACTTTGACCAATCAAATAAGACATTGTTTCTTATCATCTCTTCCAATCTCACTTCATCTTTTGCAAAAACGAGTATGTCTTTGAAAGAGTCGCCTTCCTGGATTCAAACCAAACGATAGTACTCATTTATTGGGTATGTATCCATATGTAATTAGCCATTACATGTAATTAAATTACATGTATTCGACAAACCTGCTGACAGAGGGGTTTGCAAACTACAACACTGAAGTCAGGCCATTGGTTCACGAAAATCTTCACCGGGTCAGACTGACTGCTCTTGAGAGTCTGCCATAAAAATCCGAGCACCTTGTTGAATAAAGAAGATTATGATTAACGTTGACAGGATTTAACAATATGCCAGTGAGATGGTAACATACCGTTTGAGAACGAGGTAAAAGAGCTTTCAGTTTCACATGTGCACATTTTAGTTCCTTTAATGTTATTTCCATTGTAAATGTTATATGGATGATGAATGTTACAATAATTGACCGCTAAGTGGGGTCTATGTTCCAGCCTTAAGTTAAAACCGAGGTGAAGTTGGCCGAACGTTTGATATTCGCCTGATATTCGCAAGGGACCGTCTGCAAATTGCAAGAGGTCAAAACGACTAATAAAGACTAAAAATCAACAAAGACAGTTTTCCCAGTTTTGATGGGTGTAGTAGTTCCCAATGAACAATAGCTAGCTACTACAGGCAAGAATTTGGGAAAAATATTGTTTTCCCCTTCACAGTAACAAAAATGAAATTGGAAAAATTCACTAAAAATCAACAGACTTTTTTCCCAGATTTGATGGGTGTAGTAGCTCTATTTGAACAATAGCTAGCTACTACAGGCAAGAATTTGGGAAAAATAATGTTTTCCCCTTCACAGTAACGAAAATGAAATTGGAAAAATTTACTAAAAATCAACAAAGACAGTTTTTCCAGTTTTGATGGGTGTAGTAGTTCCCAATGAACAATAGCTAGCTACTACAGGCAAGAATTTGGGAAAAATATTGTTTTCCCTTCACAGTAACAAAAATGAAATTGGAAAAATTTACTAAAAATCAACAAAGATATTTTCCCCAGTTTTGATGGGTGTAGTAGCTCCCAATGAACAATAGCTAGCTACTACAGGCAAGAATTTGGGAAAAATATGGTTTTCCCCTTCACAGTAACGAAAATGAAATTGGAAAAATTTACTAAAAATCAACAAAGACTTTTTTCCCAGATTTGATGGGTGTAGTAGCTCCATTTGAGCAATAGCTAGCTACTACAGGCAAGAATTTGGGAAAAATATTGTTTTCCCCTTCACAGTAACAAAAATGAAATTGGAAAAATTTACTAAAAATCAACAAAGACTTTTTTCCCAGATTTGATGGGTGTAGTAGCTCCATTTGAACAATAGCTAGCTACTACAGGCAAGAATTTGGGAAAAATATGGTTTTCCCCTTCACAGTAACGAAAATGAAATTGGAAAAATTCACTAAAAATCAACAAAGGAGTTTTTCCCAGTTTTGATGGGTGTAGTAGCTCCCATTCAATAATAGCTAGCTACTACAGGCAAGAATTTGGGAAAAATATTGTTTTCCCTTCACAGTAACAAAATGAAATTGGAAAAATTTCACCAAAAATCAACAAAGAAGTTTTTCCCAGTTTTGATGGGTGTAGTAGCTCTCTTTGAACAATAGCTAGCCACTACAGGCAAGAATTTGGGAAAAATATTGTTTTCCCTTCACAGTAACAAAAATGAAATTGGAAAAATTTACTAAAAATCAACAAAGATATTTTCCCCAGTTTTGATGGGTGTAGTAGCTCCCAATGAACAATAGCTAGCCACTACAGGCAAGAATTTGGGAAAAATATTGTTTTCCCTTCACAGTAACAAAAATGAATTTGGAAAAATTTACTAAAAATCAACAAAGATATTCTCCCCAGTTTTGATGGGTGTAGTAGTTCCCAATGAACAATAGCTAGCCACTACAGGCAAGAATTTGGGAAAAATATTGTTTTCCCTTCACAGTAACAAAAATGAAATTGGAAAAATTTACTAAAAATCAACAAAGATATTTTCCCCAGTTTTGATGGGTGTAGTAGTTCCCAATGAACAATAGCTAGCTACTACAGGCAAGAATTTGGGAAAAATATGGTTTTCCCCTTCACAGTAACAAAAATGAAATTGGAAAAATTCACTAAAAATCAACAAAGATATTTTCCCCAGTTTTGATGGGTGTAGTAGTTCCCAATGAACAATAGCTAGCTACTACAGGCAAGAATTTGGGAAAAATATTGTTTTCCCTTCACAGTAACGAAAATGAAATTGGAAAAATTCACTAAAAATCAACAAAGAAGTTTTTCCCAGTTTTGATGGGTGTAGTAGCTCTATTTGAACAATAGCTAGCTACTACAGCCAAACTTTTGGGAAAAATATGGTTTTCCCCTTCACAGTAACGAAAATGAAATTGGAAAAATTCACTAAAAATCAACAAAGAATTTTTTCCCAGATTTGAGGGGTGTAGTAGCTCCAATTGAACAATAGCTAGCAACTACAGGCAAGAATTTGGAAATATATATATATACAGTGGGGCAAAAAAGTATTCAGTCAGCCACCGATTGTGCAAGTTCTCCCACTTAAAATAATGAAAGAGGTCTGTCATTTTCATCATAGGTACATTTAAACTGTGAGAGACATTATGTGAAAATGTGAAAATGAATTTATTTGTAAATTATGGTGGAAAGTAGGTATTTGGTCAATAACAAAAATTCAATTCAATACCTTGTAATATAACCTTTGTTGGCAATAACAGAGGTCAAACGATTACTATAGGTCTTTATCAGGTTTGCACACACAGTAGCTGGTATTTTGGCCCAACTCCCTCCACAGATTTTCAATGGGGTTGAGGTCTGGAGACTGGTTAGGCCACTCCAGTACTTTCAAATGCTTCTTACGGAGCCACTCCTTCGTTGCCCGGGCGGTGTGTTTAGGATCATTGTCATGCTGGAAGACCCAGCCACGTTTCATCTTCAAAGCTCTCACTGATGGAAGGAGGTTTTGGCTCAAAATCTCACAATACATGGCCCCATTCATTCTTTCCTTAACACAGATCAGTCTTCGTGTCCCCTTAGCAGAAAAACAGCCCCAAAGCATGACGTTTCCACCCCCATGCTTCACAGTAGGTATGGTGTTCTTGGGATGCAACTCAGTATTGTTCTTCCTCCAAACACGACGAGTTGAGTTTATACCAAACAGTTGTACTTTGGTTTCATCTCACCACACGGTTTTTTTTTTCAGTCTTATACAGTGACTTAAAGTGACTTATTGTACAGTCTGACAGCAGTGGGGATAAAGGCCCTGCGGTAGCGCTCCTTCCTACACAGGGTGTCTCAGTCTTCCACTGAAGGAACTCCTCAGCTCCTCTACAGTCCTGTGCAGTGGGTGGGAGGTGTTGTCCATGATGGAGGTGATTTTGACTAGACCCTCCTGTCCCTCACCTCCTCCACAGAGTCCAGGGAGCAGCCCAGAGTGGAGCTGGCCCTCCTGACCAGCTTGTTCAGTCTGTTTCTGTCCCGCTCTGTGCTGCCCGGGGCCCAGCACACGGCAGCGTAGTAAATGGCAGATGCTACCACAGAGTCATAAAAGGTCCTAAGCAGAGGCCAGCTCACTCCGAAGGACCTCAGCCCCCTCAGAAGGACCTCAGCCTCCTCAGAAGAAAGAGGCGACTTTGGCCCTTCTTGTGCAGGGCGTTTTTATTATGGGACCAGTCCAGTTTATTGTTAATGTGAACACCCAGGTACTTGAAGCTGTCCACCAGCTCAATGTCCTCCCCCTGGATGTTCAGAGGCGTGTGGGAAAGTGGTTTCCTCCTGAAATCGATCACCATCTCCTTGGTCTTACTGGTGTTCAAGCACAAGTGGTTGCGCTCACACCAGTCGACAAAGTCTGTGATAACCTACCAATATTCCAGATCGTTCCCCTCAGACACACAGCCCTCGATGGCGGAGTCGTCGGAGAACTTCTGCAGGTGACAGCTGTGTGTGTCGTGTGTGAAGTCTGAAGTGTAGATGGTGAAGAGAAACGGTGAGAGGACAGTGCCCTGAGGGGCCCCAGTGCTGCAGACTACCACCTCAGACTCACAGCTGCGCAGCCGCACGTACTGTGGTCGGTCCGAGAGGTAGTTGATGGTCCATGCAGTGAGGCTACTGTCCACTCCCGCGTCCTCCATCTTCCCCCGCAGCAGTGCCGGTCTGATGGTGTTGAAAGCACTGGAGAAGTCAAAGAACATGACCCTCACAGCGCTCCCGGCAGGGATGACGGCGTCCTCTACTCCGATGTTGGGCCTGTAGGCGAACTGCAGCGGGTCCAGGGTGGGGCTGACCACGGAGCGGAGATGGGTGAGGATGAGCCGCTCCATGGTCTTCATCAGGTGGGAGGTCAGTGCGACTGGTCTGTAGTGAGCCGGTTCCTTGGCGTGCTGTGTTTTAGGAACCGGGATCACACAGGAGGTCTTCCACAGGACAGGGACCTTCTCCAGGCTGAGGCTCAGGTTGTACATGTAGCTGAGGACCCCAGAGAGCTGGTCTGCACAGGTCCTCAGCAGCCTGGGACTGATCCCGTCCGGTCCTGCGGATTTCCTCTGCTTCAGTTGCTGGAGCTGACTCTTCACCGGGTCCGGTGTGATGGAGAGGGGGGAAGACTGGGGTGTATTGTCAGAGGTGGGGGGCGGGGATGTGGGGGCAGGAGGGCCCAGGGCAGCCAAAGGCAGTGTCCAGGGCAACCAAAGACAGTGTCCACTGGGCGGTGTCCACTGGGCGGTGTCCACTGGGCTGGGGACGTGTGAAGAGGTGTGGGCGGGAGGGGGGGGGGGGCAGATGGAGAGGGGGGAGAATCAAACCGGTTGAAGAATTGGTTAAATTCATCTGTCCCGCTGGCCCTTTGTCCACGGAAAGAGATGTTCTTTAGGCCTCTCCACACGTCACGGGCGTTTCCCTGGGCCAGCTTCTGCTCCAGCTTTTTCCCATATTCCCTCTTGGCCCTCCTGATCCTCCACTGGAGCTCGTGCTGGATCCTCTTCTGCTCCTCTTTGTCCCCTGAGATGAAAGCCCTTTTCTTGAGGTTCAGGAGGGCTTTAAGCCCTCCAAGTCATCCATGGGTGGTTGTTAGAAAAACACCGTACCTTCTTAGTTGGTACCGGGTTATTCACACAGAAGAGGATATAGTCTGTAATACAGTGTGTCAGGCCAATATCATTATTCCTACTGTGAAGGGGAAAACATTTGTTTCCCCAAATTCTTGCCTGTAGTAGCTAGCTATCATTGAATGGGGGCTACTACACCCATCAAAACTGGGAAAAATATCTCTGTTGATTTTTAGTGCATTTTTTCAATTTCATTTTCGTTACTGTGAAGGGGAAAACAATATTTTTCCCAAATTCTTGCCTGTAGTAGCTAGCTATTGTTCATTGGGAGCTA